ACAAAACAAGTTACAATTATATTAAAAAAAAAACAAAGCAATAGGGGTGATGACGGGGTACAGTAAACGAAATTCTATTCAGTCCGTCAGTTAGATGATCAAAAAAAATGGACACGTATTTTTTCTTTGGGCAATCAACCAAAAAATTACAAAGTTATAGCGCGTCAAAGTTTGAGAGTAGGGGCTCGTGACGTCACTTTTGAGTGAATTTTCACTTATAAATGTACTCAAACGTGACGTCATGCGACTTTTCAAATCAATATATCTCCGCAATGTTTATATTATGTGAAAAAAGAAAAAATACGTGTCCAATACTTTTTGATAATCTACCTGATAAACGAAGAAAAAAAAATTAGTCATCATCCCTATTACAATAATAGAAAACCAAACTGTAACTCTAAATATGTGGGCATAACATGATTAAATTTTATGGGCAGAAGTTCACACTAAAGAAAGAAAAATATATAAATCGAATTTCAACAATTAAACAAGAAAAAAAACAATCACTAAAATAAAAGTAAAAATTAACCGGTTTCTTTTTGACGTGACAACGTCTTAAATTAGGTTGCGGCTGGGAGTCACTTATGAAAAAGTGTAACGCTCGGTAACGTTACGATGAGTCTCTCGTGTTAAGTTTAAGTTTACATGTACAATGTTTTAGTAAACAAAATATATTTCTATAGTTAAAATTTGTGCAATTCTTATTTTCATTCAATTCCTTGTTCCTATTGTGCAATTTAATTATATTCATATCAATAAATATTCTACCGAGAAAAAGACGTTGTCACGTAAAATCTTCGCCCGTAAAACCGACTTTACAGGCAACCATTTTTTTTTTTTAACTAAGTATTAATCGTTGGATTGCTTTCCGAAATTCAAGAAGCCGACTACAAAAAATGTCCAAGGAAGAATGATCCTTATGCAGGTTATCGTATTGACGACACATATTTGTGTATGTGGATTATAAAAGGACGTGTTGCCTTTATAAACTTGCAGAGCAAAATTTGCTCTATTTATATTAGGGTATTTAATACCCTTTGGGTGGGATTACGCGATCTAAATCTAATATTAAAACTAAGCGTTGAGGTAAGAAACGGTGAGTCGAGGAGTGAGTGTACAATTTTATACAGGTAAATTAACTGGTGATATTTGCGCCGGGATTCTAGGGAAGAAATTTTGAACCTTTCGAATTTGATCTCGTAAGATTTATAAAGAAACTGAGAATATTGAGAATCTTTCTTTGAACTCCTTCAATACGCTCAGCGTGTACATTGTAATGAGGAGACCAAACGACTGAGGCATATTCTAATCTGCTTCTCATTAATGAGAAGTATAGGTATAGCAGAGTTGACTGATTGGTGAATTCCTTAGTGCAAAGTGAAATAAAACCAAGGAGTTGCAAAGACAGCTGACACGGCTTAAAAATGAGAAGCATTTCTTCACCTTACTGATACAAGATAAAGAAACCCTGAAAACTCAAACTCATTTATTCAGTCTAGGCCTTGTGAAAGTCAAACGCAACGTAAATAAAGTAAATCTACGGCGGGAGACCTTGTACTGAGAAGAAGCAAGCAAGAAACCTTTGCTTGGTTGTGACCAGGGGCCCATTCGTCTAACGGGATTGCTAAGGAAAACGCTATCGTTTACGATTTCATTTTATTATTTCTAGCCACATGAGGTTTTCAAATGCCTCCCGCTCTTTTTTTTCTTTTGCATTGTTAATAACAATATTAAAAAAATGAGCGTAAGGTATTTGAAAACCTTCGGCGGTCAGAAATAACAAAGTGATATCGTAAGCGATAGCGTTTTCCAAAGCAATCTCGTTAGGCGAATGGCCCCCAGATTCCAATTCCCTACTAAATGGTGCCGTAGACTCAGTGCCGTCTTTGACCTATTGGAGGCCCTGGGCATATTAGGACAATGGGGTCCCTATGACTTCTGTTTGGTGATTTAACAGGAACTAGGGACTTTGTATTTGATCTGAGGGGGGCCCCTATCGATCGCGGGGCCCTGGGCACTTGCCCAAAGTGCCCACTGGGAAAGACGAGTCTGCGTAGAACCTTACTTAACAACAGCACTCATGTTATATTACTATCTCTGTAAGGTGAAGGGTATTTATCAATTAAGATTTTTATTTCTGTGAGCGATCCGCCACGTCGTTAGCACCCACCAATCCGCACTGGGCCCGCGTGGTGGGTCATGGCCCAATCTCCCTATTCCATCCATAGGGAAGGCCTGTGCCCCAGCAGTGGGGACATTAATAGGCTGATGATGATGATGATGAGCGATCCGCCAAGCCTTTCCTCTTTCTAATAGAAGAAACTGAAAAAGAAAAGAACCTGTTTAGTTGTACCTTTTGTTAAATAACATGGAAGAAACAGAAAATTTTAGAAATCATATTAAACATACCTAGACAAAATGGTTACGCACCCCTGTATGCGTAGATACACACGCCTGTCTATTTTTTTTGTTAACACCTTTTCTAAGTATAATTTGACATTGGGAGCGAGAAAAAACTAGTAGAGACATTACATTTTTGACAGGGGATATTTAATGAAGTCGTCCGTTTTTTAGGGCCCGGCCTATTCTCACGGTGGCTCCTTTGTGGGAGCACGTCCACACGGGCCCAATCAATTATGTTAACTGTGATAATTTTGTTTTCTTTATTTTTTTTTGTCCGCTCCCTCAAACAGAGTTGAACGGTGGAACAGAACCTAACAAATTATATGCTGGTTTTCACGCTTGTTATCACATTATGGAATTGGTTACATTAATTTGGAGGTTGTTTGTTTATTTATAGGAATGGGGTGTTCACTATAATAAACTTGAATGATAGTATTGACTATCGCAGGTGATGTTGCGATAGTGTAGGTAGTGCACACGAATAATAGCTAGATGCAGAAGTCCTCTAGGTACGCGCTACATCAGTCTACCTGACATTGCCGGCCTGCAAAAGTTGCTTGTATACCTTAGTCTTAGTAGTACGGCGGGCTGTTTCCGCAACTCGACACCTAGTGCCTATTTTGCGTGGGGATTGGCATCAGTCCTGCCATCCCAGCTCCTCCAGAAAGCTCAGCAGTCCCCGAATGTTGCTGCAAGCCTCTACTATTGTCTTCGGGCTTCCCATTAGAGAAGTCCTTTGTCTTGCAACGCCCCTGCACTCCAGTAGGACATGGGCGCTCGACTCATCCGCCTCCAGGCAGGCTCTGCACAGAGGGCTGTCAGAAATACCTATATTACAAAGGTGTTTGTTGAAGTAGCCGTGACCCGTGAGTATACCCACGATTTGTTTCAGGGCTTGTCTAGGTAGTCTGATTAACTTACGTGTTAGCTGCAGGTTTACCTTAGGAACGGCTTCCCTGGCTTGCCTGCAGTCCGTGAGTTTTGAGCAGTATTCGTCGTGTTGCTTGTATACCTCTACCTTTAGTAGGCTCTAGGTTGAGAATAGTAATATGTTTGAAACGTTTCAATAGCAAATAAAAATTGCATTTCAGTTCTTATGCAAATAAACTTTAATAGATTTAATGGTAATCGCGGCACGTAACTCTAAAGCTGAACAAAACGCGTAGGGCATAGCTGCGATGGGAACGGCTGGAGAGCCAATCGGCACAACGCACGCCCGCCCGCGCACCTCGTTTCCTCCCAAGACAACTTAAAGTTTCGTGCCGTGATTTATAGTATAGGTGAACAATATGGAGTGAGGCAAAATACAATACAGAACATGGATCAAGCTAGTTTTAAGCGACTTGTCAGAAGTGTAAGGATAATATTGTAGCTGTAAGACGGAAACGTTCGTCGTTTTTGGACTGACTGAATTATGAATGCTCTTTTTAAGGTTCGTGTCGAAGGGATGATATCGGAGCTATCTGTCTATCTGCTGTCACCATGGCCTATGCCTATGGCTTGCGATACCAAGAGTACAACTTGAGCGTTGCCTACCTTAACACCATCTCCTACACCGAGAAGTTCTGAAAACCTTTACATAAATAACCTGTTACCCTGCAGTCTAAACAGCGGAAATGGTTCCTCCAGAAGGGCCCTCCAATTTGTGTTGTACACAAATCTGCTGTAAGCCACTTCTCTTACGGCTTGGCTGTGATCTCACCGCTATGAGCTACGGCTCAGAGCGACGCGTCGAGCGATGAGACCAAATGTACTGAAATATTAAAAGCACGCTATGAAGTGAAGCTCTCAGCGACGGGGCTAGCGTAAAAGCCCAGTCAACCAAAATGCGAGCAGACCGTCGCATCGCTACGCTCATCGCTAAGCTAAAAGTCGCGGAGGGGCAGTTACATGTGGTTCCCTCCGATTGCTTCGGACTAAGCATGTGTCTTTATTCTAACGACGAAAGCATCCGCGCCAACGCGTCACCGACTACTTTCACACAGGTCACAAACATTACTTAGCTAACAGATGCCGCACCTGTAGGATAAATGTGCGAAGATCCAGTCTACACACCAGAAAATGCTATAACATGCTATACCAAGTACTACGGCCAACTAGCCTTAAACCTCGGCTCAGAGACGCCCTCTAACCGACGCCCCTCAGGCTCAAATGGCCTTGTTTCTCTCGGACGGAGAGGAGATGCCATCAGCTTGAGGTTCTTTCCCGGATTGAGGTCCTCTAAGGATCTCACCGTCCTCAAACCCGGTGATGCTGTAAAGGTCATTTACTTACTACCAACAGTACACACACTTCAAAAAAATGTACCAGGTAAGCTTGTCCAGGAGGAGCCCGATGGCGCAGGTGGTTAGCGCATTCGGCCTGCGATCGTTATGGTTAAGCAACTGTCGTAATGGTCGGTCATTGGATTGAATTAGCTCGAGCTCCTCCGTGCTTCGGACGGTACATTAAGTCGTTGGTCCCGGCTGCATCTGTAGTCATTAGCTCCCACCAATTCGCACTGGACCCGCTGAGCAGGCCACAGCCCATCTCTTTTCCATCCATAGAGAAGTTGGGAGTGGGCAACATTAATAGGCTGATGATAAAGTTTGTCCAGGATGTGGCGGCCATCTTCGCTGGGTGCGCGGCTGTGCGCCGGAGTGGCGCTGGCTATGTCGCTGTCGCTGGGCGCCAGCCGCCGCGACTACAAGGACCCGGAGTCGCGCCAGACCGACATCTCCCTGTGGATCGACGAGAGACAAGTCCGTTCATTCAGCGGTAAATACGCTTCAATTATTATTCTTTTAGAAAATATACATTTGTGGATCCTATAACTTACTGATCTGTTACAGAAAATATAGCAAATGCCAGCCGAATAACTTTCTAGAACTGTGGCTAAGAATGTGTTTACGAACAATTTCGTTACCTGTTATTAGTAAATACTATAGTTAGTAACGTTTTTTGTCCGATTTAATCATAGAATCCAGGATAGCAATTTTTATGGTCCTTGGAGCCGTACATTAACGAGTAACGAATAATCATATTATGATGATTAATGTCATGGGCATATCACAAACTTCAAATGAGTGTAACATACCTCAATACTTTTATTAGATTTTTTTGTAATAACTTGTTCACAGGTATATCAATGAGAGTGTTTGCGATTCAGAACGGCAAGATATCGCCATACATTTTGGATCCAAATTTTTCACTCAAGTTACCTTTAATACCGTCCGAAGTTGAATTTGTTAATTTCACTTGGAGATCGAGGAAGAAGTACTTTTATAATTTCGATACACTGAAGTCGTCTGACCTTAAAGTGCTTAGCCCACCAGTATTGTCGATTAAAACCCAAGGGAGAGTACCTAAAACTGACAAAGGTAAGTAGAAACGCATAATTTTTTGCCACCATACCCATAAACTCAATTTGATGCGATTCTTTTTGAAAATCAATTTTTAAGTGAGACTTTACTCATTGTAGAGCTGTATCCCAGTTTTGAATCTCAGAGCTCACGTGGAGGGAGGGAACTCCCTCCTTCTTACAACCTGAGATCCTTTAAAATTGGCGTGAAGAAGCAACATGCAGGCCGGTAAGATGAGGATGGCTGGTGTGGCAGGTAGAACTGCTGTACCAGCTATCTTCACATCTGGACTTCACCGTCACTTAACATCAGATGGGGTTTGGTGGGGAAAAAAAAAGACCGCGTATTATAATTTAGGTTCCATCCTAATAAATAATGAATAAAGTCCCATGACTTCAGCCCATGCTGATTGATTAGGATGTCAAGCTTAATGGCTCATTTGGTCTGCAATGATGCAAATTAAGCAACTTTAATAATGGCCATAGGATGGGGTAATTAATCATAGAAAATATTATCTCCAGCTCCCTTTTGCTTTGGAAGGGCGGATAATCAACTATATTAAATACCTTAGATACAACAACACGAACAAAATTGTGGCCGAAATGTGTCCAAAAGGTACATTGGACGATCCACGGAGCCCCGTAAGATGATCGCGTGGTCAAAAACAATTTCAGACATTATTTAAACATTGAAAGTTACCTTTAATGCATACTAGTGATGTAACGAATATTCACATTCGTATTCGCATTCACATTCGCATTCGCAAAATCTCTGCGAATGTTTTGCGAATATGAATATTAGAAAAAAACAATTTGAAGAAGTTGTAGTTCTGCCTTTCCTTGAATATTCATTGTTACACAGTTTACATTTAGCTCGTTCAACATCGCAAAGTGTGAAATACACTCACAATCACTAACCTTAAAATTCACTTGTTTTGTTTACGGAAAGACCGGTGCGAGCGGAATGACACTTCAGTCGGATGAGTTCATATCAACTCGGCATTTCGAACGAGACTGCAACCATGCCATAGACAATTGGCGCAAATTTAAAAAAAAACTAAATATTCGCATTCGCATTCGTGAATGTCGGTACCAGACATTCGCATCCGCATTCGCGTTCGCGAATGTTCAAAAAATGACATTCGTTACATCACTAATGCATACTGTATAAGCTTTTCATTAAAACGCATGCATCAAAAACTTATGGCAGTTCGAAATGCAAGCTCGGAAAATTTTACGACATTGTTATATACGGAAGAATATAGACCTTATTTTTTTTTACTTTACGCGCAATTCTGAATGCGCTACATTGCTAGTAGCAGATACAGATCGCGAGGAAAAGAGACGGCTATACGGCGACGTATAACCGACCATGCGTTTGAATAAAACAAATTTTTATATTAAATCAGTTTATAGAAGGTATTAGACTAAAATTAGCTTCAAATGTGTTAAATTAATAAACATAGATTAGATACCTGTCGAAAACACGTCACTTTACGAACTATAAGTAGTTTTTTCCCATTTTTTCACGGAGCTCTACGGCATCTTGACTTTTCAACGGTCCGCGTTTGACTGTGAACCAAGAAGTGCTTGAGTGGAATCCAAGCACTTCTTGATTGGGACACATTTTGAGCGCTCGTGGTGTATCTAGGGCAGCTATACTCTAAGTGTGTTCCGCGGAACCCTAGGGTTCCGTGATACCTCTGTCGGGGTTCCGCAAGAATTTAGAAATAAAAAAATCAAAACACCTCTCTCTGGTCGCTCCGCGGCTGTGCGGACTCCGCGGCCGCGCGGAGACAAAACGCTATGAATGTTATTTATTTATTTATTTGTATTTGTATAAGCTTGTGTTACATTAGCTGGTACAATATCTCATAAGTTTGGTCTCAACAATTTTATACTTGTACAACGCGTTCGCTCTAAGTTTGCCGGTCTGTGGAATGCGCGTACCCTCCCCCACGTGACAACAAAACTTATAATGTGTCATAGTTTTACCCAAATATCTAACGTACACAATTTTTATTGTTACAATTAAATAAAAAATTTCGAACGTCATACACTCATACCTATCGCCAGCGGCAAACTTAAAACGAGCGGGTAGGTATACTTGTAAGCGCTCAGTCTCTTTGATAAAAGCCGCCTCTGAATTAGACGCTATAGTTGTCAACTAGCGACTTTCGTCTCTAACTTCAAAGGATAAAGTCGATATTGTTTACAACGCTATTTTTAAATTTCTGTTTTTATTTTTGCTTTTTGTTTATCAAAGGTGCCGACTCGAGTATTTTCGAGAATATTTGAGATCGAGTCTAGGACTAAGTATAAAAGCGGCGATCGCGCGTTGGCGTCGTCAGTTGATGATTAGCGTTCGGAGCGATAAGTTACTACCTACTTACAAGCTCGCTAGCGAGAAACTGGTGTTCATTGTTTTACTGCCTGCTGTATTCTGTTGTCTCAGTTTTATACATTTCTTCCCTGTAGGTTCTAAATTTAGTCTCTTATACGCAGTAACGATTGTGCATTATTTAAACCCCACTATCCTGACTTGTAACATTATAAATAAAGAAGAATGGAACGTTGGCTTAAAGGTGTTAAACGTGTTCCAACAACATCTTCTAATGACGCTGAATGTTCAAAAGCAATGCGCGCGGAGAATTTAGCAATCACCGATCCAGAAGATGATGCCACGAGTGCCACGACGTCAAGCTCGACGGTTTCAAAGACGAAAAAAAGGAAGTATGATGAATCTTATATCAGTTTCGGATTTGTTGATTCCAACGGCTCACCTCTCTGCATGCTCTGTAGTAAACTGCTTCCTAATAGTTCCATGGCACCTGCCAAATTGCGTCGACATTTAGAAACCGTACACCCCGAGACTAAAGACAAGAATAAAGAATTTTTTGTTCGCAAAAAAGATCAGTTATTAGAAAGTCAAAAAAATATGATGCATGTAACACAAACTACCAACGAAAAGGCCACGGAGGCATCATACTTAGTTAGCTATCGCATTGCACAAGCAGGTGAAGCGCACACTATCGCTGAGAAATTAATAAAACCATGTGTATTAGACATAACAAAATGTATGCTTGATGAAAAATCTGCAAAGCATCTTTCTACTGTTCCGCTATCAAACGATACTGTTTCACGACGAATCCATGATCTGGCAAGCTACGTCAAACAAGAACTAGTTACACGTCTACAAAATACACGATTCGCTTTGCAAATGGACGAGTCGACTGATGTCGCTGGTTTGGCTATCCTGCTGGTTATTGTGAGATATCCATATAAAAGTTCTTTTGAAGAAGACATGCTTATGTGTTCATCGCTGCTTACAAACACTACCGGGGAAGAAATTTTTAATAAAATAAATATATTTTTTGAAGAACATAATCTCAGTTGGAACAATTGCATTGACATTTGTACAGATGGGGCCAAGGCGATGACAGGTAAAACAGCAGGAGCAGTGTCACGAATGAAAAATAAAGCGCCTAATTGTAGTTCCAGTCATTGTATTCTGCATAGACAAGCACTTGCGATGAAGCAAATGCCGTCTAATCTAAAATTAGTTATGGATGAAGCGGTAAAAATAATTAATTTTATCAAATCACGACCACTACAATCCCGATTGTTCTCATTATTGTGTGAAGATTATGGCAGCAAACATAAAACACTGCTGCTCCATACAGAAGTGCGATGGCTGTCTCGGGGAAAAACTTTAACAAGGCTATTTGAACTTAGAGCCGAGTTACAAATGTTTCTTTCAGCAGATACTTCTTTTAATTTGAAGGACCGTTTGTATGATAAAACTTGGTTGTTCCGATTGTCTTTTATGGCGGATATCTTTCAAAAACTTAACGAATTAAATTTATCATTGCAAGGTAAACAGACAACAGTGTTTCAGGCCTATAATAAAATAACTACTTTTAAAAGAAAATTAGATTTTTGGATCATTTGCATTGGTAAGAAAGAAATAGAAAGTTTTACGTTACTCACTGAGTTTGTTAGCGAAAACGACTCAGAAATGTTTGAAGATAATGTGTTTGAAGAATTGGTCCAATATCTCAGTTCGATGCGCGCATCTTTTGAAAAGTATTTTCCCGAAGAACACAATACAAAAATTAAAGTGAACTCCTGGATTCATAATCCTTTTTTACCCAACTTGGAAAAGCCTGAAAACATGTCAAATGAGATATATGAATCTCTTTTAGAAATGTCATCAGACACAAGTATGGAGTCATTGTTCAAAACGACGCCTCTTAATGATTTTTGGTGCAGAATCCAAGATGAATATGCAATGCTTGGCCAAATGGCTCTGGATATTCTTCTCCCGTTCCCAACTACATATTTGTGCGAAACAGGATTCTCTACCTACGCAGCCACGAAAACAAAATATCGCAATAGACTGGACGCCGAAGCTGATATGAGACTCCAACTTTCTTCCATCAAACCTGATATCAAGCAATTGATGAAAAATAAAAAACAGTTTCATACCTCCCACTAGTTAGATTTTTTCTTTTTTAATGTTTTCTATTATTGTCCTTACCAAGTGGTGAAGTAAATAATAATTAGTAACGGATACATTGTACTTTTATTATGCTGATTAATATAGAATACACTTATAAAAATAATTGTTTTATTGTAGGGTTCCATCAAGTATTTTGCTTCCCAAAAGGGTTCCGTCATTTAAAAAGTTTGAGAACCACTGATCTAGGGTATTTAATATCGTTGCAGATAATATATAACCTTGGTTCCTGCTGAATCTGCAGTCGTTGCATCAATCAACACTGGGCCATGGCTATGGGTCATAGATGATGGATACATTTCCCAATGTACTTTTATTATCCAGTGTTTCTATTCCAAGAAAAATATTATAACTTCTTCAATAATAAGTGAATTTGTTATTTTTAAGTTTTATCATCAAAATCATGATTGTCCACAGAATTCAGTGTATCTCTACCATGTGTTGGAAATAGCAGTGGTGTAGCCACATTAGAAATAGGACTAGTACTCAAAAGTGGCCGGGGTATCCCACTTAAGGGTACCCCTTTGAGGTTTAACTTAAAGAAGGAATGCGCACAGAGAGGTGTGTATTTTGAAAGGACAGGTATTGTATCGCCCACGCATTTTTAACACTTTTTCGTCTGTGTGTTTGTTTGTTTTTATGAACATTATTATAATATTATTATTTTTATAACAATACAATAACAACTCTATCCTACAAAGCAGGTTTGAAATGAGAATACAAATTTTACACTATTATAATCAAAGAAAATCATAAAAACAAACAATAACACAGGGAGATGCTTTAGTTAGTTTAAAAGTTTCTTAAAAAATCATAATAACAAAAAAAAGATTACTTAGTTACTTTCAAAACAGTTAAACTAAGAAATTGAAGTTGAAAGCTTATTAATAACATCATTACATTACGCTTTTTCCAGTAGTCAAATAAACAGATCTACTTACAACGAAAGTAAGCCAGCCAGACCTTGGTTGATTTTTACTTAAATCCACGCTCCATCCATCCAAGCTCCAATATTACGCTTATGCTACTAATATTTTTTTACGAATACATATTAAATTAAAGCTTGAGTAGAACAATACACAGAGTCCGTCCCTGTGTTGCTCCCCGTTACAAACGGTGTGGATGCCGGAGCTTGCGTAATTTATAGCCTTTTGTACGTCATTAATTATGTTTTCGTCTATGTAAACGCAAAACAATACGGCGATTGACAAATTTTATTACAGCATTGTTCAGTATTTTAGACGGTTTTTCAGCAAGCCCATATTTCATGTCCAAGACAAAACAGTCGCGGCAAAGTTTTTACCAAAATAATTCAAGATATTGCATATACACAACACACACATTCTTTGCTCTTTCCTACAATCTGAGGTCCATTAAGACGGCGCGAAGAAGCATTTTTGCAGGCCGGCAAGATGAGGATGGTTGGTGTGGCCGTTTACAACTGCTGTACCAGCTATTTACGCGTTTGGGCTTTATGACCACTTAACATCAGGTGGGGTAGAGTCATTAAAAAGTTCTGTAATTAACTAGTGTCAATTTCCGTATTGGTGTTTGATAGTATTGCAGGCCCACTAATTCTACCGCGCTCAATTCATCACCCATATAAGCCTGGCGCAAGGAGTTAGCATAAGGCATTCATTTTAACTTAAGGGCTTTGCATTGGAACTACCTACGGTACCACCACTACTTGCAAAGGCGACAGCGAAAGACTTAAATATATTGAAATACAACAACCATGAAAATTATTGTCGAAAAATTATAAAAGTAACAGTGAACGAAGATAACCGCAAAAAATACTTTTAAACTTTTCAATGAATAAATACATAGAGATTTACTTAATAGGAAGAAATGTTTTCCTAGCTTGGATATGTGTCAACAAATTATACATATTTTTTTTTGGAGAAAGCCTAGTTTAATAAAAAATGCTTACGATCTCCGTAGAGTATCATAATTTTAGATTTAGTTCCGGTGCAAAGCCCTAAATTATAACACCATAATGCTTTATTTTCCGGGTGCCTATCGCCGAGTGCCTCCGCTGATTGGCTGAACTCACGGTGCCTCTGCTCACAACATATTCATTTTTAGGTTGGTACTCATTTGCTTGCTTCGTTTCATTTCAGCAACTAAAGGCGTCAATACTAGTTGGCCTAGCTATAATCCAGGAATTAATGGCGTGTGCTGTAGTTCTGCAACGGTTTTGATGAATTTAAAAGTGATCTGGCCATGTCTAGATATCAGTGGCCAGATTTTTTTTCAGCGCCTAAGCAATAGCTCAATATTGTCAACCGTAATCATGATAAAATGGACAGAAACCCTGTTTACCTGACAACGTACCCAATCCAATGCAACAGCGATAGTTTCAAAAGCCACCACAAAGCTATTGCGCGCGCCATTAGCCATAGCATCCGACGCCAATACACAATGGTCCATCACAGTGTATCATCGAGATGGGCCATCGTGTAAATGAGCCATAAGAAGTTTCACAATAACTAAATATTTACCTACATTGAAGGTTAACGGACTGCAAACAGCAAACTTGTGTTTAAACCTATTCGAGTAGGTACTGAGAATCGTAAAACGTTCAGTAAACGCGAAACGCGGTAAACCAATAGACTAGAAGTGTTGACTTTGTAAGATTAGCTGTTTACTTTGACCATAGTTTCATTCTATTTATTGTCCACTTCGAAAATAATGTAAGCCAATATCTCCTTTTAACACATACAAATATTGAGTACTTTTTCAAATGAAAACTAGCAATCTTTTCATAGATTGCAAAGAATATTTTGTTAAAATAAACGAGATAACTACCGAATAAGGAAATATATGATAAAAAGACTATACTGACTCGAAGCTTCCAATTTTTGTGTATTTCTATTATTCCGGAAACGACATCTTTAAACATTCATATTACGTTAAACTAATTGCAAAAATTGGCGCGAATACGACAGGGCCGGATCCAGAGTGCGATAAAAAGTGTGCGAACCAAGGTTGGTGCAACCACGAGAAGATCTGCCAGTGCCCGGAGGGGTATATGGGGCAGCACTGTCGTACGGCGCTCTGCTACCCGCAGTGTCTGCACGGAGGCAACTGCACTGCGCCCGGAGTCTGCTCCTGCCCGCCCGGATACCACGGCAGCAACTGCGAGGGCGGTCAGTACTTACCACGCTAAAGGGCCCCATATACGGAACGATTCGTCGTTGCGATCCATCTGAAAGAAATCGTCAACGATCGATCGTTCAGAAATGCCACTACATACACGAAACGATTCGTGGGCGTCGTTGCGATCGATCTGAAGGAAATCGTTTAAGATAAATACAGACAATTGGTACAGATCAATCGTACCGTATATGGGACACTGACGATCGATCGTTTACGATATTCATGATTGCATGGGTTTTTGTTGCGATCTCCGATATCGTCTGCGAATAAGTAAATCGTTAACGATCTTGACATACACTGTCGATCCATCGTTTCGATCGGTCTGAAACGACGGATCGTACAGATCAATCGTTCCGTATATGGACCCCTTAAGCTAACTTTGTGTTTAACTTTTGTGTTGTGCATTTAAAACTTTAGGGCGACCATGAAATTAGCAGCGAGTTCAACTATGCGCAGGTGTTAATGAGGGCTATATCCGCCGCTAGATGCGCTTGTGTAGCGTGAGGTCTCCGAAATGTCAAATGTTATTACTTGCGGGATAACTACGCAAGTTTATTTCTAATTAAGAAAATGATGTGAAAATTTGGTTATATTTTGTTTTAAACTTTCATGGTCACTAACATTATAGATATTAACGGGATTGTTACCATGTACCTTGTTTTTTATGAGTCTCCGATATTTCGGCACTGTTGCAAGCGCCATGATCACGGAGTAATCACGGGGTTACTCCGTGATCATGGCGCATCATAAAAAACAAGGTACATGGTAACAATCACGTTAATAGCTATAATTTGGTTATAACTGAGATTAATTATGGCAAATTTAAGTAACGTGTTAATGACAGTCAGTTATTTAAAAACGGAGCTAAGAATACTTATTGTATACTTATAATTTTTATTTTTTAAGCATGTAACTGCTTGATGTTCAAACCATTTTTTTTAAATTATGGGTTACCTATAATGCGAAGAAATGGCGCTGCCTTGCAGCTTAAGAATGGCTAGAGGAATTTCGACGCGGCCATCAGGGCCGCGGTAGCATGATTGGTCAGTGCATTCGCCCGGATAGCGAAGGGTGCGGGTTCGAGTCCCGTCTGCTGCCTGGTCCGCGTGGATTCTTTTCTAGTTATTGTATACTCCTTTTCTTCCGAACGAAACGCAACTGCGCCACACTGTAGCATGGCCGATTATGTTAAAAATACGGTTCTTTTGTATTAAAATGTAAATTTTGATTTCACGCGCCCATAAAGAAACTTTAAAAGCTACACTTTAGGACTTCACTCAACAGTAGCGCCATCTGGTGAGACAAAAAACTGTAGCCCTCATTCAGTGTCATTTTGCGCACCTACAACCAGACCCGTCTTTCCCAGTGGGCCCCGCGATCAATAGAGGCCTCCCTCAGATCAAATACGGAGTCCCTAGTTCGTAGGAGCCCCATTATCCAAATATGCCCAGGGCCACCAATAGGTCAAAGACAGCATTACAACACCCTGCATTACGTTAAAATGCACCTCGCCCGGCGTCTGCTCCTGCCCATCCGGCTACCACAGCAGCAACTGTGAGGGCAGTCAGTACTTTTTTTGTTTTAAAAGAATGGAAAACAAGCATATGGCGCCTGATGGTAAGCGGCCTCCAGAATAGAAGCGATTGCGATAACAAAAAAAAATGGGTGCGTGTACTTATGTAGGCGCGCGAGAAGTTATCCTTCTTTGGCATCGTTTAAAATTAGTTTTTAATTGCATGCAAATAATTAATTACAATAAATTAATAAAAAGTCTGGAAAAGGACACAGTCAATAAAGTTCAGTTTTAATTTGAAAAAATAAATAAATAATCAAAATATTCAATTAAAATCGCTACTGAATATAATTTATTAGAACATATGTGATTTGCACTTGTATGAAACTCAAACACGTATTCCGAATATACAAACTAGAAACATGTGGATAAATATTATAAATATGAATACCTATAACTGTTACTTTATTACAAAAAATAAAGATGTGGTTTTTGGTTCTACTACACCAATGGTCAAGAGATGGCGCTGTAGTCTCCTGGATCGCGCTTTGGTTCCGTTGTTCCAGATTAATAAATACTTTTGATATTATAAATATGAATACCTATAACTGTTACTTTATTACAAAAAATAAAGATGTGGTTTTTGGTTCTACTACACCAATAGTCAAGAGATGGCGCTGTAGTCTCCTAAATCGCGCTTTGGTTCCGTTGTTCCAGATTAATAAATACTTTTGATAGGCCTTCACAATGCAGTCGTCAGCACCCACTAAATAGAGATTCTATGTTTATTTTGTTGGTAGATTTTCTTAATGTGCGGTAAACACAAAAGTAACGCATGACGCTAAAGCGACCAACTTCATGCTGTTAAAATTTTGTGTTACAGTGATGCGCGCGCATCTTAAAATTTCACTCTCATCATTTTTTCATAACGCGCCTAAAGAAGTATAACTTCAAAAAGCGAGTGTGCTTATGACCACACGACTGAAGTGAAACTTCTTTAGGTCCAATGATCTGAAAATCATAAACTTGACCTGAAGATTTGTTGATAGAAAAAAAAACACCAAAAACTGGGTCCATTGTCACCTACTAATCCACGCTGGGTCACGCCAGAAAGAAAATGTGCGCGCGCACTGATTACCCTTGCTTATATCCCCCACTCAACTCCCGTTCGCCTCGCCCGAACACACTTTTCGTAACGCGTAACGCGATCGCCAGCTTAACCCCCAAGTCCAGCGTGCGTCAAGAAGTTTCACTTCAAGAACACTCGCGCCGCTACCTACCATGACCCATTAGGGTCTTACAAAGATTTTTGGAGTGTTTTTGGAAAATGCCATTGTAAAAATGTAAAACTTTTATTCGTTAAGTGCTTTAAAAATTTACATTTTCAAATTTCATGCGTAGTTAAAAGAAAACAGTGGACGCCATTTTGCACAGCGGTCTTGAGGTCATTAGTACTACGAAGATGCGTTACCTTGGTTACCAAAAGATTAAAAGTACTGAGTTGACAGACACACTTGACATATCCGACCATCGGATGGGTGACCAAATATTTATTATCTCGAGCTACTTCGTGCTTTCATGCCTTATAACTGTACCTTATATTTACCCGTTGGTCCCGGCTGCATCTCATGGCCCAATCTCCCAATTCCATTCATAGGGAAATACTGTCTCGCTGTCGCCCTACAATGCTTAGTGAGACGAAACCATAGGTACCCTCATAACATAATGTATGTGTCAGCTCCGACGCACGACCGGAGTTTACACTCTTAAAAACGATTGTCTTTGAACAGACACAAAACAAAATCAAGTCCGAAGAAGTCGGTTACAAGTAGAGATACCTCAGGAATCGTGCCATGGTTTCGACTACCATAGGTTCCATGTCACACATTTTATCATCTAACATCAGCGATATTCATCAATATTTTATTATGTATTTCTGGAAACACAATTTCAAAAATATTACACACTAGTCATCATTTTGTAAATATGTATTATAATTCCATCTGTACTGAAAATCACTATTCCAGAGTGCTGGACACTTACCGGAATTTCTCTATATTCTGTTATTTATTTGTTTTCATTAATTTTGCTCCGGTTTTATCTATTTTTAGTTTATTTATTTAATTGACATTTGTGACAACTTAATGTTTTTTATCCGTTGCCATGGCTAAAAGTGAAAGGTGCACAGATGAGGTTGCGCACAAAAACGTAACGAGGTCATTAATGTCATTCATCGATAGATTTTACTCCTCACATTTTTCTCATACCGGGCCCCTTATACAATTATTCAGGTCATTTCTGTTGGATTTGGTCCTATAATATGGTGTCCGAAACTTAACCGTTATGGAGATATTGGATATTAAAGATTTTTTTAATAAATCCTATATTTTTTGGGTTTTTGTCGATTTTTTTGAAACTAGAGCTCCAAAGGTCCGATTTTTTAATGTATCTAGTTAGAAGACATGTCAAGCAATAAAAATAATGAATAAAAACTGAACCTACTTCTAACGGCTTAAAAAAACTGCTCGACAACGTTTATAACTAAAGAATTTTCACCAAGTGTTCTTATCTTAACTTTGAAGCACTTTTCTAAAAAAAAATGTATGGAACTTATTCTGCAAATAATTTTAAAAACTTCTACGTCTCTTTAGCTATTCAAAAAGGTATAACACTTGCTATTAAATTGGCAAAACATTGACCAAATAACAGTTATGGTAGCAGAGGGTACATTTTTAGTTTGAGGTAAAAATAGCAAAAATACGTTTCCCTGTAACCCTGTATATGCAAATCGATTCTTAAGGAGTAAACTCCAAAAACCAACAATCAACATTTCCAACATTTATTTAACAAAAATACATCACTTCTTTAACCTAACAATACACGCTAACTATATCCTCTTGGATATCTCGATGGCGACCTTACAGCCGGTTTTGATGACCTCAGTGAGCGCCCGGTAGAAGGGTGCTTGCTCGGCCCCGTGTTCGATGCCCGTGTCGTGGTGCTCTTGTTCCTCATCACGGAACCTGTTGGATTATCATCAAGTTAAAAATTATGGCAAACACACGTAACACAAACTTTTTTAACGTATTTATAACTGGCCAGCTAGCAGCAGCAGCTCTAAGAGGGGAGCAGACACAAAGATGTATGGTCCGGAGCCTGTGCTGCCCATACCTCAGGCCCAAATTAAAACGTGGCTGCGTGAAATAACTCATAAATCACACTTGATGGAGTGGAAAACAGGTGAAGGATGCCGGCAAACGAAAAACGCGGTTCCGGCGGTAAATAAAAGTTTTGCCCGCACCCTTACCAGACTAAATGAGGACAAACTTCGTCAAATACTGGTCATTGTCCCCTAAACAAACACCTATATACAATAGGAGTTACAGACAGCCCCCTATGCAGAGGATGCATGGAGGCAGAAGAAACGCCACAGCATGTCATCATGGAATGCAGGAGTGTGGCCGACCAACGGGCACGACTTCTCCAGTCGCCAGAATCGTTTCCGGAAGCTTGCAGCAGTCTATCAAGGCTGCTTTCCTTCTGGACCGATATAGGCTGGCTGGAGTAAGCGGGAATGTTTTTGAGATACGCACAATAGTCCAATAATTAGGACTAAGTGCGGAACCGCCCTGAAAAACTAACTAAAAACTAACTAACTAACTAACTGGCCAGCTAATTAAAGACACTCGATTTGCTTAGAAGAAATTGAAAAAAATATTGTTATTATTGAAATTATCTTCATTACACAATATTCCTAACACATTTATAAAACTTTCCGGTACGTATCAATATTTGGTCGTATGTCCTTTGGCAGAAATGACAGCACGACATCTCTTAGGCATGGAAGCGATAAATTTTTTACAAGCTTCCACCAGAATTTGCTTCTAAGCTTCTCTAAAAGCTGTGTAAAGTTGATCGTTGTTTGATGTCCATTTTGTCGCCACTGTCTTCTTCGCCTGGTACCACAAATTTCCTTTCGGGTTTAAATCAGGACTGTACAGTCCACACACATACAGTAAATACGTTAAAAAAGTTTGTGTTGCGTTCTCATAATGAGCAGTGTCTAAACTACTAACGAACTATTATTGTCCCACATTGTAAGAATACAACGTCCTGGAGCTCTATTTTTGAATCACTCGTCTGACATAGTATCGTCGAATGCGACATAAGTCACCTTCGACTTTCAAGTCGCATAGTACTGATTTTCCGTATTTTTGAACCACTCGTCACCAGTGTTGCCTGTTTGTTACGAAATACGAAATTTTACTCATTTCACGCAGAAATAATAAAAACCGGTAATTACTACTACTCTTTGTCGTTTCATATAAAGCATGACAATGATAGACTATCGTCGTCTAATAGCACAAAAGAATTGACAATTATTCTATCATTCGCCTCCACCATTCGCCATGCAGCGAGTGGTTTCACCCATTCGTTGCACTCGAGCGATTCAAAAATACGGAATTAATTATGTCGAATGACATTTAGTAGAAATCGAGCGTTCGACGCAAAACGAGTGATTCAAAAATAGAGCTCCTGTATGGTTTAATAACAATTACACTAGATTAAATACCAATTTTAGGTAATTTTAGTACTATAAGTAAGTTTTTTGTGGTCAATTAGGAAGTGTCTTTAATTATGTGCCCACCATTGTATACATATATATATACACATACAGAATGCGTGTAGGGGCTAGTTTGAGTCACTAGGGGCCGCGTGTAGTGTCTAAACTACTAACGAACTATTATTGTCCCACATTGTAAGATACAACGTCCTGGAGCTCTATTTTTGAATCACTCGTCTGACATAGTATCGTCGAATGCGACATAAGTCACCTTCGACTTTCAAGTCGCATAGTACTGATTTTCCGTATTTTTGAACCACTCGTCACCAGTGTTGCCTGTTTGTTACGAAATACGAAATTTTACTCATTTCACGCAGAAATAATAAAAACCGGTAATTACTACTACTCTTTGTCGTTTCATATAAAGCATGACAATGATAGACTATCGTCGTCTAATAGCACAAAAGAATTGACAATTATTCTATCATTCGCCTCCACCATTCGCCATGCAGCGAGTGGTTTCACCCATTCGTTGCACTCGAGCGATTCAAAAATACGGAATTAATTATGTCGAATGACATTTAGTAGAAATCGAGCGTTCGACGCAAAACGAGTGATTCAAAAATAGAGCTCCTGTATGGTTTAATAACAATTACACTAGATTAAATACCAATTTTAGGTAATTTTAGTACTATAAGTAAGTTTTTTGTGGTCAATTAGGAAGTGTCTTTAATTATGTGCCCACCATTGTATACATATATATATACACATACAGAATGCGTGTAGGGGCTTGTCTGAGTCACTAGGGGCCGCGTGTAGGGGCTTGTCTGAGTCACTAGGGGCCGCGTGTAGGGGCTTGTCTGAGTCACTAGGGGCCGCGTGTAGGGGCTTGTCTGAGTCACTAGGGGCCGCGTGTAGGGGCTTGTCTGAGTCACTAGGGGCCGCGTGTAGGGGCTTGTCTGAGTCACTAAGGGCCGCGTGTAGGGGCTTATCAGAGTCACTAGGGGCCGCGTGTAGGGGCTTGTCAGAGTCACTAGGGGCCGCGTGTAGGGGCTTGTCAGAGTCACTAGGGGCCGCGTGTAGGAGCTTGTCTGAGTCACTAGGGGCCGCGTGTAGGGGCTTGTCTGAGTCACTAGGGGCCGCATGTAGGGGCTAGTCTGAGTCACTAGGGGCCGCTTGTAGGGACTTGTCTGAGTCACTAAGGGCCGCGTGTAGGGGCTAGTTTGAGTCACTAGGGGCCGCGTGTAGTGTCTAAACTACTAACGAACTATTATTGTCCCACATTGTAAGAATACAACGTCCTGGAGCTCTATTTTTGAATCACTCGTCTGACATAGTATCGTCGAATGCGACATAAGTCCCCTTCGACTTTCAAGTCGCATAGTACTGATTTTCCGTATTTTTGAACCACTCGTCACCAGTGTTGCCTGTTTGTTACGAAATACGAAATTTTACTCATTTCACGCAGAAATAATAAAAACCGGTAATTACTACTACTCTTTGTCGTTTCATATAAAGCATGACAATGATAGACTATCGTCGTCTAATAGCACAAAAGAATTGACAATTATTCTATCATTCGCCTCCACCATTCGCCATGCAGCGAGTGGTTTCACCCATTCGTTGCACTCGAGCGATTCAAAAATACGGAATTAATTATGTCGAATGACATTTAGTAGAAATCGAGCGTTCGACGCAAAACGAGTGATTCAAAAATAGAGCTCCTGTATGGTTTAATAACAATTACACTAGATTAAATACCAATTTTAGGTAATTTTAGTACTATAAGTAAGTTTTTTGTGGTCAATTAGGAAGTGTCTTTAATTATGTGCCCACCATTGTATACATATATATATACACATACAGAATGCGTGTAGGGGCTTGTCTGAGTCACTAGGGGCCGCGTGTAGGGGCTTGTCTGAGTCACTAGGGGCCGCGTGTAGGGGCTTGTCTGAGTCACTAGGGGCCGCGTGTAGGGGCTTGTCTGAGTCACTAGGGGCCGCGTGTAGGGGCTTGTCTGAGTCACTAGGGGCCGCGTGTAGGGGCCTGTCTGAGTCACTAGGGGCCGCGTGTAGGGGCTTGTCTGAGTCACTAAGGGCCGCGTGTAGGGCTTATCAGAGTCACTAGGGGCCGCGTGTAGGGGCTTGTCAGAGTCACTAGGGGCCGCGTGTAGGGGCTTGTCAGAGTCACTAGGGGCCGCGTGTAGGAGCTTGTCTGAGTCACTAGGGGCCGCGTGTAGGGGCTTGTCTGAGTCACTAGGGGCCGCATGTAGGGGCTAGTCTGAGTCACTAGGGGCCGCTTGTAGGGACTTGTCTGAGTCACTAAGGGCCGCGTGTAGGGGCTAGTTTGAGTCACTAGGGGCCGCGTGTAGGGGCTTGTCTGAGTCACTAGGGGCCGCGTGTAGGGGCTTGTCTGAGTCACTAGGGGCCGCGTGTAGGGGCTTGTCTGTGTCACTAGGGGCCGCGTGTAGGGGCTTGTCTGAGTCACTAGGGGCCGCGTGTAGGGGCTTGTCTGAGTCACTAAGGGCCGCGTGTAGGGGCTTATCAGAGTCACTAGGGGCCGCGTGTAGGGGCTTGTCAGAGTCACTAGGGGCCGCGTGTAGGGGCTTGTCTGAGTCACTAGGGGCCGCGTGTAGGGGCTTGTCTGAGTCACTAGGGGCCGCGTGTAGGGGCTTGTCTGAGTCACTAGGGGCCGCGTGTAGGGGCTTGTCAGAGTCACTAGGGGCCGCGTGTAGGGGCTTGTCTGAGTCACTAGGGGCGGCAATAAGTGGCTGCCACCAGTGCCTCAATATGCGGTTGGTCGTTAAGAGCCCTTTTACAAAATTGCACCGTTGCCGTACTAATCGGCGCCTAGGTAGATTTGCACTAGTATATATTGCATTTTACGGGTGATGTTTAGAGTCTTATAAAATAATTATTAATGAACTAATCATAAAAATATATACATATTTCAGTAGTTCAATGATGGCAGATTAGTTATATGAAAATGTTTGATAGGAATTCTATTTAATTCAATACCAAAATACGAGGTAAACCTGCATTATTTTTTGGGAAAACTCACGGAGGTCAGATGTTTTTTTTTGATAATTAATGAGGTCGAAAATCAAAATTCTAATACATTATATTACAACAAAAACATATTTCTGATGTCGTAGTAATTAATTTGATCTAATTTATTAAACATTATTGAGAGATTCAGGCGTTTCAAATTGTGCATATTATCGTTTTTTCAGTAAACTAGCTGCAGTAGAACGATCAGTACAAAAAAGGCAAAATAATATTTGCAAATATTCTACATCAGCTATACTCTAAGTGTGTTCCGCGGAACCCTAGGGTTCCGTGATACCTCTGTCGGGGTTCCGCAAGAATTTAGAAATAAAAAAATCAAAACACCTCTCTCTGGTCGCTCCGCGGCTGTGCGGACTCCGCGGCCGCGCGGAGACAAAACGCTATGAATGTTATTTATTTATTTATTTGTATTTGTATAAGCTTGTGTTACATTAGCTGGTACAATATCTCATAAGTTTGGTCTCAACAATTTTATACTTGTACAACGCGTTCGCTCTAAGTTTGCCGGTCTGTGGAATGCGCGTACCCTCCCCCACGTGACAACAAAACTTATAATGTGTCATAGTTTTACCCAAATATCTAACGTACACAATTTTTATTGTTACAATTAAATAAAAAATTTCGAACGTCATACACTCATACCTATCGCCAGCGGCAAACTTAAAACGAGCGGGTAGTATACTTGTAAGCGCTCAGTCTCTTTGATAAAAGCCGCCTCTGAATTAGACGCTATAGTTGTCAACTAGCGACTTTCGTCTCTAACTTCAAAGGATAAAGTCGATATTGTTTACAACGCTATTTTTAAATTTCTGTTTTTATTTTTGCTTTTTGTTTATCAAAGGTGCCGACTCGAGTATTTTCGAGAATATTTGAGATCGAGTCTAGGACTAAGTATAAAAGCGGCGATCGCGCGTTGGCGTCGTCAGTTGATGATTAGCGTTCGGAGCGATAAGTTACTACCTACTTACAAGCTCGCTAGCGAGAAACTGGTGTTCATTGTTTTACTGCCTGCTGTATTCTGTTGTCTCAGTTTTATACATTTCTTCCCTGTAGGTTCTAAATTTAGTCTCTTATACGCAGTAACGATTGTGCATTATTTAAACCCCACTATCCTGACTTGTAACATTATAAATAAAGAAGAATGGAACGTTGGCTTAAAGGTGTTAAACGTGTTCCAACAACATCTTCTAATGACGCTGAATGTTCAAAAGCAATGCGCGCGGAGAATTTAGCAATCACCGATCCAGAAGATGATGCCACGAGTGCCACGACGTCAAGCTCGACGGTTTCAAAGACGAAAAAAAGGAAGTATGATGAATCTTATATCAGTTTCGGATTTGTTGATTCCAACGGCTCACCTCTCTGCATGCTCTGTAGTAAACTGCTTCCTAATAGTTCCATGGCACCTGCCAAATTGCGTCGACATTTAGAAACCGTACACCCCGAGACTAAAGACAAGAATAAAGAATTTTTTGTTCGCAAAAAAGATCAGTTATTAGAAAGTCAAAAAAATATGATGCATGTAACACAAACTACCAACGAAAAGGCCACGGAGGCATCATACTTAGTTAGCTATCGCATTGCACAAGCAGGTGAAGCGCACACTATCGCTGAGAAATTAATAAAACCATGTGTATTAGACATAACAAAATGTATGCTTGATGAAAAATCTGCAAAGCATCTTTCTACTGTTCCGCTATCAAACGATACTGTTTCACGACGAATCCATGATCTGGCAAGCTACGTCAAACAAGAACTAGTTACACGTCTACAAAATACACGATTCGCTTTGCAAATGGACGAGTCGACTGATGTCGCTGGTTTGGCTATCCTGCTGGTTATTGTGAGATATCCATATAAAAGTTCTTTTGAAGAAGACATGCTTATGTGTTCATCGCTGCTTACAAACACTACCGGGGAAGAAATTTTTAATAAAATAAATATATTTTTTGAAGAACATAATCTCAGTTGGAACAATTGCATTGACATTTGTACAGATGGGGCCAAGGCGATGACAGGTAAAACAGCAGGAGCAGTGTCACGAATGAAAAATAAAGCGCCTAATTGTAGTTCCAGTCATTGTATTCTGCATAGACAAGCACTTGCGATGAAGCAAATGCCGTCTAATCTAAAATTAGTTATGGATGAAGCGGTAAAAATAATTAATTTTATCAAATCACGACCACTACAATCCCGATTGTTCTCATTATTGTGTGAAGATTATGGCAGCAAACATAAAACACTGCTGCTCCATACAGAAGTGCGATGGCTGTCTCGGGGAAAAACTTTAACAAGGCTATTTGAACTTAGAGCCGAGTTACAAATGTTTCTTTCAGCAGATACTTCTTTTAATTTGAAGGACCGTTTGTATGATAAAACTTGGTTGTTCCGATTGTCTTTTATGGCGGATATCTTTCAAAAACTTAACGAATTAAATTTATCATTGCAAGGTAAACAGACAACAGTGTTTCAGGCCTATAATAAAATAACTACTTTTAAAAGAAAATTAGATTTTTGGATCATTTGCATTGGTAAGAAAGAAATAGAAAGTTTTACGTTACTCACTGAGTTTGTTAGCGAAAACGACTCAGAAATGTTTGAAGATAATGTGTTTGAAGAATTGGTCCAATATCTCAGTTCGATGCGCGCATCTTTTGAAAAGTATTTTCCCGAAGAACACAATACAAAAATTAAAGTGAACTCCTGGATTCATAATCCTTTTTTACCCAACTTGGAAAAGCCTGAAAACATGTCAAATGAGATATATGAATCTCTTTTAGAAATGTCATCAGACACAAGTATGGAGTCATTGTTCAAAACGACGCCTCTTAATGATTTTTGGTGCAGAATCCAAGATGAATATGCAATGCTTGGCCAAATGGCTCTGGATATTCTTCTCCCGTTCCCAACTACATATTTGTGCGAAACAGGATTCTCTACCTACGCAGCCACGAAAACAAAATATCGCAATAGACTGGACGCCGAAGCTGATATGAGACTCCAACTTTCTTCCATCAAACCTGATATCAAGCAATTGATGAAAAATAAAAAACAGTTTCATACCTCCCACTAGTTAGATTTTTTCTTTTTTAATGTTTTCTATTATTGTCCTTACCAAGTGGTGAAGTAAATAATAATTAGTAACGGATACATTGTACTTTTATTATGCTGATTAATATAGAATACACTTATAAAAATAATTGTTTTATTGTAGGGTTCCATCAAGTATTTTGCTTCCCAAAAGGGTTCCGTCATTTAAAAAGTTTGAGAACCACTGTTCTACATTAACTTTCAATAGGAAGAATAATTCTACTGTTAACTTCTATTGGAAATAGTCAAAATCTTTTCTAAGGGGGTAAATAAGGCGCTCAAAAATTACGATTTTTTGCAAAAAATGTGAAAGGGCTCTTACCTGGTGATGGTGTCGAGGATGTCCTTGTCGACGTTGGGGTCGTCCATGAGTGTCCGCAGCTGGTCATTGTAATGATCCACGATCACGGTTTCCACAGCAACCGTGCAAGCCATGGCGGCCTCCTTACCCAGCAACGCGGTACCTGGGGGTGCAGTCTCGTGGTTCAATTTGAAGAACGAGCTGAGCAATAAATACCCCTGCGTATAGTTCGACAAGCGTGGTTAGCGCGTTCGGTTGCGATCGCTGAAGTTAAGCAACTTTCGCAGTGGTCGGTCATTGGATGGGTGACCAACAGTCTTCTATCTCCAGTTTCTCCGTGCTTCGGAAGGCACGGTAAGCCGTTTGGTCCCGGCCTATTCCATCCATGGGGAAGGCCTGGGCCCCAGCAGTGGGGACATTAATAGGCTGATGATTAGTGTGAATTTCAATCTTGGGTGTGTCATAAAAAAAATGGGAGTCCCAAAGTTGCAAAAAATGCATCACCTGGGGGCCATTCGCCTAACGGTAATGCTTTGGAAAACTCTAACGCTTACGATTTCATTTTATTATTTCTAGCCGCTTGAAGTTTTCAAATGCCTCGCGTTCTTTTTTTTTCTCTTACATTGGTAATAACAATATTAAAAAAAATGAGCGTGAGGTATTTGAAAACCTTCGGCGGTCAGATATGAGCGGCGGACCACATTCCACAGCGGCGTGAGTACTGTGTGTGAGTGTCGACTGTAGTGTAGTCAGTACTCACTCGCGCCTAGTGCGAACCCCGCCACATTCCACAGCGGCGTGAGTACTGTGTGTGAGTGTCGACTGTAGTGTAGTCAGTACTCACCCGCGCCTAGTGCGAACCCCGCCACATTCCACAGCGGGGTGAGTACTGTGTGTGAGTGTCGACTGTAGTGTAGTCAGTACTCACCCGCGCCTAGTGCGAACCCCGCCACGTTCCACAGCGGGGTGAGTACTGTGTGTGAGTGTCGACTGTAGTGTAGTCAGTACTCACCCGCGCCTAGTGCGAACCCCGCCACGTTCCACAGCGGGGTGAGTACTGTGTGTGAGTGTCGACTGTAGTGTAGTCAGTACTCACCCGCGCCTAGTGCGAACCCCGCCACATTCCACAGCGGGGTGAGTACTGTGTGTGAGTGTCGACTGTAGTGTAGTCAGTACTTACCCGCGCCTAGTGCGAACCCCGCCACATTCCACAGCGGCGTGAGTACTGTGTGTGAGTGTCGACTGTAGTGTAGTCAGTACTCACCCGCGCCTAGTGCGAACCCCGCCACATTCCACAGCGGCGTGAGTACTGTGTGTGAGTGTCGACTGTAGTGTAGTCAGTACTCACCCGCGCCTAGTGCGAACCCCGCCACATTCCACAGCGGGGTGAGTACTGTGTGTGAGTGTAGACTGTAGTGTAGTCAGTACTCACCCGCGCCTAGTGCGAACCCCGCCACATTCCACAGCGGGGTGAGTACTGTGTGTGAGTGTAGACTGTAGTGTAGTCAGTACTCACCCGCGCCTAGTGCGAACCCCGCCACATTCCACAGCGGGGTGAGTACTGTAGGTCGCACGCGGTACTCATTGATCAGACGCTCAAACGTCTCGCGGTGTCTCTTTTCCTGCAACGATCAAATGTGTTTAGAAAAAATATATTTTGAATTTTTATCTTATTCCGTCTAGATTTGACGATCTTTTGGTGGAAATTAGTAATAACAATAATGATTAATAGAATGAAAATATTGACATAAATTATCTGGAACCCACGCTATTCTTGAAATCCATTAAAAAGTGTATTCATAAGGTTGTTAATCCTAACGTATTCCCACATATACTGTATGAGCGGTCCCTTGGAGATGCCGCCCTGTACTACCATCTGTCCGTCCTATAAAATGTGTTCTATGTACACCCTATCAGTCCTATAAAATGTGTTCTATGTACACCCAAATAAGGTTGTTTTTCCCAATACCTGTTCCCACATGTGCTGTATGAGCGGTCCCTCGGAGGTGCCGCCCAGTACAGCCATCTGTCCGGCGTAGATGCGGTCCGCACCCAACTCGCCTGCGTGGTCCACGCGAATTATCTTGTCTAACTGCAGGAAGGAATTAATTACATTGATTATTATTATGCCACCTCCACGGAAGTGATTGAGTGAGGACACCATGAGGGATTGAGGATTGAAGAGTCAAGAAAGTTATAATTTTCTCTTTAGATTTAAACATCGAGCAATTATATGCTTAAAAAATGAAATTATAACTATAATTGCTATTTATTCCTACAAATGTTTAATTCTTATAAAGGTATTCATTTGACATTGTGGGTTGCCTACGATGCGAAAAGATGGCGCTGCCTCGCAGCTTAGAAAGAAAGACTAGAAAGAATTCGACACGGCCATCAGGGCCGCGGTATTGCACTGCATTCGCCCGGATAGCGAAGGGTGCTGGTTTGAGTACCGTCTGCTGCCTAATCCGCGTGGAATTTTTCCTAGTAATATTTTCTTTTGAGTCAAGAAAGACTTCAATGGAATGTTCCACTGAAGGTAGCGGCATCCCTGTATCTCTGGTATTGCTGATGTCCATGGGCGTCGGTTACCACTGAACATCAGGTGGCCCGTTCGTCCGCTCGTCTGCCTTAGAAGCTTAGATTAAAACAAAAAGGGTAGATACGGCACTAGCCTCACAAAAGTGATCCGCACCAATTGTGGGCCACGACCCTAATCGCTTTAGTCACAACTTGACATGCAAGCGACGTATATGTGAACGCCAAAAAAAATATTGCTAATATTTTGTGTTTATATGATAAAACAGTGCCTAAGTATGTTTTTAAAAAGTGCTCAAATTGCTCAAGAACTAAAAATAAAACCCACGGCATCACTTTTCATTCGTAAGTACTATAAAATATATATTTTCATAAAAATTGCTGTTTGTTTTGTATCTTATTCGGTAGTGAAGTCGAGTACTGGTCGCGTGATTGGTCAGTAGTACAGTGACGCGGATCTCGCCGTCTCGTTCGCGCTGCCGTTGAAACTTAACGTGCTGTTTCGTTCGGGTCGGTAATGCAGTGACGCGGTTCTCGCCGTCCCGTTCGCGCTGCCGTGGGATCAGTTTTTGTTTGATGCAAGTATGAGCGTACCGTATCTACCCTTTTTGTTTTAATCTAAACTTAGAAGGCATAAAAAAACTATAAGCAGTTTCCTTCTGGGCTGGAGAACTGAATTCACATCCACCTTATAGAAGACCACAAGAAATTAAACGACCGTTTAGTGTCGTGTTTCTGTCAGTATAGGGGCATAGTTAAGTATAGTGGCCCGGCACTTAGGTTAGGATTAGCAACGCGCGATAACCACTCTAGTATTGCATTGCAAGTACTTACAAGCAGACGGATATTAGCCAACAGACTGGCTTTGATATCCGCTTACTATCGCGGCAATCTGATTATTTGCCGTTTTTTTTTTATAAAAAAAAAATAACAAAGAAATTAAACCCAAGGCAGGTGGTGTCAGGGCGGCGGCGTGGTTGATTCCCAGTAAGGATCCCATGCCGCCACCTAAGGCAAGGAGAGCACATCCCGAAGTTGTAGTGGGTAGGACCCCCCCATCCCGAGCAGTCACTGAGCCAGGCCTAGGGTTGACTGAGTGGGTGGGCGGGAGGTGGGAACCCCGTCGCCTACCCAGCGGCGGGGTATGCGTAAGGCATTTCTCCGGATTAAAAAAAAAGGCGGTGTCACGCCAAAATCGTGGCGTAATCCTCATGAAATAACGCTACTTTCACAAAAAGGCTGGTTACTGAGCGGCGAAAAAACCATTATCATCTCGAACACCTCCGTGCTTAGAACGGTAATATATTGGTCACGTTGCCGCGGGAACAGCTTGAGCCTGTCTCCTCGTGATGACCCTTGTAGAGTGAATAAATAGGCTGATGAGGAAATTATTGACAGCTAATATATAGAATCTTATATATAGCTAATATATATATGTAATGCGACAGAGAGCCAGAGTCAACGACATAGCCCACCGAATTAGCAAACTGAAGTGGCAGTGGGCTGGCCACATTAGCCGCAGAACTGACGGCCGATGGAGCGTAAAGTTCTTGAGTGGAGACCGCGACTCGGTAAACGTAGTGTGAGACGCCCTGAGACAAGATGGGATGATGACATCCGTAGGCTGGCTGGAGTAGGCTGGATGAGAGTGGCAGAGAATCGCGAGCAGTGGCATGCATTAGGGGAGACATATGTCCAGCAGTGGACGAGCATGGGTTGATGATGAAGATGTTGAATGTATAGAATATCAATGCGTTTAAACCCACAACACCCCTACCTTGGATAACGGAAACGATAAAGCTTATGATTAATTTGCGTAATGAAGCTCATAAAACATATCGTGAGTCCAAACACGATATACACAAACAATATTATAGGGATCTCAAAACTTTGGTGTCAACAAGTATTAATAATGAGAAGCGAGCTTACTATGACCACTATATTAATTCAAATAATAGCGATAGCAAAACGTTTTGGAGAAACTTCAAGGACACAGTTCTGCCCGATACTAAGAGTGACTACCTTCCAGATTGCTTTAGTGATCCAAACGTAATCAATGATCACTTTTTGAAAGCGCCTGGGCCAGATAAAGTTGATACTTCGCTGCTCTCTTATTTTCAAAGACACAGATTTGATACTACAAAATCTCCTTTTAAGCTACATACTGTCACTGAAACTGACGTTTCCAATTACTTTTTATCTGTAAAATCTAATGCTTTTGGCAGTGACGGTATAAGCAGGGACATGATTTTGCTCACCCTTCCAAGGACACTATCAGTTATTACGGATATAGTAAACAAATCTTTAATCACAGGTGTGGTACCTCATCAGTGGAAGTCAGCACTAATAACGCCAATCCCTAAAATTGAACCTCCGACTGAGCTTAAAGACCTAAGACCTATTAGTATTTTACCTTTTTTATCAAAAATCTTGGAAAAGGCTGTATATAGTCAATTAATTAAATACGTTGAAGATAATGAAATTTTACCAATTTTTCAATCGGGGTTTCGTAAGGGTCGTGGTACCGTTACATCTTTACTCGATGTTACAGATAATATATTAGCTGAACAGGACGCGGGAAGAAGTACTATGCTGGCTCTGCTGGATTTTTCTCGTGCATTTGATTGCTTAAACGTACCTTTACTACTTGCAAAATTAACTTTTTACGGTTTTGAACCTCACTCGGTTAAATGGTTCAGTAGCTACTTTAGTGACCGGAACCAAGCGGTACGTCTTCGTAGGGAGAATGGATCTTTCCTTACTTCTGAACCAAAACCGACGTTACGTGGTGTCCCTCAGGGTTCAATACTTGGACCGCTTCTTTTCATTATATACAGTGCGGATCTGTCAAAAGTAATCAAAAGCTGTAAATTTCACTTCTATGCAGATGATGTTCAGCTATATATCTCCGAAAAACCTGCTAAAATATCTCAGGCGGTCAGCAAATTAAACGAAGATTTGAATTCTATAGCTTCCTGGTCTAAAGACAATGCTCTCGTACTGAATCCGTCCAAATCGAAGTGTATGCTAATAGGTACCAAAAAGCAAACCGAAAACATTTTACGTGATCCACCCGTTGTTCAAGTCCTGGGCACAAATGTTGAACGTGTTCAAGAGACAAGGAACCTGGGAATAACATTTGACAGTCGATTGCGTTTTGAAGGTCATGTGCTTAATCTAGTAAAAAACTGCTTTTATCGTTTAAAAGTTTTGTATAAAGTTCGTAGTTTTTTATCTGAAAAGTCCCGAATTGCGCTCTGTGAATCGCTGATCCTATCAAGGCTGAACTATGGTAACTTGGTCTATGGTCCGCGCTTGTTGTACAGAACAAAGAAAATTATACAGCGTGTGCAAAATGCTTGTGCCCGCTTTTGCTTCCATATTCCTCCACGTACACATGTATCACCATACCTAAATAATGCTTCTATGCTAAACATGGAGTCGCGTAGGCATTTGCATCTTGCCATGCTCATGTTCAATGTAGTGAAATATAAGAATCCTGAATATTTATATCATAAACTAAAGTATTCTACTTTTCACCATCACTACGGTTCTGGTGTCCCCAGGCACGTAAGGGCTCCTTTGAGCACCCACCAGCACAGAACTGTTGGCTTCACTGGCAGTTTCCGCTACCAAGCGACTAAATGCTGGAATAACATACCTCCACCCTTAAGACTAATTCCGTGCAGACAGACTTTTAAAACACATCTGAAATCATTTTTATTAGAACAACAGAAAATTGGAATATCCAGAAATTAGTTGCTTGGGTGCGGAGTTGTCGGCGTTGGTGTTGTGTGCTTGAATTTTAATTTTATTTTCACCGAAACTATTTTCTTTAGACATGCTTAAAAATAAAAAATTATAAATATTTACTCACTGATCAATTTATCAATTTTGTTTTTATGTTTATGTAAAGTACCATACAATTATATGTCCAATGAATGTTTAATTAATTTTTGTATTTAATTTAATTTGAAATTTCGTTTATAGTATTATGAATTTTAATCTGACATTTAATTGCGTGACCTCATCTATATGGGTTAGAACTGAAAATCAGCGATTTACTCTCGGAGTAAATGTTACGCTGAGTTTTCGCCCATTCGCATCGCTGCTGCACACGAAATTATCAGTATTTTTTTGTATAAATATAATTTGTTATATTTTTAAAGGATTTGTATAATTGTAAAATTTGTATTCCATTTTGTATGTGTGCATGTTGGTGTGAATAAAGTTTTATCTATCTATCTATCTATCTATCTATCAACACAACACTTTTGACGTCACTTTATAAATAAATGTACTTGTAATGCAATGTTTGGTGGATTGTGTTGACCAAAGTTCTCAAAGAGGAGCTCGATGGCGCAAGTGGTTAGCGCGATCAGCTGCGATCGTTGAAGTTAAGCAACTTTCGCAGTGGTCGGTCATTGGATGGGTGACCAAAAATTTACTATCTCGAGTTCCTCCGTGTTTCGGAAGGCACGTTAAGCCGTTGGTCCCGGCTGCATCTGCAGTCGTTAGCGGGCCAGCGTGGTGGGTCATGGCCCAATCTCCCGATTCCATCCATAGGGAAGGCCTCTGCCCCAACAGGGACATTAATAGGCTGATTATGATGATGAACAAAACTAAACTTACGTTTGGATTCTTCTGCCATGTAGGAGTGTGGGCAGACCTAACGAAGCGCAATTGGCCGCTGGGCCGCAGCATCATCGCACCAAACCTAAAACAAAATGTACTACTATTTTATTCTTTGCAGGAATATGCTCGCAGAAATGCCTCAACGGAGGGAAGTGCATACAGAAGGACACCTGTGAATGTCCGAAGGGATATTATGGGTTACGTTGCGAATTCTGTAAGTATCATACCGTATTAAAATAGAGTATAATATAAAGGAATTGTACTGAACGTTTTATTTTATTATTTTAGTTATAATTTTATTTATTTTTTAAGCATTTAACTGCTAGATGTTTAAATCTAAAGAAAAGTTTACTAGAAAAAAATCCACGCGGGTTTGAGTCCCGTCCGCTGCCTGGTCCGCGTGGATTTTTTTCTAGTAAACTTTTCTTTAGATTTAAACATCTAGCAGTTAAATGCTTAAAAAATAAATAAAATCATAACTATAATTGCTATTTCTTCTTTCAAATGTTTAATACTTGAAAAAGTATGCATTTGACATTGTGGATTACCTACAATGCGAAGAGATGGCGCTGCCTTGCAGCTTAAAAGCTAGGAAAATTTCGACGCGGCTAATAGGGCCGTGGTAGCATAATGGTCAGTGCATTCGCCCGGATAGCGAAGGATGCGGGTTCGAGTCCCGTCCGCTGCCTGGTCCGCGTGGATTTTTTTCTAGTAAACTTTTCTTTAGATTTATTATTTTAGTATAATATTATTTTTCTGTTATTTGAGGAGTTCGATGGCGCAAGTGGTTGGCGCATTCGGCTGCGATCGTTGAACTTAAGCAACTTTCGCAGTGGTCGGTCATTGGATGGGTGACCAAAAATTACTATCTCGAGCTCCTTCGTGCTTCGGAAGGCACGTTAAGCCGTTGGTCCCGGCTGCATCTGCAGTCGTTAGCACCCACCAATCCACACTGGGCCCGCGTGGTGGGTCATGGCCCAATCTCCCTATTCCATCCACCGGGAAGGCCTGTGCCCCAGCAGTGGGGACATTAATAGGCTGATGATGAATGAATGAATGATGAATGATGATTATTTTTCTTAGCAGCTGCTTCTACGTTATTGTATGTTTTAAACCTTAACCCAGTACGTTAGGTTAATTACAGAGTAAAAATACCTATTTGTATAAAGCGGCTCGTATATTATAACAAATTCGACTCAGGTACTGTAAATCTTATAACACCTTTTGGTATTGAGTTGGATAGATAACTGGTTGTCAATCGCTGTCCGAATGCTATTATCGGCTACTTTGAATAACTATCCGCTTACAACCGCTGTTTTACAACTATAATCGTGTCCGTGATGCTAGCGTACCCACGATCAATTTACGGTTTTTCGTTATGCCATTAAATACTGCATAAATAGTGCTAAATTAGTGTAGAAATAATCTCTTAGTGAAATTAGTGTAAAAATAATCTCATAATGTCTTAGTGCATAAATTAATTGTGTGTGCAACAGTACTACAATACATTTGTTCCTAGAATTTAACATCCTCATTATGTATTGTTGTGATGCGAATTCACTTAAAATTCTTTTACTGTTAAAGGCACTATTTGACACACTATTTATACATATAGAATTGATAACGAGAAAAGTTCATTTTCTATTAGAACTATTATGGGTACGCTAGCTTGACGTCATGCTAGCGTACACAGTAAAAATGGTCTTTATTTCTTAAATTAAAGAGGCACTATTTTTTTTTATTTTTACACTAATTTGGCACTATTTACGCAGTATTTAATGGCATTACGAAAAACCGTATATTGATCGTGGGTACGCTACCATCACGGACACCTATAATCGTACATATCCAAAAAGCCCTTATAATCCGACAGCGAAATGCGTGATCCCGTGTTTGAACGGGGGCCGGTGCAAAGGCGCGAACAAGTGCCGCTGTCCCGCGGGGCTGGGCGGCAACCACTGCGAGGTGGGCCGGCGCCAGGGAGAGTGTGCGCGCGCTTGCAAGCACGGCACCTGCAGCCTCGGGGCCTGCCGCTGTCACCCCGGCTGGAGGGGCCGGTACTGCCACCGCGCCATAAACACCGCACCCGCCGCCTCAGGTGACTCCCCCCATACATCGCGGCTAACGGGGCCGGTACTGCCACCGCGCCATAAACACCGCACCCGCCGCCTCAGGTGACTCCCCCCATACATCGCGGCTAACGGGGCCGGTACTGCCACCGCGCCATAAACACCGCACCCGCCGCCTCAGGTGACTCCCCCCATACATCGCGGCTAACGGGGCCGGTACTGCCACCGCGCCATAAACACCGCACCCGCCGCCTCAGGTGACTCCCCCCATACATCGCGGCTAACGGGGCCGGTACTGCCACCGCGCTATAAACACCGCACCCGCCGCCTCAGGTGACTCCCCCCATACATCGCGGCACAGCCACCCCGGCTGGCGGGGCCGGTACTGCCACCGCGCCATAAACACCGCACCCGCCGCCTCAGGTGACTCCCCCCATACATCGCGGCTAACGGGGCCGGTACTGCCACCGCGCTATAAACACCGCACCCGCCGCCTCAGGTGACTCCCCCCATACATCGCGGCTAACGGGGCCGGTACTGCCACCGCGCCATAAACACCGCACCCGCCGCCTCAGGTGACTCCCCCCATACATCGCGCCACAGCCACCCCGGCTGGCGGGGCCGGTACTGCCACCGCGCCATAAACACCGCACCCGCCGCCTTAGGTGACTCCTCCCATACATCGCGCCATAAGAGACTCCGAAAAGCGCTGCTGCTACTGCATAATGCATGGGCCATGGGACCACCTTGTAAGAAAGACCACAGACGGAATACTTGACTTGAAGTAGAGGGGACAATCTTACCAAAACCTACCCACCCTATAAGCATTGTCATCTTAAGATCAAAGACAAGTTACAACGATTGTCATATTGTTGAACATATTCAGCTCCCCTAGCTTGATCATCAAAATGTGATATAAAAAGGGATTTATCAACATTGACTGTTAAAGTATGGTGGAGTGAATTTGGATTTTTAGCAACATTCAACTATCAAAGTTGTGTTGCTAAAAATCCAAATTCATGCCAGGAGGGAAAATTGTGTTGATAATTTAAACATTAATACTAACATAAAGTATTCAATCTGCACAAAAGACAAGTTGCCTTATATAATCCTACAGAATTTACTTTTAACATATATTTTATACTTGGAACTAATTCATGCTTTATTTACAGGATCCTCCGAAGAATCCGATGAACACAGAAGAAACCGATGAAGAATAGATAGTTATATAGATGTTTTATTAAATTGACAAACAATAATTATGTGATTTATATAAAATTTTGTTTCATGTTTTATGATTAATGTAATTTTAATATTTTATCTAATAAATTAGTCATTTAGTTAAGTACTATGTCATACATTTTATACTTACAAATAATTATGCAATATAATGATTATATGTACATCAGCAGTTTCATTTAAATAACAAGTCCCACTTTAGTACAAACTAGGTTATGACAGGGCCGTAGCTAAGCTAGGCCGTATGCCCTAAATGTAATTTTAATATTGCTGCCCTGTCTTAAATACAACTCTGGCTACAGCCCTGGATCATTTTATTTTCAGGCACACCAATTTAGTAATAGCAAAGGGTCAATACTTGTTAATAGATTTTTTTACATCTAAGTCATATGACTGAGCCTGAAATAGATCAGAAAAAACATGAATTATTTAAAGAAATATTAATACCCTTGATACCCATCTAAAAGAGTAATGAACGAAAGACTGTTAATATCATATTCTAACCACTTCCAAGTCCTTGATTGCACAAGTAATGCAGAAAGAACCCAGCTACACCTTGTAAAAAATGTAAACATTGAGCTAATTTGAGATAAATTACATAAAAAGCGCAACACAAAACCAAATTTTTATAGGTTAGGAACAAAGTTAAAATAACACTTACTTCATAATTAAACTATCGCTAATATGTTTGGGACCACGACACGACACTCCACAATTAATCAGCAGGTAATACAATACTCTATATTTCCATAAAATTACGCACAACAAGACTGTTACGATGTTGACGAATTAATGTTTACATTTTTTTTAAACAAATTACAAAATGTCAATTTCAAATATGTCAAAAGAGGTTCATTGAATTTTCAATAGATGTCGCTAATATACAATGACGACTGATCAATGTTTTCGAAAATAAACTTGGAATTTTTCCTGAAGGCCCGCCTTCTAAGGCATAAAAATAAATTAGGTTTTATATTTAGGGTGTAACCATGTGAGTATTACGCTAAAACAATATAATTCAGCTTATAAAAAACTAACAGCGATTGTTATTCCGGTCCCCCCTCGGGCTGAGGGGCGAGATTTCCCTTTCCAATGTGAGAAATCTTATCGCGCAGACTCGTACAAAATGGCGCTTGGAAGATGTGAAGTTTTTGTTGGCTATGTTCCGCGTTCACCGATCGATAATAATGGAGGATTCGGATTTTTCCGGGTCTCTTGTGCACTCCGTAAATTTAGTGAATTCAGTGTCTGTTTGAGTGAGAAAGTCTTGAAAAGTGTTATTTTTGATCGGTTACATCACAGCAAGTTTTGGCGACTTCAAAAGCGATCTCGATATGTGTTTCAAATCACGCAGGTGCGTACGCAGCCGTAGTCTTTCTATTCTGTCTGAGCCTGCTCGAACGCGCGATTCCCCTTCATGATGGCCATTCATTTGGGCTTATCCTTTACGCCGCCGCAAAAGAGTTTGCGTCATTCGTCTTCAAAGTTGGGGCCGTCGCAGTGAAGCATGAATGCATTGGATGCAAACGGCATCCCGATTATATGCGACTCACTGTGACATAGCTTCTTAATGCATTATTTTATTGCATACAGCCTTTCCAAGCTATATACAAACCCGAAGATATAGCTCAAAGAGCTCATACATGGTTTGGTGACCAGATTCTTAAGTACCTATTGTATTACAATGGTCTAGTAGGACATTAGTGAGAGAAACTCGAGTATTGATTTTCCTGGCTTAGCTGCCTATACAAAAGTCAAGTTGGTAGCTACTATGTAGATGTAGCTAGTATGGAGAAGCAAATGATTCAGCATTTTGCTGTTTTATTGATTGTGACAATCTCATTAAAACAATCTTTTAACAACACAAGAAATAAAGTATTTAGGCACTTTGTCTTCATCTCTGTATTCAGTAATCAATAAACTTAATTCTCTTTCAAATTCCAGTTAGAATATTACATTCCAATTGGAATAAATAAAGAATCCTAGTACTATACATAATTATGAATTTTATAGATACTGATAGCAAATAACAGGTCTTGCTCAATAACATGAATATATGATTCTTAACAAAATCAATAGTTCAAAATGGTGCTAAGCTAATACTTGTAAATACAGCAGTAGACAATGAGCCTGATATGGCAAGATTCTTTAAACCAAAAACTAAATTTAATAGCTATAAATATGCTTTAAATAAAAATTATCATGAAAGTCCACTGTTAAATTTAGTTTTGAGCTCATAGAATCTGGCTTATTATTTACACTAGACATTGGCTCTGAAGAGCCAACACAGCAGAAATTAAATTAATTTCTGACCCATTGGCTGGCAAATGCCTGGTCTGAGTAAATTAATATGAAAGTTGGTGAACAAGAAGATTATGACCTGCCTCCTATTGTAAGTTGAAGTTGGCAAGTAGGGGATTATGTCTAGGATACTTACTTTCACTCCGTTAATAGCCTGCAGACCATGTTCCTCATGTCATGTCAGAAGCAGAAAAATTGTGTTTGCAGTTGTTTTCTTTTTCTCAGGCCAATGCCACAGCCTCCTAACTAGAGTACTTCTGATGACTATATTCAACACATAATAAAACATTTCATTAACCAGCTGGTTAGGGTGCATGGTTAGCTGTTGGAATCACTCAAAACCTAGTCTTTAACCATATTACAGTTAAATTAGGCAATAATTATATTATAATTTATTTAGTTCAAAATATTTTATTTTAAAGGTGGTTTTATCAAAGTTATGGTTTATCAAACAATAAATTGTATCTCAGAGCTTTAGTCATCATTCAGAAAGCATCATCAAAAGCTAAAAAGAAGCTGCTGCAATAAACTTACTACAGGAATGAATTAATTTGTTTTCCATTGTATCTAGAACGAAAAATACATTATCTTCTCACAAAGCTCTCAAGAATTATTTTTTTTGGCACCCCCAGTAATCTGTATTAAAGCCCTCAAACATTTTCAATCGAAGTCAAGAAGATGCTTCTACTGTTATAATTTAAAGACTTGATCCAACTATTTGAATATAAAACCCCCGTAATGAATGCCTGTGCCTTAATAGGATGATGATACAATGGCACAATTAAGATAATTGTGCGTATCTGCGGACTAGCACTTTCTAATATTTTAAGTAAAGCTGCTGCTAAAAATCTATTTGTAAGAAAATCCTATGCAATTCAAATCGTGGGCATCCTACAATTTTTATTTTTAAGAAATTTGAAAAAAGCAACTATATGCAATTTGTTAGTTATTATCAATGACAAAAGACTTATATTTTAAAACATATTTTATCTTGATTAATAAACTTCTTCCTTGTCGGAATGCACATTACATTTTACTTTGCCCACAGAAATTAAATCGCTGCAAGTGAGTGGGTGAAAACGGCACGACATTTGCGCCGTGAGGACACAGTAGGTCACTCCAATGGTCCTGGAGGTGAAGAGAGGTCACGACGAGGACAGCGATACCGACTTTGACATCATGAACTCGGCAGTCAGTACAGAATCGATGGATATGGCAGAGGAGGTATTATTTAATGCGTTTATATGATACTTGTACAATCTTATATGTAGCTCGCGGATCCGACATACTTTGTCGTTTACGAGAAAAATAAATCTAGAATCAGACAGAAAGACTGCAGTCACAAATATTAGCATTTGGTTTGCTAACTCTGCATATATGCCAATCGACCGACGAACAGACGACACCTTTGAATTTGCGCACCAACAGACTGTCAAAACTTGTTTAGCAGTTGCTGTGTGGGTGTTGACTGAAGCTTAATCCGTAATCGGCCGAACTGCTCGGGCGCCATCAACCAAACTCAGCTGCTCCGAATGGACAAGAATTCTGCAAAATGTGGCCACTAGGGCCGCTGTTATCGCTTGACCCAAAACTTCGATCAAATACATACCTATTAGCTTCTATTCATTTTTAAGCTTTTTATTAAACAACATACAAATGCCGAGTTGTTGTGAGAGCATGAGCATGCTTACCGACTAAAATATTTTTTTTTATGTTGCTTTGAGGGGGGGAGGGGGTAAACTGAGCTGCTGTTTACATCATTGTATGTATCTGGGGCAGATAATTGCATCTGAATGTCTTCATTTTGATTAGAAAAAACTGCTCTCTCAAAAAACTTAATGAGATGTCTGACTGATGCATAAATAAGATAGATTTGACTAATGAACCTGCTAAAAGTTACTCAGATCCGTGTACTATTAAAATAATCATGGAAAATGCATCTATGTCTGAGAATGAGCATTCTAGCATAATAATAGAAAGAGTACCTTTCTACTAGATCAACTTTTCTGCCTTGCACAGATGCTCCTCTCCTTTTCAATTCTGTTTTAGCTGTATTACAAACCATGTTAAATACATTTTCACCACTTATTTAATATTTTTAACAACAAAAAACACGTTTAAAATTTGACTGCGGTAATTTTGGCTGTGGTTTGGATCAAGCGTTTGCAGCGCCATCTATGTCGAGCTTTGCGTATACTTCTCCATTAAACGCATGTTTAGTATCTAAGTATTTGGGAGTCATCGGACGATGACAGGAGGAGTGCACGCGCTCTCTTTGGTTGCTTTCCAATTACAGCATTATTGCGCATTATGCGGCATAATGCTTAACGTTGAGTGTTCCAACTACAGCAACGCTTCGCACAATTGAGCACTCTCAAAAGCAATGCTTTCGTGTGATGCGTGCAATGGTACCAACTAAGAGAAAGAAAATTAACAAGTGTTTTTTCTTTAAGTTGGCATTGATCGAAATGTTTTATTTATATGTTATCGTTAGTAATATTATTTATTGTTGAAAAATTATTAAAGGTTTGGTTTCATTACATAGCTTTTTTTTAAATAATCAAAGTTCATTCAAACTGTTAAAAAATAAATATAAGTATGAATGAAGGTACAAACATTGACTTTTTTTTTCAACACTGAACTTAGCGCACTCTGCTGGTGCATTTGAATTCAGGTTCCAATTAAGCATCAGCATAATTGGGCATTGTGCGGCACTGAGTCGCATTATGCTCTGTAATTGGAAAGCATACTTTGTTTTGATCGGCCGAGCTTGGTTGGTTACGGCCGAGCATAGTTGGCACTAGTACAAGGGTTGGGTACGTCGGGTCGGGCGCAGGACATGTCGCAGGTGGAGGGGTGCGGGTTGAGCGGGTCGGAGGAGGACGACGAGTGTGCGTCGTCCCCGGCCGGCTCCGCCTACGACGATCAAGACATGATCAAGACGGCCATGAGCGACGAGGTCACCAAGCAACTCGCCGCCGCAGGTTACTATACCTAATTATTTTCTTTTACAATTTTAGTTTCATTTAAAATTAACATTAACAATTTAAATCTAAAGAAACGTTTTACTAGAACAAAATTCACCAGGCAGCGGACGGGACTCGAACCTCACCTTCGCAATCCGGGCAAATGCACTGACCAAGTATCACGCATAATTGGTCAGTGCATTCGCCCGGATTGGCGAAGTGTGCGGGTAAACATCTAGCAGTTAAATTCTTAAATAATATAAAAAAATAAATAACATACTTAACAATTTATTTATTAGCTAAACTTCTAAAGTTTCTTGAAAAGAGTTACATGTACAACTTCAGGCGAATCCAATTGGAATTCTAATTTAAGATAAACATCATCATCATCAGCCTATTAATGTTCCCTATGGATGGAATAGGGAGATTGGGCCACGACCCACCACGCGGGCCCAGTGCGGATTGGCGGGTGCTAACGACTGCAGATGCAGCCGGGACCAACGGCTTAACGTGCCCTCCGAAACACGGAGGAACTCGAGATAGAGGATTTTTGGTCACCCATCCAATGACCGACCACTGCGAAAATTGCTTAACTTCCAACGATCGCAGCCGATAATAAATTTCTCTAATTTAAAAAGTTTAAAATTTTTTTAGAGCATTTTAGGTACTGACTGATGTTAAGTTTACAAATAACAAACACGAATAGCCAAGTGAAGAGTCGGCATTGAATGTGTGCAGTCCAGGGGGTCTACTCTCTTTCTCCGAAACGAACTTTCGATAAAGAAAAACAAACGAAATTTAATTTCGTCAATATATTATGGTTCTACTTAATTTGAACGATAAACTGTCAAATTAAAGCTTTCTTTGAGTAGGCTTAGAAAAACTACTCCTCAATCTTTATTATAACTAAAAACGAACCAAAAACATATTAATAATTATTTGTTTCTAAAGTTTTCACGCACATCACTCATTAAATAAAACTAGTCTTTTTTTAGTTAGAATTTTTATTTTTTAAAGCATGTAACTGCTTGGTGTTTAAATCTAAAGAAAATATAACTAGAAAAAAAATCCACGCGGACCAGGCAGCAGACGGGACTCGAACCCGCACCCTTCGCAATCCGGGCGAATGCACTGACCAATTATGCTACCGCGGCCCTCAAGGACCGCGTCGAAATTCCTCTAGCTATTCTTAAGCTGCAAGGCAGCGCCATCTATTCGCATTGTAGGTAACCCACAATGTCAAATGAATACTTTTACAAGTATTAAACATTTGAAAGAAGAAATAGCAATTATAGTTAGAATTTTTATTTTTTAAAGCATGTAACTGCTTGATGTTTAAATCTAAAGAAATATAACTAGAAAAAAATCCACGCGGACCAGGCAGCAGACGGGACTCGAACCCGCACCCTTCGCAATCCGGGCGAATGCACTGACCAATTATGCTACCGCGGCCCTCAAGGACCGCGTCGAAATTCCTCTAGCTATTCTTAAGCTGCAAGGCAGCGCCATCTATTCGCATTGTAGGTAACCCACAATGTCAAATGAATACTTTTACAAGTATTAAACATTTGAAAGAAGAAATAGCAATTATAGTTAGAATTTTTATTTTTTAAAGCATGTAACTGCTTGATGTTTAAATCTAAAGAAAATATAACTAGAAAAAAATCCACGCGGACCAGGCAGCAGACGGGACTCGAACCCGCACCCTTCGCAATCCGGGCGAATGCACTGACCAATTATGCTACCGCGGCCCTCAAGGACCGCGTCGAAATTCCTCTAGCTATTCTTAAGCTGCAAGGCAGCGCCATCTATTCGCATTGTAGGTAACCCACAATGTCAAATGAATACTTTTACAAGTATTAAACATTTGAAAGAAGAAATAGCAATTATAGTTAGAATTTTTATTTTTTAAAGCATGTAACTGCTTGATGTTTAAATCTAAAGAAAATATAACTAGAAAAAAATCCACGCGGACCAGGCAGCAGACGGGACTCGAACCCGCACCCTTCGCAATCCGGGCGAATGCACTGACCAATTATGCTACCGCGGCCCTCAAGGACCGCGTCGAAATTCCTCTAGCTATTCTTAAGCTGCAAGGCAGCGCCATCTATTCGCATTGTAGGTAACCCACAATGTCAAATGAATACTTTTACAAGTATTAAACATTTGAAAGAAGAAATAGCAATTATAGTTAGAATTTTTATTTTTTAAAGCATGTAACTGCTTGATGTTTAAATCTAAAGAAAATATAACTAGAAAAAAATCCACGCGGACCAGGCAGCAGACGGGACTCGAACCCGCACCCTTCGCAATCCGGGCGAATGCACTGACCAATTATGCTACCGCGGCCCTCAAGGACCGCGTCGAAATTCCTCTAGCTATTCTTAAGCTGCAAGGCAGCGCCATCTATTCGCATTGTAGGTAACCCACAATGTCAAATGAATACTTTTACAAGTATTAAACATTTGAAAGAAGAAATAGCAATTATAGTTAGAATTTTTATTTTTTAAAGCATGTAACTGCTTGATGTTTAAATCTAAAGAAAATATAACTAGAAAAAAATCCACGCGGACCAGGCAGCAGACGGGACTCGAACCCGCACCCTTCGCAATCCGGGCGAATGCACTGACCAATTATGCTATTTATATTTTTCTAGTTATATTTTCTTTAGATTTAAACATCAAGCAGTTACATGCTTTAAAAAATAAAAATTCTAACTATAATTGCTATTTCTTCTTTCAAATGTTTAATACTTGTAAAAGTATTCATTTGACATTGTGGGTTACCTACAATGCGAATAGATAGCGCTGCCTTGCAGCTTAAGAATAGCTAGAGGAATTTCGACGCGGTCCTTGAGGGCCGCGGTAGCATAATTGGTCAGTGCATTCGCCCGGATTGCGAAGGGTGCGGGTTCGAGTCCCGTCTGCTGCCTGGTCCGCGTGGATTTTTTTCTAGTTATATTTTCTTTAGATTTAAACATCAAGCAGTTACATGCTTTAAAAAATAAAAATTCTAACTATAATTGCTATTTCTTCTTTCAAATGTTTAATACTTGTAAAAGTATTCATTTGACATTGTGGGTTACCTACAATGCGAATAGATGGCGCTGCCTTGCAGCTTAAGAATAGCTAGAGGAATTTCGACGCGGTCCTTGAGGGCCGCGGTAGCATAATTGGTCAGTGCATTCGCCCGGATTGCGAAGGGTGCGGGTTCGAGTCCCGTCTGCTGCCTGGTCCGCGTGGATTTTTTTCTAGTTATATTTTCTTTAGTCTTTTTTTTTCTTTTTGTTTGCATGGTTTAACATAAGAAGGTGATAGAAAGCCTCTCTTGAGTTTGTTTCGCCGGTTCTTCTCAGAAAGGTCTCCCAATTTTGGAACCGGTGGTAGTTTACGGTAGTTAGGGTGAAATAAATAAACTCAAAATTACAAAAAATAATTTTAAATAAAGTACTTTATTATCTAAATTAACTAATAAATTCATACATAGACAATAAAGTTTTAAAAATCTTCCAATGAAATATCCGAATGCTCAATAAAAGTCTTTCGAAGGTAGCTTGACAAAGTAAATAAAAAATCGTCAATAAATAAATAAAGTTCGTGCCTTAACCTGTTAAAACTAGTTTTATTTATATTAAGTAATTGTTGAATAAGAGTAGGCCTCCAGTTGTAGAGGTAGCTCATGCGGCAAATAAACGCGTGATCGCAAAACCAACACAGGCACCACTATCGCAACTGGTTTATACTGGCACTTGATATCTGGTGTGGTGAAGAGGAGTCGTTTGCCATTGAATAGTAACAAAAATTATAGATTCGCTTTCCATTAAATTAAATTAAAAAGTTAATTGCCACGGTTTTGAATATGACTATTGCCTACTAAATTAGGACCGTGAACTTTCTTTGCAGTATCAGCTACAATATTCAGAAAAATGGTTGCCTGTAAAGTCGGTTTTACGGGCGAAGATTTTACGTGACAACGTCTTTTTCTCGGTAGAATATTTATTGATATGAATATAATTAAATTGCACAATAGGAACAAGGAATTGAATGAAAATAAGAATTGCACAAATTTTAACTATAGAAATATATTTTGTTTACTAAAACATTGTACATGTAAACTTAAACTCATCGTAACGTTACCGAGCGTTACACTTTTTCATAAGTGACTCCCAGCCGCAACCTAATTTAAGACGTTGTCACGTCAAAAACATTGTCTTGTCAGTAAAAAATCTCACGAGAAAGCAAGCACGGTAGTTCCCAGTTGTTATGGCTCACACGAACATTTACAATTATACAAATAAAGCTTGAAGGGTGTTGAAGTACATCATATAAGGATGATTAATAAAAATATCGGTCATTTTAAGACACGTCACTAGTTCGAGGATCATTAAAAATAACTGTTTTTATAAAAAGTTAAAATTTCATGCAAATATTTTAAGAAAATTGGAGAAGACTCCTTATATGATGTACTTCAACGCCCTTCAAGCTTTATTTGTATTTTTGTAACACCCTGTATAGCAATAATAATTATTCTCGAATTATTATTGTTAGCTACACTAACATTTGTGATTTCTACACACAGGCCCAGTGGGAATGGCTGCTGCTGCCGCCATAGCGTCGTCCAAGAAGCGCAAGCGGCCGCACTCGTTCGAAACCAACCCCTCCGTCAGGAAACGACACCAAAACAGACTCCTCAGGAAGCTAAGAGTAAGAGATAACATTTAATTGTTACATAGTTTTGCAGGGCTAAAAATTAAGTCATTTAACGACAACAAAAACGATGGAGGTATATGCTGAACTGATTAAATTACTTTTGATTATCTTAAAATAGGGTATTTGATAGTATTAAAAATAAAGTGCCAATTGTTAGCATCTGTGTTTAAAATGAATATTGACAAGGATTTTTACTATTTTTACAAAAAATATATTCATAATTATACAAAAACTAACGAAAGAGATAATAGTTTTCTTATCTATAGTCACGTGACCCAAAACGCTTGGGATAGGCGGAGCCTAAAATGACGTCACATGCAAGTAAACTTCCGATTAAAGTGATATTACATTGTATCGTTTGACGTTTTAATAACAGTCGTGTGACGTCACACACTAGTAAGACGCCATATTGTCCAAAGAAACGTTTTCCCGGCAACTTTAAAATGGAGTTTTTGACATAGTTATTTTTACTGAAATACACAACAAAATTGATGAATATCCACTTGTTACGGACTCCATAAACATTATTCAGTAACATGAGATCGTTTTCTAAAACTTGTCAAATAGCCTATAGTAGTAAGTAATGTTTTTCGCTCTAATTGGAGCACCCATTGAGGAAGTATTCTGCACCTTACAGGACGCCATAGCAGCATAAACATGTACTGGTTATTGAGCTAACTTCCAAATATCCGGGATCACGCCAGCAAATCGAGGATTCTCAATTGTTTCAGCTATCGTATTCTCTCGGAGGAGCTCGATGGCGCAAGTGGTTAGCGCGTTCGGCTGCGGTCGTTGAACTTAAGCAACTTTCGCAGTGGTCGGACATTGGATGGGTGACCAAAAATTACGATCTCGAGCTACTCCGTGCTTCGGAAGGCACGTTAAGCCGTTGGTCCCGGCTGCATCTGCAGTCGTTAGCACCACCCACCAATCCGCACTGGGCCCGCGTGGTGGGTCATGGCCCACATCTCCCTATTCCATCCATAGGGAAGGCCTGTGCCCCAGCAGTGGGGACATTAATAGGCTGATGATGATGATCTTCGCGACCTTATTACACTTGCATTTGACGTCTTGTTGAATGGGATAATTATTTTTTGGAGACCTTCAATGGGTTGCAAAATTTCACCAATTTTCAATGTTTATCATTTAAGTTCTACTTGCCGCGTGAATGGGCTGAGTCTAAAGCCCATGGGCAATAAGTCGGGGGGGGAGATAGTGTGATTCAAACATATAATAAAAATGCGTAGGTTTAGATTACTGACATCCTGCCTGTACAACCCTACATTTTGTTTACTGTGCAGCAATAGGGTATTTGACAAGTTTTAGAAAACGATCTCACGTTATTGACTTATGTTTATGGAGTCCGTAAAAAGTGGATATTCATCATTCTATTGTGTGTTTCTGTAAAAATAACCATATCAAAAACTCCATTTTCAAGTTGCCCGGAAAACGTTTCTCTGTCACTGCTGGACATAGGCCTCCCCCAAGGATCTCCACAACGATCGGTCCTGCGCTGCCCGCATCCAGCGTTTTCCCGCGACCTTCACCAGATCGTCGGTCCACCTTGTAGCGGGTCTTCCCACTGAGCGTCGTCCGGCACGCGGTCGCCATTCGAGAACCTTTCCGCCCCAACGGCCATCGGTTCTCCTCGCTATATGTCCCGCCCACTGCCACTTCAGCTGGGCTATTCTTCGAGCTATGTCGGTGACTTTAGTTCTCCTACGGATCTCGTAATTTCTGACTCTATCACGCAGGGAAACACCAAGCATAGCTCTCTCCATTGCCCGCTGGGCGACCTTGAGCCGTCCTATGAGATCCATAGTAAACGACCACGCCTCACTGCCATAGGTCATCACTGGCAACACACACTGGTTAAAGACTTTCGTCTTAAGGCACTGAGGTATTTTGGACGCGAAGATGTTCCGCAGCTTCTTTGTAATACTAAATGCACTGTACTTACATAGATGCCTTGTCGTTTCTCTGCTCCGCAGAGTAGAAATAGAGGTTTAGTGCAAAAAAATCACCATCCAATGCGTCAATTCTTGGCAGATTTGTGCTTTCTGCTTTCACAAAGTCGGCATCCATAATTAGTTTTGTCAAAAAAACAGTAAACGGAAACTTTTCTAAAGTTAAAAGTGTTTTAAGATAAATTTAGTTAGACGAAAGAATCCACCCACAGTAACACGTGAATGACATTTAGTTGTTTACCACAAGAGACGTCACAATCATGGCGGCTGTGGCGAACAGTTTAAAAAATATAGACTAAAAAATATTTTTTAAAATTAAATTTCTACAGCATTCTTCTGCTTTTATGAAGTGAAATCGATATATTTAGGTTCCTTAGACCAAATACTTTAAGAAATAAACATTTATTTAATACAATTCGACATGAGTCAACTAGCCTATTGGCACTTTATTTTTAATACTGTCAAATACCGTATTTGCGTTAACTTAACAACAAAAATCTTCATCTCGAGTTCCTTCGTAATTTGGAAGGCACGTTAAGCCGTTGTCCCGGCTGCATTTGCAGTCGTTAGCACGCGCCAATCCGCACTCGGCGCGCGTGGTGGGTCATGGCCCAATCTCCCTATTCTATCCATAGGTTCAGGCTTCTGCCCCAGCAGTGGGGACATTAATAGACTGACGATGATGGTGATCGTAATATGAGGTTGTGTTCGCTCGCAGCAAACGATCGAGGAGTTCGCGACGCGCGTGGGGCAGCAGGCGGTGGTGCTGGTGGCGACTCCCGGCAAGCCCAACACCTCGTACCGCGTGTTCGGCGCCAAGCCCCTGGAGGACGTGGTCCGCAATCTGCGCTGCATGATCATGGAGGAGCTGGAGAACGCGCTCGCGCAGCAGGTGAGGGACTTTACCTGCCATTCGGTCGGCCTTCACATCTCGTGCCAGGTGTACATATGGCGAGCGCAATCGTTCTTAGATGTTAAAAACATAATAGTTGTTATGGGAAGTAGGTATGGTGCTAGAGAACATAAAATTGAATTATAGTAATATAAGTTATTTATGGGATTGTTACCATGTATAATGCGATTCAACTAAGAATAGGACCGACTGGGCGCCATATTGTGACGTCATAGCTGTTAATTCAAACCAAATAGGTACAGTGAGCAAAAAAAGTTTTTATTTAATAAAACTTGTTTACTAAGATTAAATGAGAAAAAACATCCGATTTTTTTAATAAAATTTATTTACTAAGATTATGAAAAAGAAAAAAGCAGATTTTTAATAATATTTACTTATCCAGACTGTGGAAAAAAACATTAATCAGAATCTAGCTCTTCAATTCCGCTCATTTCTGCTTTGCCGCCGGAGTAGTTATAAATAATCATGCAGAACGCAACCTAAAGTGTCATTTGGTTGGCGATTTAGGCTATCAACCATTCATAGCCAAAGCTTAATAAATGAAAAATATATCAACCAATATTAATTATCAATATTTATTATTGTTTGTTTACAAATGTTTGGTTTTTATTCTACAATGAGCAGAGTGCTAAAAAAAGATTCCAAGTCTTTTTTTGCAAGCCGTACTTTTCGAGCGACATTTGACAGATGGAGGTCATTGGCTTTCCTATTCCTATTTGAATCGCACTATACCTTGTCTTTAACGAGTTTGCAATATTTCGGCACTGTTGCAAGCGCCATGATCACGGAGTAACTAACGAATGTTACTCCGTGATCGTGGCGCTTGCAACTAATAAATGTTACTCCGTGATCATGGCGCTTGCAACATACACAACAACAAAAAAAAAACAAGGTACATGTTAACAATCCCGTAAACTTAAATTACTATAATGTTAGTGACTATGAAAGTATAAACAATATAAAATTGAATTGAAAAGTTTAGCAAACACTTTTTAATTAGTATTGTTTTTGGTTTCTAAAATGAGACTTGGAAGCTGTCAAAATCAAATTGGATGCACGATACAGCTCCTGAAGTATCCAATACAGTTTCAGGAGCTTCAAATTTAATAAGGACTTAACGTAATTTTACCGTTTTTAGTGAACATCGCAGTAGGGTATTTGACAATTTTTAGACAACGATTTCACGTTATTAGCTAATGTTTATAGAGTCCGTAAACAGTGGATATTCATCATTCTGTTGTGTATTTCAGTAAAAATGACCATGTCAAAATCTCCATTTTCAAGTTGCCGCGAAAACGTTTCTCTGGACAATTTGGCGTCTTACTAGTGTGTGACGTCACACGACTGTTATTAAAACGTCAGACGATACAATGTAATGTCAATTTAACCGGAAGTTTACTTGCGTGTGACGTCATTTTAGGCTCCACCAATCCCAAGCGTTTTGGGTCACGTGACATTAGATAAGAAATCTATTATCTTTTTCGTGGGTTTTTAGTAAAATTATGAATAGTTTTTTTGCACCAATTATAAAAACCCCTGCCAATATTCATTCTAAATACAGATGCAAACAATTGGCACTTTATTTTTAATACTGTCATATACCCTGTTCTCATGGGGAGCCCCTTGTATTGATTTACCCCCCGTAAATAAGAATAGCAGCAAATATTTTCAGTAAATATCACGGGGGTATTGGGTGGGTATAATGGAGGCCATACACGTTAGGTTTTGCATGATGGTTTTAACCGTACATTCATAACCGACATGCATAACCGAGTTACATGCACTGAAAACTGTACAGTTTTATCACATACACGCTAGGGCTTGCATGTCGGTTATGCATGTACGGCTAAAACCATCATGCAAAACCTAATGTGTATGACCTCCATAAGTGGGCTACTCAATCACACTGTACGTTACTTTGATCGCGAAGCTGCCTCGACATATCGTACCCGGCTTTATTGAATATTGTAGAATGTTTTCTTAAAAGTAAAAAATATAAATCTTTCGTAATACATTATGGAAGGAAGTTAATACGATTGCGGTAATTTGTGTGCTGTCAATGCTTTTCATAAAATAAAGCATATTTTTTATTTAACTAAGCCAATGTGCAGAAATTATATACAAAAAGTATTAAATTGTCTGTATTACAAAAAATCCGCCCAAATAGCGAAGGGTACGGGTTCGAGCCCCGTCTGCTTTTTTCTTGAGATTTTATTGAAGTTAAATTTAGGGCTGATGTTTCAATTATGGGATAAAACTTATGTGTTTATAAAGTTGCTATGGCTGAAATAAAATTGTCAAACATGTCTTAAAACTAATCATTTTCATTTGAAGAATAACTTATATACTGAAACAGACATATCATTTTTGTCTAGGCATTGAAATATGAGCCCTTTAGATTTTCGTGTATAAGTAAATTTAGACCTAGTTAAACTGTCTATATTGGATAAATAGACAAAGTTGAAAATCTTAGTAGAATATATCTAAGACAAAGTTGAAAATCTTAGAAGAATATATCCAAGACAGTTTAGCTATGGTTGTCTCAATCTCAATTTAGCATGCTACCCGACCATATATTAGGTGTTATTAAAATAGCAGCATCTCGGAACTTGCCAGATCATTAATATCTGAATGCTAGTATTTTGTATCTTTAACGGAATTTATGTAACCCAAACACAATCATTTGCCCTGATTCAAATTGAATTTCCTAAACAGTAAATCGCAATTCATAATGCAGATTGTTTGGCGAGTTGTGTACTTTTAGGGCGTAACGTAGAGTATCCATTTAGTGTAACTGCTGATTTGAATTGTCGTTAAAATCGACGCCATTTGGGCAATAATCGAGTTTGAATCGAGAGTAAAGTGTTAGTTTATTATCAGACTGAGAGTAATTCGTTATCTCGTCAAGTATTGGATTAACTTTGCGTCTCTGAATTAATAAAAAATGCTATATGATTTCTTATTTTTGCTACTTTTCGAGTAACAAACCATATAAGATTTTGGGTATTATTTAAAATTCTGGGTTGACTTTTGGGAAGGGAATGCTCAGGGATAGGGTGTGAGTCGTATATGGTCAAAGCTAATAAAAGTCTCATTCAAAACACTTTAAAAACAAACAGTTCATCATATAGTTATTAGAACAGAAACAATTTAGTCGTTACGTTTAAAGACGATTTCGGGGATCAGTAAGATCAGTGGGGTGGGGTATATACTGGGCTATCGGGTCTGGGTTGGTCAGTAGGGGGTCGGGTAGCATGCCTGGCGCTGGCTTGGCTGCGCGGCTGAGTAACGTGGGTCAGTTCGGGCTGGGCGGCTGCGATCAGGCCCCGCCGCCGCCCGCAGACGACCCCTCGCTGTTCGAGCTGCCCCCCCTCATCATCGACGGCATCCCCACGCCCGTCGAGAAGATGACGCAGGCCCAGCTGCGCGCCTTCATACCGCTCATGCTCAAGTACTCCATGGGTGAGTGACATACTATATACCCCTCGCTGTTCGAGCTGCCCCCCCTCATCATCGACGGCATCCCCACGCCCGTCGAGAAGATGACGCAGGCCCAGCTGCGCGCCTTCATACCGCTCATGCTCAAGTACTCCATGGGTGAGTGACATACTATATACCCCTCGCTGTTCGAGCTGCCCCCCCTCATCATCGACGGCATCCCCACGCCCGTCGAGAAGATGACGCAGGCCCAGCTGCGCGCCTTCATACCGCTCATGCTCAAGTACTCCATGGGTGAGTGACATACTATATACCCCTCGCTGTTCGAGCTGCCCCCCCTCATCATCGACGGCATCCCCACGCCCGTCGAGAAGATGACGCAGGCCCAGCTGCGCGCCTTCATACCGCTCATGCTCAAGTACTCCATGGGTGAGTGACATACTATATACCCCTCGCTGTTCGAGCTGCCCCCCCTCATCATCGACGGCATCCCCACGCCCGTCGAGAAGATGACGCAGGCCCAGCTGCGCGCCTTCATACCGCTCATGCTCAAGTACTCCATGGGTGAGTGACATACTATATACCCCTCGCTGTTCGAGCTGCCCCCCCTCATCATCGACGGCATCCCCACGCCCGTCGAGAAGATGACGCAGGCCCAGCTGCGCGCCTTCATACCGCTCATGCTCAAGTACTCCATGGGTGAGTGACATACTATATACCCCTCGCTGTTCGAGCTGCCCCCCCTCATCATCGACGGCATCCCCACGCCCGTCGAGAAGATGACGCAGGCCCAGCTGCGCGCCTTCATACCGCTCATGCTCAAGTACTCCATGGGTGAGTGACATACTATATACCCCTCGCTGTTCGAGCTGCCCCCCCTCATCATCGACGGCATCCCCACGCCCGTCGAGAAGATGACGCAGGCCCAGCTGCGCGCCTTCATACCGCTCATGCTCAAGTACTCCATGGGTGAGTGACATACTATATACCCCTCGCTGTTCGAGCTGCCCCCCCTCATCATCGACGGCATCCCCACGCCCGTCGAGAAGATGACGCAGGCCCAGCTGCGCGCCTTCATACCGCTCATGCTCAAGTACTCCATGGGTGAGTGACATACTATATACCCCTCGCTGTTCGAGCTGCCCCCCCTCATCATCGACGGCATCCCCACGCCCGTCGAGTTAGTGACATATTGTATATATCCAACACTTTTTCTTAAATAAGTTTATTTTTTTTTATTCCACGGAAATTTTGAGCATTTTGCCGGGATAAAAGCCGCCTTTGTCTCGAACTTTAAAGTTGTCCCTGTCGACTTATGTGTACCAAATTTCATCCAAATTCCTTGTTTGTTGCTCGACTGTTAAGAAATATGTTTTTAACAAGTTTTAGGACAGAGGTTAGCAATTTAACCAGTATTTATTTATTTAAACTTTATTGCCACAATTGCAAAATGAACAAAAGGCGGACTTTACGCTAAAAGTATATTTCTTATCTTCTTGGAATTCCATAACCTAGCATACAACTAGTCAACATTTGTAAATTTTCATACGTCTCTGTTAGCAAATCTTATTCTTTCATTGTGTACTCCATCTACATATAAAGATAGTCTGTGCCCCAGCTAAGTAGACATGATCTTATCTAAAACTGAACCCCTCCACACTTTTATGAGTGATCTCAGACCACTCTACCACTAAGCATACGTAGTACTGAAAATAAGTTTGAGTTCAAAAAACTTGTGCGTGAACACTACCTGACTACGTGATTTTTCCCTATAGTTTGCATCGATATATATTATATTTATTGTATTTTATGTATGTTTTTGTATATGTTATATGAGTATTTTATATATGTGCATCAATTTGTATTTAAGTATTATTATTTTATTGCTGTTATTTTGATATTGTTCATTTTATTTAATTTTAGCAACTTTGCTCTATCGCCATACTATTTGTCTCCAACAATCATACTGGTTGACTGGTAGAGAATGCCTATGGCATTAAGTCCGCCGTTTGCTTATGTTTGGTAATAAAGTTTAAATAAATAAATAAAATCTCAGCGTGCTGACACGTTCGGGTCTAGCCGTCGACTGAATTAACCAAATGACCAATGACTATAGCTAATTTGAGTGTGTTTGCATCTGTTCACTCATTGTGCATCTAAAAGTCCATTCTATCTATTTCTACACTTAATAAAAACTAAATTAGATATTTGCTAAAAATCTGCTCGACAGGTAATAATAGTAGGGGAGTCCAAGCGCGGATTTTTGGATAAACTCGAGCGCGGCAGAATAACATAAGGGAGCTTACCTCTTGTGAAATACTCCTACCATATCTGAGCCCTCTATGTAGGGGCGGACGTCTTGAGCAGCAAAAAACAATTTTCCAACAAACTGCTACGACTTTTGGTCATTTGCATGTAATAGTAAGACAATGGAGGGGCGTTCAGTTTTAGATGAAACGATCTCTCCTACCATGATAGTTGTTGATGATCGGTTGGTATAATAGGGATTATGGCTATTTTTTTTTTCTTCGTTCATCAGGTAGATTATCAAAAAGTATTGGACACGTATTTTTTCTTTTTTCACATAATATAAACTTTACAGAGCTATATTGATTTGAAAAGTCGCATGACGTCACGTTTTGGTACACTTTTAAGTGAAAATTCACTCAAAAGTGACGTCACGAGCCCCTACTCCCAAACTTTGACGCGCTATAACTTTGTCATTTTTTGGTTGATTGCCCAAAGAAAAAATACGTGTCCATTATTTTTTGATCATCTAACTGACGGACTACATAGAATTTCGTTTACTGTACCCCGTCGTCACCCCTATTATATGTATTGCTGTGGTCCAGTTCGCGGCAAGCCGGGCTGGGGCCGCGAGTCGACCAGGCCCCCGTGGTGGCCCAAGGACCTGCCGTGGGCCAACGTGAGGATGGACGCGCGCTCCGAGGACGAGAAACAGAAGGTAAACATATCACACGCTTACCACAGCGACATCTAGTCTCTACTCACTGTAACCCCGCGTTTACACAAAGTATAATACACTAGCAGCCGCCCGCGACTTCGTACGCCTGGAGTTAGTTAGAAACTAGCAAACCAGTGAACCAAATATTCACCAAAACCTGATTTAAAAAAAAAATGTATTTAATTAATTGAGAACTTCGGAGATTTTGTGTGGTTTTGATTTCTCGAAAACCAGAAGTGCTACGTTACTCAAATCCGGTTTGTAGTCTTATCAGACTATTCTTAACTTATAACTTAAATATTCTCTTTATCTATCTCTTACGGTTTGGCCGCTGAAACAGCACCACAGACAGACGGACGGACGGACTTGTCTAATAGATAAGAGATAAAGGTTCACTGCTCGTTCCCCAAAGGTGATAGCGTGATAATATATAGCGTATATGTTGACCCGACTTCTTAATAATATTCGTGCCAAATTTGAAGTAAATCCATGTAGTACTTTTTGAGTTTATCTCGGACATATATACAGACAAACAAACAAAGATCTAAAAACTATATTTTTAGCTTCGGTATCGATTGTAGATCACACCCCAAGTATTATTTTTTAAATATATTCAATGTACAGTTTTGACTTTCCTACCATTTTATTCTATGTATGATGTATTTAACAAATTTCATATAGTCTGTCCCAAACGAATTTAGACCAATGGTAAACGAACAGTTTACCTCTCAATTCCCACGTAATGAATCACTAAATGGATTTCTCGACACATTAATTTGCATTCCAATGTGTTTGACATATTAAATCACTATCTTTTATAGCACTAATTTATTTATTAATTTATGAAAAATCATAAATAAAATCTCAAGTCGAAAAGTAAGGTTATTTTGGCAGGCGGGAATTGTCTGTTGTCTATTATTGAACAGTGTTGCACCGAAAGGTCTATTCAAAATTATTTCAATTGACGTTAATAATCGAATAGTAAATCGATAAAATAAATTGTGATGGGCTAAAAAATCATCTCATTTTTATCAGTAATCCTACATGTGTAAAATTTATTTCTTTGATACACTTAGGTTATTTTTTTTAAATAATAATCAATACAGTTATGTATTCACATTTGTATAATAAACGTAAAGTTTGACTATTGTTGAACGGAGTAACAAAACTGAATTATATATAATAGACGAACCTAGATATTTAATATATCATGCAAACCAATTGTTCAAAAAGAGTTTTATTAAGTTACAAAATCTAATATATAAAATTGTCGTGTCGCGGTGTTTGTGGTTAAACTCCCCTGAAACGGCTTTCCCGATTCTCATGAAATTTTGTGTGCATATTGGGTAGGTCTGAGAATCGGACAACATCTATTTTTCATCCCCCTAAATGTTAAGGGTAATCCACGCCTAAATTTTTTTTTCAATTTTACAGATTTTTTTTTTAATTTTTTTATGATACATCATACAAAAATACATACATCCCTAAATTTTCAACTTTCTACTACCAACCCCTATTTTTTTATGGCGGTACGAAGTGCGCTGGGTCAGCTAGTATAGTTATATATTGCCAAATACAGTTAACAGCTAGAGCTCGTTTTTGAGTAGTGACGATAAAAAAATATTAATGTTACAAATTGAGCCTTATAGATTTTTAACAATTTCTAAGAATATGATCATGATAACATAATAGTAAGAATATGAATATGATCCTGGTGTTCTATTAAACAGGCAGTTTACTGCCCAGTTTAGACAACAGTCTCTCCATAATATATTTGGTACTGTAAATATATCTGTTGTAAATACAAACAATATGTCTGCACCAAAATTTTTGTATTGTGGTGAGAATAAATAAACATTATTATTATTCAATCGTGCAATTGATTTTGATAAGACTATGAATCCCCAACACTAAACTGTCTATGGTCAGACTTAACCACTTGTTTGTTTACTTTTGGTCTTAATTCGTTTGAAACAAACTACATAGAAATAATATATTTATTACTAGCTGACCCAGCGAACTTTGTACCGCCATAAAAATAGGGGCAGGTGGTAGAAGAGAAAATTTAGGGTTGTATGTATTTTTTAATACCACATAAAAAAAATTGTCAAAAAAAATTTTTAGGGGTGTGTAACCTAGTGTTCTATCAATTTCCTGGGATAACATTCCTCCTAACCCATATGAGAACACTACGTTACAATACCCAATAGTTTGAATTTTGCCGCGAAGGCACATTGTAGGTTTCAGAACACTACGTTACAAGTGGACAAACATTATCACTTAAGGATATGAAAAATTTATAGTAGCCGATTCTCAGACCCACGGAATATGCATATAAAATTTCATAGTATGGTAGCTAACATTGTGACACGCGAAATTTATATAAAAGATATCATTGAGTACAATGAAAATTGTCTGGCACAGATGTCATGGACGCACGCGCTACGTCAGATAGTGATCAACTGCTACAAGTACCACGGCCGCGAGGACCTGCTGCCCGCCTTCACCGAGGACGACGAGAAGGGGCCGCCCACGCAGCCCGTCAGTATTATTATTATTATAATAATAATAAATATTTACAACACACACACACAATCACACACCAATTAGCCTAACCCAAAGTAAGCACTGTAAGGCTTGTGTTATGGGATACTAGGGTAACGAATAGAATACATATACTGTACTAGCGGCCCGCCCTCGCTTCGCTTCGGTGTAGAGCTGAAGTGTAGACTACAGTTTTTGTTCTCAGGCTTTTATTATACACAATGACATTCATCTATGATTCTTCTTATACCTGCATGCAAAGTCTCAGCCCGATCGGTTTAAAATTGACAAAGTTTCATACAAACTTTCATTCCCTATTTTATCCCTTGGGGGTAGAATTGATCAAAATCCTTTCTTAGCGGATGCTTACGTCATAACATCTACCTGCATGCCAAATTTCAGCCCGATTCGTCCAGTGGTTTGGGCTGTGCGTTGATAGATCACTATGTCAGTCAGTCAGTCACCTTTGAGTTTTATATATATAGATAGACTTATACAAGATTAATTTTAAAACACCAACAACCTCTTAGGGGGTGATTCTACCCAGCAACAGGAACAACTTTTATTATGGGACCAACTCTGAAATCGCGAAAAAAAAATCTGCTGTTTCATACAAAAGTGCATCAGCTAATTGACCGAAATGTATGAAACAGCTTGTTTTTATTTTACTGCATGACCAAAGACCATTTCGTTACGTGTCGGGATGTGGTTCAAAATTATATGCCAGTTCACGCTTGACAGTACTTTATTCACCACTCAGTTAACACACAATGTTATTCACAATACACTCACTGAAACACTGTACTTCACTATACAAGTCTTTAAATAATCGCACTTTACTAGCACTTTGATCGCCTTTCTATTCGTTCCGAAATCGCTGTTGAAACTGTCTGCTGCGCGGTGCCGATCGCGATTAAAATACGACAATCGACGCATTCTAGAAAAGTCGCGTTAAATTGAGAGTTAACTAGCACCCGCGAGTGCGTAGTACCTACTTATACGCATAAGTTGTAAACAAGTGTAGATGTCGTTGCACTTTCTCCCTTACGCCGCACTGCATAAGGCTCATATTATAATGAGCGACCTGCGGTGTTCTGTTAAAACTTATCTCCAGTATTTTCGCGGTTTTGTTTCCAAAGCTTTAGTGGCAATATTATGAACTCCCAAAACCAGGGAAAAGCAGCAGATGAAAGGGGCTGACGTTCTATTCGGCCTACAGTGATTACTTGCTCTACAATGAGAATTACCTGGCTCTATGGGTTCATAATATGGCGTCATTACTGTATAATAAATTATATTCATTGTTACATTTATAATAACAACACAACTCATCTTTTTTCACCGTCTGCTATCATTCGGAATGCCGCCTTGGATATGGTAACAACTTGTATTCAATAAATTTATTAACCGACTCGATTTCACTTGTATTTTGCAAACTGTTTTATACATATTATACTGCTAACTGTGATTGTAAACATCACTCACCTATCTGTATACCTTTCGACTATCTTTTTAATTTGTCCTTGATCGTATACGATACTTTGTATGCCAATCGATGGTTGGCACAGATATCAGCATGTATGCCCTCGGCCAGTTCTAGCGGCAGTAGTTCTAGCCGCACTCCGGCGCCTGTCATATCCTCGCAGCAAGTCTGCATCGACCAGATGACGCTGGCTGATGTCGATGTACGAGTCGTGATCAAAATGAGACCTTATCTCTTTGGTTTAAACACTGTTCATACTATCTATACTGCCACGATTCGATGGATGGTGCAGATATAATCATGTTTGCCGGTAACAGTTCTAGCCGCACTCCGGCGCCTGTCATATCCTCGCAGCAAGTCTGCATCGACACACAACCACGATAAAATCACGATAGATTTTAGCAAAATGCTAAATCTGCTATAACACCGTTATTTGACAAACTTTTACTTTCATTTCATTTGCCCGTAAATAAGTATTACTGAAATTCTTGCGAGGTTACGAGTTTCCTCTATTCTAATTCTACTATAATCGGTTAGAAGCACAATACCTAAAATGCAAGATATAACTGCCTGCCTAAGTGGCATCTTGCATTTCAGGCACTGTGCTCATAACCGACTAAAATCTTTGAGTTTTAAGCAAATTGAAGAACACAGTACATAATCTTTATTACATTATGTTCTGGGCTTAGAGGATCGTGCCAATATTAAACTCGTAACTTTACAAATGTGTTCGCGGACGTAAGTTGCTATCAAAAAACCGAAACTGTTTTAATAGAAACGTTTGTCCGCACCGCAGATGTCTCAGTACGCGCCCGCAGTACTCCAGACCATCACCAATCCGGACGGCACCGTCTCCCTGATCCAGGTCGACCCCAACAACCCCATCATCACGCTACCCGACGGCACCACGGCTCAAGTGGTCAGTATACTCACACAATACACGACACTGACGCTCTGTACACGACGGATATCTGTAGGAAGGCCAAAGATCTTCCTCCGAGCTGGGTGATGGTAACTCAGGGGACGCAGCCCGACTTTTTTTTGTTTCCTCCCAGGCGGCGGAGCGGGTGAGAAATCCTCATGCATGCCCTACGGCTGTAGGGTTATGTCAAACTCTTGCTGACTAAAAAAACACCCGTTAATCATGCTTATGGCCAGAAGGGCATTAGAAGCTTCATCTGAAGCGATCATCCCCTGAGAGGGGGATGATGCGGATCCCCGACTGCTGTTGGTCGGGCATTGTATATATTGAGTGTTAGTCTCCGAATTTCACTTGCGCGATGTAGGCTTCCATACTATTTTGATCGCAGTGTTGGTAGCGCCATCTCTTGAGGAGGCGAGTGATTATTTCCTCCATGTCAGCTATGTGGGGCATATAGATGTCGTCACCACTTTCGAAAACCTTGTTTTCATCATCATTATCAGCCTATTAATGTCCCCACTGCTGGGACTCTTAATTTGGACACACAAATTGAGACTTAATTTAGTTTTTGAACTATATGTATATCTAATTTCTCCTTAAATCCATTCAGCTGTTTTTGCGTGATCGATTTATGAACATAACAACTTTCACATCTATACTTATTATTATAAATCTGAAGAGTTTGTTTGTTTAGTTGAACGCGCTAATCTTAAGAACTACTGGTCCAATTTGAAAATTTCTCTTTGTGTTGGATAGTGTATATTGGTTCGGAGCACCAATCAAAAATGTTGAAAAGCATCATAAAAATATTCCGTTTGTGTGCATCCGTTGCGTGCGCTGTGTAAACGATGAAAGTTACACAAAAATCATATATAACGGAAATCCGTTTTCTTTCAAAAGTACTACAAAATAACGAGTGTGCTTATGACCACACGACTGAAGTGAAATTTCTTTAGCTCCATCTATATGTATATATATATGTGTGTGTGTGTGTACAATATATATATATATATATATATATATATACATGCATGTACATATACATATTTCATTTACTAGCTGTAAGAGAAAGCGAGAAAGGAAATGTGTGCGCGCACTGCTTTCTCTTGCTTATATGAACTCACTGAACTCCCGTTCATAAGCAACTCTCACACACGCACACGTCTGTAAATATCCATTCAATCGAGCGAGCGAGACAGAATTGTACGCTTCAACGCAGCGCGAGCGAAACGGCGAGTCCGCACGGCTGAGGTGTATTGTTGTCCTTTTCTCGATAACAAAATGGCGATTACATAAATAACAGTCACGTCAAAACGTGATTTAAAAAATATATATTTTACAGACTTACGAATAAAAAGTGTTGCCGAGTCCATTACTTATTTGATTTTGAACTATTTGAAAGTATCAAAGGCATTTTTTGAAGTTATACTTCTTTAGGCGCGTTATGAAAAAATTATGAGAGTGAAATTTTAAGATGCGCGCGCATCACTGTAACACAAAAAATTAACAGCATGAAGTAGGTCGCTTTAACGACCAACTTCATGCTGTTACTTTTGTGTTTACCGCACATTAAGAAAATCTACCAACAAAATAGAAATAGAATTTCTATTTAGTGGGTGCTAACGACTGCATTGTGAAGGCCTATCAAAAGTATTTATTAATCTGGAACAACGGAACCAAAGCGCGATTCAGGAGACTACAGCGCCATCTCTTGACCATTGGTGTAGTAGAACCAAAAACCACATCTTTATTTTTTGTAATAAAGTAACAGTTATAGGTATTCATATTTATAATATTTATTCACATGTTTCTAGTTTGTATATTCGGAATACGTGTTTGAGTTTCATACAAGTGCAAATCACATATGTTCTAATAAATTATATTCAGTAGCGATTTTAATTGAATATTTTGATTATTTATTTATTTTTTCAAATTAAAACTGAACTTTATTGACTGTGTCCTTTTCCAGACTTTTTATTAATTTATTGTAATTAATTATTTGCATGCATACATGCATGATAACTTCTCACGCGCCTACATAAGTACACGCACCCATTTTTTTATCTTTATTACACAGAATAATCGCAATATTGTTATATTGAGTGCACATGCAGCGTGTTTGAATGTCCAATTGTTACTAAAGCGAATTGTGGTCATGCACCACAATTTAAGCGGATCACTTTTGAGCCGCGAGTGCCCTTTATGTTTTAATCCAAGTAATATTAGAAATATTAAGGTTGTTTCTGTCTTACATTCATAGATCCACAGCGGCGAAGGCGGCGGAGGCACGGGAGTTGGCGTCGTACAAGCTTTAGACGGAGACGGTACCGTTGTAGATCTCAACGCTGTAGCCGAGGCGACTCTCAACCACGACGGACAATTGATACTTACCGGGGAAGACGGACATGGTGCGTATATATATATATATAGCAGATACAGGGGGACGAATTACTCCAAACTCCCATACGCAAGTCTCACTATGAAAGAAACAGAGGCGCATATGCACTGGAAAATAGGAAAGCGACCACTGTAATCCTATAGATCCTACAATAATAATAATATCCTATTATAATGTAATCCTATAGAACTTTGTTAAACCAAGTGACGAATTGGGGCCGACTTAATCTAGTCCAATTTAACCCTACGAAGACAAGTATGCGCGTTCATCGCAAAAAAAATACCATTTGTCGTATCTACTCTTTTTGAGAACACTCCTCTAACTGCCTCAGCTAGTATTGGAATTCTTGGCGTTGACATATCGAGCGACGTCCAGTTTCGGGATCATTTAGAGGGCAAGGCCAAATTGGCCTCTAAGAAGCTTGAATAGATCGAGAATGTGCTTCACACCGGCCCACCGAATGCAACTTTATAAGTCACGGGTTCAGCCTCACATGGAGTACTGCTCTCATCTTTGGGCGGGCGCACCCCAGTACCAGCTTCTCCCTTTGGATCTCATCCAGCGCCGAGCGGCTCGAATCTTCGACGACCAGGACCTTTCCGAACAGCTTGATCATTTGGCTTTGCGTAGGGATGTAGCTTCGCTCTGCATCTTCTATCGCATTTATCATGGGGAGAGTTCTGTGGAATTGTTCGAATTAACTCCAGCTGCTGCATTTCGCCATCGTACATCGCGACAAATATTTCATCCTCATCATCTTAATGCGTGGCTATCCACAACCGTGCGTTTTTGTCGAAATGTTTTACCCACGTACGATAAAACTGTGGAATATATTGTCGCCAGCAGTGTTTCCGGACCAATACGATACAAAAACCTTCAAAAAAAGAGTGTACTCCTTCCTTAAAGGCCGACATCGCATTTGCGATACTCCTGGTGTTGCAAGTGTCCATGAGCGACGGTGATCACTTACCATCAGGTGAGCCGTCTGCTCGTATGCCCCCTATAATATAAAAGAAAGATCCTTGCGATACTAAAAATACCTCTGTTCTTGCCCATCCTCAGTCCATTCCCTATTCCGTGGAGACCTAAAGCCTTATTGATAGAAACAGAACACTACTACTAGTATTATCAACTGAAGTTTTCTAGAAGGTGCTATAAGGTGGTTACTTCCATAGACGAGTGTTTTGGTTCGATGGAAAATTCATTATGCTCGACTAGCTGTGCCCCGCGGTTTATTAGGGATATTTCCCGCAGTAAAACGTAGCCTTTGTGTTAATCCTGGGTGTCGGCTAACTACATATAAGCCGCGCCAATAAAAAAACGAATCAAAAATGGCGTCTATGTACCTGCACTGACAGATGGTAGGGTCAACAAATAAAAAGAAAAAAATGTTTATTAGGTAATGTCGAGACAGTGCGAGAACAAAGTCAGAACTTATATTTTTTTGCATGTAGTACTCGCCGTGTGCGACTAAAAACAGCAATAGTTTAGAGTGAGAGCGCATGATCGCCGCCGCCATTTTAGATTCGTTTCTTTATTGGCGCGGCTTATACCAAATTTTATTAAAATCGCTCCAGCCGTTTAGAAGTGATAAAGTAACAAATATACTATATAACACACTCACAAACTCTCACTTTTATAATATCAGTGTGATTCTACACACTTATCTTTGTTTTTAATTTTTTGCTAATATCAGCTCCAATTTCAATCACACTTTATTATAATTACGTTTGAAAGAGTTTTTCCAAAACGCGGACTATAGTGAGTAAATCTATTATGGTCTCTGTCTTCTCTTTGCCAACAAAAGTGACAGCATCGGTCTTACAGGTTAAACTTTGGACTACGTTTTGTAATAGTATGAGTCTTTGAGACGGAAGTTTTAGATTTATATCTCGATCCAATATAGTCTGATACATGAATGATTTTTAAATTTTGAAGTTATACTTCTTTAGGCGCGTTATGAAAAAATGATGAGAGTGAAATTTTAACATGCGCGCGCATCACTGTAACACAAAATTAGGCATGCGTCCGATATATCAAAACGAATCCAAAATCCGATTTCAAACACAAATCGATACCGAACGATTTCTCAACAAGAAAATCCGATTTTAGAAATCTAACCGAACCAAAACTGATACCACCACAAGTATCCAAATGTAAATCGGATTCGAAATTCGTGCTTTCGTTTTCGGAAGTCCGATTTCGTGCTCAGAAGTCCGATTTCGGTTTGCTGTTTACGGAAATCTATTGTTCTTCTCTAAGGCGGGATTATTTATTACTGAAAAAAGATGACGTCTAAAAACATCGAAAGTCGAGCAATTATCATTTTTTTTAACGCTAACCTGATGTAATTAGGTTTGATTTTGTAAATGGTTTGAAAAATAATAAAAAAAAAAGAAATCATTGTATATAAGCCGATTTTTAAATGCGCCGCAATAGTTTTACTCTTAACCGTAAAGATAACTTTTCTGCTAGTCCTAAGCCACAGAATATATACTCTTGCCTAAGCCTAGATTTAAAGCATAAAGGAAAATCGCGAAAACTATGAGTATCCTTGCTTCGTACAATTAATTGTTTGTGATTGTCGTTAGCTAATAAAACCAAATCATAACACAAAATAGTGAATTGGCTAAGTTCGGCACATCTGAAATCGGATATCTAAAAACGGATTTTAAAATCGATTTTGAAATCTGAAATCCGATAAATATCCGTTTGCGTTCAAAACCAAAAACGCCCATGTCTACACAAAATTTTAACAGCATGAAGTTGGTCGCTTTAGCCAACCTCATGCGTTACTTTTGTGTTTACCGCACATTAAGAAAATCTACCAACAAAATAGAAATAGAATCTCTATTTAGGGGGTGCTAACGACTGCATTGTGAAGGCCTATCAAAAGTATTTATTAATCTGGAACAACGAAACCAAAGCGCGATTCAGGAGACTACAGCGCCATCTCTTGACCATTGGTGTAGTAGAACCAAAAACCATATCTTTATTTTTTGTAATAAAGTAACAGTTATAGGTATTCATATTTATAATATCAAAAGTATTTATTAATCTGGAACAACGGAACCAAAGCGCGATTCAGGAGACTACAGCGCCATCTCTTGACCATTGGTGTAGTAGAACCAAAAACCACATCTTTATTTTGACGTGACAACGTCTTAAATTAGGTTGCGGCTGGGAGTCACTTATGAAAAAGTGTAACGCTCGGTAACGTTACGATGAGTCTCTCGTGTTAAGTTTAAGTTTACATGTACAATGTTTTAGTAAACAAAATATATTTCTATAGTTAAAATTTGTGCAATTCTTATTTTCATTCAATTCCTTGTTCCTATTGTGCAATTTAATTATATTCATATCAATAAATATTCTACCGAGAAAAAGACGTTGTCACGTAAAATCTTCGCCCGTAAAACCGACTTTACAGGCAACCATTTTTTTTTGTAATAAAGTAACAGTTATAGGTATTCATATTTATAATATTTATCCACATGTTTCTAGTTTGTATATTCGGAATACGTGTTTGAGTTTCATACAAGTGCAAATCACATATGTTCTAATAAATTATATTCAGTAGCGATTTTAATTGAATATTTTGATTATTTATTTATTTTTTCAAATTAAAACTGAACTTTATTGACTGTGTCCTTTTCCAGACTTTTTATTAATTTATTGTAATTAATTATTTGCATGCAATTAAAAACTAATTTTAAACGATGCCAAAGAAGGATAACTTCTCACGCGCCTACATAAGTACACACACCTATTTTTTTTTGATTCCGCCAGTATTCAATAATATTTTTGAAGTGAAATTTGTCTGACTTAGGGGTAAACTGGCGAATGTGTTACGATTGAGGCGTTACGATTAGTGTCATCGGTGACTCATCGGTAAACAGTGAACAATACCCGTCACAAAATACATGAATCTAGTGCTTGGTGGGTGATAACGGACCCAGCGTGGATTGGTGGGTGATAATTGACCCAGCGCGGATTGGCGGGTGATAATGGACCCAATGCGGATTTTTGGGTGATAACGGACCCAGCGCGGATTGGTGGGTGATAATGGACCCAGCGCTGATTGGTGGGTGCTAACGGACCCAGCGCGGATTGATGGGTGATAACAGACCCTGCGTGGATTGGAGGGGGATAACAGACCCAGCGCGGATTGGTGGGTGATAATGGACCCAGCGCTGATTGGTGGGTGCTAACGGACCCACCGCGGATTGGTGGGTGATAACGGACCCAGTGCGGATTGGTGGGTGATAATGGACCCAGCGCGGATTAGTGCGTGATAATGCACCCAGCGCGGATTGGTGGGTGATAACGGACCCAGCGCTGATTGGTGGGTGCTAACGGACCCAACGCGGATTGGTGGCTGATAACAGACCCTGCGTGGTTTGGTGGGTGATAACAGACCCAGCGCGGATTGGTGGGTGATAACGGACCCAGCGCTGATTGGTGGGTGCTAACGGACCCAGCGCTGATTGGTGGGTGCTAACGGACCCAGCGCGGATTGGTGGGTGATAACAGACCCTGCGTGGATTGGTGGATGATAACGGACCCAGCGCGGATTGGTGGGTGATAATGAACCCAGCGCGGATTGGTGGGTGATAATGGACCCAGCGCGGATTGGTGGGTGATAATGGACCCAGCGCGAATTGGTGGATGATAACGGGCCCAGCGTGGATTGGCGGGTGATAATGGACCCAGCGCGGATTGGTGGGTGATAATGGACCCAGCGCGGATTGGTGGGTGATAATGGACCCAGCGCGGATTGGTGGATGATAACGGACCCAGCGCGGATTAGCGGGTGATAATTCACCCAGCGCGGATTGGTGGGTGATAATGGACCCAGCGCGGATTGGTGGATGATAACGGACCCAGCGTAGATTGGTGGGTGATAACGGACCCAGCGCGGATTGGTGGGTGATAACGGACCCATAGTGGATTGGTGGGTGATAACGGACCCATAGTGGATTGGCGGGTGATAATGGACCCAGTGCTGATTGAAGGGTGATAACGGTCCCAGCGCAACCCAAAGAAGTTTCACTTCAGTCGCGTGATCATAAGCACACTCGCTTTTTGATGTGTAACATCTTTCCTCTTGCTTTCATGCAATTTGTGGGAGTGATGACGTGAAATGGGACGAAAGTGTGTAACAAGAAGTTTGGGAAGCGCGCCCTATTTGATTTGATTTTAGAACATAATATTCAAATGGCTTATTCCTTTTATAGTAGGTTTTATTTCTATTTTTACTAATATAAGGTGAGGTTTCAAATGTTAGACATCATACGCGACTACTGTAGGGCTCGCTCGTTTTTTTTATTAATATTGTTACGTGTCGGGATGAGGTTCGAAATTATATGCCAGTTCACGCTTGACAGTTCTTTATTCACCACACCGTTCATACAATTAAAACACAATGTTAATTACAAAACACTCACTAAACACTGTATTTCACTATACAAGTTTCTAAACAATCTCACTTGAACACTTTGATCGCTGTTGAAACTCAACTGTCCTTGCGCGGCGCCAATCGCGCTTATATACGCCGATCGACGCATTCTAGAAAGTACCTGTTAAATTGACAATTACCTAGCACCCGCGAGTACGAAATACCTACTTATACCTACGCAGGTAACGTTGTCGTTGCACTTTCACCCTTACGCCGCACTGCATAAGGCTCATTTTAGAATGAGCAGCATTACTGGACCTCTATCGCGACCCGCGGTGATCTGGTAAATTCCATCTCTGGCACGTTCGCGGTTACGTTTCGAGAGCGTTTGTGACAATATGTTTATCTAGAAAAAAATCCACGCGGACCAGGCAGCGGACGGGACTCGAACCCGCATCCTTGGCTATCAGGGCGAATGCACTGACCATTATGCTACCACGGCCCTATTAGCCGCGTCGAAATTTTCCTAGCCTTAAGCTGCAAGGAAGTTCTTCTTTTTTCTAGTAAACTTTTCTTTAGATTTAAACATCTAGCAGTTAAATGCTTAAAAAAAATCATAAATATGTTTATCTCCTTTATTTGCAGGCTACCCGGTATCCGTTTCCGGGGTAATAACGGTCCCGGTGTCCGCATCCGTGTACCAGAGCATGGTGGCCTCCATGCAGCACCACGACGGAGTATGCGTGGCCCCCATCGTGCAGGTGCATACATACACACTCGATATCACTCACCCCACACATATACATACATACACAAACGCTATCAGTACGCTCGCAACGCTGCGCAGGCGCACGCGTGTATAATGCGATTCAACTAAGAATAGGACCGACTGGGCGCCATATTGTGACGTCATAGCTGTCCATTCAAACCAAACGAAGAGTAGAGAGTACGTAGAGTGAGCAAAAAAAAGTTTTTTTTTAATAAATCTAGTTTATGAACGCAACTTAAAGTGACATTTGGTTCACGATTTAGGTTATCAACCAGTCATAGCCCAAGCTCGGTAAATGAAAAAAAAATATCAAACAATATTAATTATCAATATTTGTTATTGTTTGTTTACAAATCTTTGGATTTTATTCTAGAATTAGCTGAGTGCTAAAAAAGGGTTCCAAGATTTTTTTGCAAACCGTACTTTTCAAGCGACGTTTGACAGATGGAGGTCATTGGCTATCCTATTCCTATTTGAATCGCATTATAATGCCGCGCTAGCTGTACACTAGGAATGTAGAAAGTAAAAACAATTATCGATATATCGAACAAAAACATCGATATATTTTCAACAAGCCTACTGTACACTACCCTAGACACCCTGTCGCATTTATAAGCAACCTACGATCTAACCAACTGATTTCTGACCCACTTGGGAATAGCTACATTTCTAGGTCTTTAGTGTAGTTGACCCAAAAAATGAAATTGCAAACGATGACGTAAGATATTTTGTCCCTCTCGCACTGAAAGTCTTACTTTGATATGTTCGATTTATTTTATTTTTCAATACCACGAGTTAGAAGAATTTTCATTTTCGAAAGTCCTTTGATCAATTTCTCGAGATGAAATCAATAATATTGCTCAAGTGATTACTTGAGCGCAGAAGTAATATCTTTTACTCGTTTATAAATACGACGTATAGACAACGGAGTGAGCGACAGCTGCTCTCTCGATAAATGAAATGAAATGAAATATATTTTATTGGAACAAAAAATGTTCCCACCTACACAAATAGAAAACAATGTTGCAGCAGATGCTTACACACACTCTCTCACACTTATGGGCCCATTTTTTCTATATAACTGTTATGGTCAATTCATACTAGCGCAGAATCGAAGCGTCAGTCAGAAACTCAACATGGCAAATTCACTCATATTCGCTTAACGTAATATATATATTTAAATGCCTTCTGAGTTCAATCAGAGTTGATCGCGTTTCAGTCGAATGCGCATATATATGTCTTCCTTTTTTCGATAACTTTAGTTTCAAAGAAACTAGAAGCTCTCGAAAAAGGCCAAAAATAAACAAATTTTTATCACCATTAAAGACGTCTAGTGTGTAGATTAATAAGCATTTAGTATAAAATTTCTTTACATATATATCTAATTTTCGAGGAGGGAATCGTCGAGAGCCAAGCCTCGATTTTTTGAAATTATAATACGCAATTTTCTGCGTTCACTACTGTCGAAATGAAATGAAAAGTCATTGATTCAGTCTAGGCTGTTACAAGCACTTGTGAAGGTCAAGAAGCTTCGCCATCGGTCCGCAAAACTACGGCGGGAGACCTTGTACTGAGAAGAACCGGCAAGAAACTCAGCAAGGGCTGCTTTTTTACTCTCTGTATTGATATATACAGAGTCGTCAACTTGAAAAATGACTTCAGAGATACGTCTGAAGTCAACTTCCATTATATCATTTAGGATATAGATATACAGTTACAATAAATTTTATATTTAGTATATAGGAAGCGGCATTAGATAGGTACCATATTACTGTTACAAAAACTGACTCGTACCCATCAAATAACAAATTACAAGAAACACTATGTCCATGCATTACGATCATTTAGATAATCATTAACTTTATAATTGCCCTTATTCATAAGAGTATTCTTGATCTGAGATTTAAATTTGGTTAGAGGAAGCTCAATCAGATCTTGGGGAACTTTGTTAAACAATGCAATACTACAACCCAGAAATGAACCTCTTGATTATTGGAGTCTGTTGTCCCTATCACACGGTATTTGCCAATGCGTGACGGTAATATTTTTTTCAAATACCTATTTCTCAAATGTCTCTTAGCTCGCGTCTGCTCATAAATGAATATGTGCATTACGTTGCTGAGATAAGGGTGAATTTGCTTTGTTACGTTTCAGACTCAAGTTTTAATTCTACGCTATTGTGAATTGACTATTAGACCGGAAACGCTCAGCCCATTCTGTGTTATGAACAAAACACACTTATTAATACACCCGTTTTCACTATCATTAGCTAATTGTTTTCATTTCTACAACATTTTAGATGACAAATACCAAAATTGTAGTGAATGGAGGGTTTGCAGCGAAACCTTGATGATACGCTGGACTTAGAAATTCTATTCGACATAATATTATGACATATTTGAGTTGTCATAAATCCCACCCAGATTATCGCAAAATAGACTTTCGTCCTATTATTTTAACTGTTAAATGTTGATTACATCTGAATGTTTGAATTATGTTGATGCACTACCATAATAGGGGTGATGACGGGGTACAGTAAACGAAATTCTATTTGGTCCGTCAGTTAGATGATCAAAAAATAATGGACACGTATTTTTTCTTTGGGCAATCAACCAAAAAATGACAAAGTTATAGCGCGTCAAAGTAGGTACTTTTTAGTGAATTTTCATTTAAAAGTGTACTAAAACGTGACGTCGTGCAACTTTTCAAATCAATATATCTCTGCAATGTTTATATTATGTGAAAAAAGAAAAAATACGTGTCCAATAAATACTTTTTGATAATCTACCTGATGAACGAAGAACAAAAATAGTCATCATCCCTATTCAAACGTGTTGGATGTTGAACGATGATATATGCATGTTTGATGTTTATTTGTAGTAGATACTACACAAATGCCATTTTATTAATGCCCAAAGATTATATTTATACACGTTAGTTATGTCAAAATGTACTGTTTATTATGCTACTAAAGATTATGTGATATTTTTGTAAGATGTGAAAACGAAGATCTCCATATTAGTGCTTAATGTAAAAATGCTGACTTCCACGTTTGCTATAGCATTATTTCATTATTGTAGTAAGTTATCACTATACCTACTTAGGTGCCTATTTTTAAAGTATTAAATTTTGTTTTTGACGTGACAACGTCTTAAATTAGGTTGCGGCTGGGAGTCACTTATGAAAAAGTGTAACGCTCGGTAACGTTACGATGAGTTTAAGTTTACATGTACAATGTTTTAGTAAACAAAATATATTTCTATAGTTAAAATTTGTGCAATTCTTATTTTCATTCAATTCCTTGTTCCTATTGTGCAATTTAATTATATTCATATCAATAAATATTCTACCGAGAAAAAGACGTTGTCACGTAAAATCTTCGCCCGTAAAACCGACTTTACAGGCAACCATTTTTTATATTTAAATTCCTGCCAAACAGTTGATAGTGCCAAATGCTTATTTTTTATTTAACTTGCATTTATTTCGTAGTTAATGCATATGATGCTTATTTTTATTTGTATTATGTTCAAACATCTACTAAACATATAAAGTTGTCAATGAAATGAGACTGCCGACTGTTATTGTGTTGTTTTACCATTTTCGTTAACATTTGTATATAGTTTTGATGTGTGTGCCTGTCTGTGTATGTGATTGATTATTATTATAAAATATTTGAAAATGTTATGTCCAATGTTAAATTTATTTTCGTTGATTTTAACGTATTTAAAAAAATATATATATTTTATTTTCGTCACAAGATACATTCAGGAAATTTATTTCCAATAATGCACATGTGTATGCCCTTATTTCATATTATGAAATTGCGATGTTAATTTTTTAAGGGTTCATATTAAAATAGACCAAGTGAATTTAGGCTTTTGATGCCTTTAATATTATGTTAACTTGTACTTACCATTAAAATTGTTAAGTACATTTCTTACTTTGAGCTAAACAAAATAATCAAGATTTCAAACTAAACTTTGATTTATTTATAAAAAGATTTATAGCAAAATAAATCTTTATTATTATTTTAAGTTTATTCAATAATGCTGGGAGGTACACAGTACAACCCATATTTAAAGCATAATAATTACTTACTTGTAAGTGTTGATTTTATTAATTTTAATTATTTTTGTTAATTTTATATAGTCAACCAATTCCATAGACTTTTAAGTAGACCACGCCACATAGTCATTATATTTTATTTGGCTGTGTATGAATAGCGGTAGAAACTATTAAACTGGTCCCAGTTTTACAAGATATGTCAACAAACGACTGACATGTCTTGTGCTGAATATAAAATATCTTATTATAAAATTATGAAAAGGGTATTAGATACAAATGGAGTTGTGTCCAGGGCACACCGTCAGAAGGCACACCTCGATCATTATTTACCAAAGTAAATTCGTATGTATCGACTGTAAATAATATATTTTTATGGGAAACCTACGGTTGCGAGTATAAAGAAATACCTTCGCCTAATACCGACACTTTACTTGGCTATTCGTATTTACTATATGTAAACTTGATACAGTTATGTCATTATTACGTTTTATAAGGAGTGAAAAGTTATAAAAAAATATATATATATTTTATTTTCGTCACAAGATACATTCAGGAAATTTATTTCCAATTTATCAGAGCGTAAATATACATGTGCATTTACACTGACTGATGGTGAGTTTAAGAATAGCAAACACGAATAGGCAAGTGAAGTACGATCATAATAGAATCTCTTTACGGTCCATTATTGTTTAGTTTTATACATTTTTATTACCAAAGATGATAAAGTGGGGTTTATCTTCACTTGTATTTGGACACCGCCTATACTTAATAACTTCACATATTCAATTACATACGAGTATATTGAAGTTAGAAGTATTTTTTTGTTTCTGAGCTGTATTTGTTATTATTATTTGTTGCACACTTTCTAAAAACTGAAATATTATAAAAAAAAAACTATTCTAGACAATGTCGACCTTATGGATTCCTACACAAAGTACATTTTATAAAGTATCCCCTAAGTTCTTTGATTATTAATTTTTAATTTCTAGTGGTTAGAAACGAATTCTAATTTTGGGAGTGTGCAGCTAATTTTATGTTTGTAGCGTGTTGCGTTGCTGTTTTTAGTTTATGAAATAATAAATTCGCATGTGAAGTTATAGTTTATGCAAATTGACTCAAACATTTGTGTGTGTGTGTTGTATAGTTATTTCTTTAATGTGTGTGCGTGTGTGATTGCTCCGTTATTAATGCTGGCACTTTGACATGGCTATTTGTAAAAAAATGACAGCAGTTAATCCTTATTGTGCCCTATAGGAAATGTAAATAATACACTTGTCAAGTTTACAAATAGCAAATGCAAATATACGAAGTAATGTCAAGTGCCGTCATAACGCGCAGTTTGTGCTAGTCGCAATAAAAATAGACTTTTGATATTGTTTGTTTCATTTGTAGAGTTGCACAGCTTGTGTCGTCTTTGTTTGCCGCATGCCCAGGTGTGTATATTTTTCATTTTGTTTAATATTATGTTCTTATGTAGCTGCTAATGTCTTAAACTGTTGGCAATAATTCAGTTTTTGATGTTTGCCGCTAGAGGCGTTTTGTTTAACTACGAGATATATAAATGCTTGGCTCATTAGAATTAGTGAATTATTTGGTGTTGTATTTTTAGCAGGCAGTGAAAATAAATCATTTTTCTAAAATCGTTCTTACTGCCGCATTCTGAGTCCGAATAAAGAAGATTTTTTATTCATCACATCAATTAAAAGGAATTCTTTTTGTTCCGATGCCGTTATTTTTCTTTAAATAAAAAAGAAATAAAATTCGAATGCATCTCACGCACGCTCGGCCATACGTCATATCCGTTTTCCCGGTAAAAATATGGTAGGATACCAGAACAATATGGCGTCGGATTCGTGACGTCATTACCACTGGTCAGTATACTGATGTATATTTCGGAATACACCCATAATGTAGGCGCGCGCCGAATGTCACTGAACTGTGCAACGGATTAGTGGCGCTTGCTGCTAACTTCACAACCGTCTCAAAGTTTTTAATGAGAAATTGAAACCTCACTAGATCTTTCATGGGTCTGACCAATGGTTCTTCTGAGATTGATCACTCTATATATGTCTAATGCTAGCATTTCACATGAATATTTGTGTTTGCTATATGTAAACTTGACAACAATCTCTCCTTTTCATCCATAATAATATTAAAAATGCGAAAGTGTGTGTTGTCTGTTAGAGTCTGTGCGGAAATAGAATGGGCGTGGCGAAAAACGGAACTAACATTAAGATTTTTATTTGGCAATCAAACCCAGCAAACTGTAAAACGTCAAAGTTTTGTATTGATACGGATTTGTTTGTTGTTGTGATTTCTTGCGGTTTTTTGTATTTAATCATGTCTAAAAGGGGTAAAACCTTACAAATACGGTAGAAAAGCACTACAGCGCCCTCCAATCTAAATCACATTCTCTTTCCGCACAGACTACTTCTTTACGTCTTAACCGGTTTACATGAACTTTGGTTTATATTTAGCTTGATTCCCGGGGAAGGACATTTAATATCTTTTATTTCCAAAATCATTACTTAAGGGGGTGCTAGTTTGTATGGAAAAACTAATTTTTCACAAAGTGGAAAGGCATCCATTAGTTCCCTATAAAATGTTATAAGAACCAATAACCTGCCCCTCTAGCTTGAGCAACACGATATGATGATATATAACACTTTTTTATCACGCTCAATTGTCAAATTACTAATGGAGTTTGACAGCTAGGTGCGATAGAAAACGTGGTGAAAGTGTGGTGCTCATTCTACGGGGACAGCTGTCGAAGTGATAAATACAAATAGCCATGTGAAGTGCCAGCATTAAAAGGACGGATGCGGATGTGTTGGCGAGTGTACTTCTATAACAATGTTACAGTAATAACGTACAGCCCGAAAGTAGTTTGTTACAAATATTGAAAAGGAATCAATTTTAGTATTTTTTATTTAATCAGTTTAAATAGTGACAGCTCAATGTTCTTACAATTGTTTATTATAAAGTAGGTATAGTTATAGCATTTAAAAAAAGCTTTTATTACCTTGAATTTTGTATCATATTCTCTTTTTTAGAATGATTGAACGAACGTTTAGTATTTCTTAAGATAAACATGTACTTTTTTATTGATATCGATTCAGAAGCCTATTTCAATGAAAATGCTTTCAGCGTGTGCGTTATTTTTGTCACACATTGTGTACAACGTCATTGTTCAGTCGTTCGTGATGTAAGAATGGGTGTGGTGTGGATCTACAGGTGGAGCAGGGCGGCGAGACACTGGAGGCGTTGTCGATGGGCGGCGGCGTCGCGCAGGTCATGCTGCAGGGCGCCGGGGACCAGGTGCTGCAGGTGCTCAGCCTCAAGGATGCCAGCGTGCTCTCCAAGGCCATGGTGACTGTCTGACCACCATACGATACCCGCCGTGCTATATGATGACACACTACTCGCATCATCACTACTACAAGAATCTCGGAACGCGAAATCCGAGATGGAGTAATCCAATATCTTAATAATGAAAATTTTCTTCTCAGCTATAAAACCATTATTATTACAAAATTATAAGCATATTTAACTTTGATTGAACCCCCATCTAATGCTCACAGTGCAAATCGACGATTTTGGCAACATTTAGTTCCAAGCACTACGGAGTCCCTATTCCATTCATAGGGAAGGCCTGTGCTCCAGCAATGGGGACATTAATAGGCTAATGATGATGACTATGGAGTGACATTATTAGGTTTTTTTGTGGCGGAACTTGACCCGTTTGATATTAACAAAACCATTTTTATGTCTGCAAAAGTTGCTTATTTAATGTAATATATTTTAGTGTGTTTTAATTCGATTTTCCACTCAAATTTTCATGCCCCATATCAAATCACCCTTTTAATTTTTTATTTTCACGTCAAAAAGTAACCTTTGTTAATCTCCGAAGCATCTATTGCGTCTATACCTAAATTCATAAGTATCAAACCAGTGTTGCCAACTCGGATTTTGAAAAAGGCGTAGGCTCGATGAGAAAATTACGTAGATTTAGTAATTTTTGCATATGAAAAGTACGTAGATCTACGTACTTTTTTCTGAGTGAAATGAAGAAGTCAGGTGAAACCGAATGAAACGAGTATTTTGTTATACAATTTCTTTAAAAACGGGAGATGGAACAAAGAGTTCTTGGAGAAATCGCTGCATTGGAAGCACTTACCATGCTGCGGTAGACCATGACCATGTGGTATTATAAAACCATGATTTCTCATAGATCACATGAAAAATAGAGTTAGTTATCATAATACACTTGGTAAAAGACTCTAGAAAGTTGTGGTTAAAATTGCCAAGAGAAATAATACATACGCTTACACATGAACACATGTTAAAAGCTTACTAATTCCTGTAACTTTATCGACTGAAAGACATTTCTTTTTGCAAACATCAATTCGATGTAAGTACTCATTGAATAATATTTAAAGTTTAAAAATTCAATTTTTAAGGTTACGAATGTACCTACTAAGTCAAAGAGTTTTGTCGTTTCTCCTTTCACAAATCCTGCGTCCAGAATTAATTTAGTCAACAAAACCAATGACGGGAACCTTTTCTACAAGATACAAGAGTTTTAAGATACATCTTAAAAGAAATAAACATTTTTATAGTTTTTAAGTAAAGTAACGGAAAATATTCTTCTTTATTCTAGTGAATTAAGTTATTTTACAAATTTGAAAAAAATTAAGAAAATACGTAGATTCTGGGACTAAAGTTAGTAGGTTTGCAGAAAAGGCCTAAAATACGTAGATCTACGTAAAAAGACGTAGAGTTGGCAACACTGTATCAAACTTCAATTCAATCAATTTGACATCATTGTATGAGATGAATGCGGTAAATAGATGAATGATGATTGGTCTCGCTTCACTCGACTGAAGCGAGACCAATCATTCATCTATGCCTAAATTCATAAGTATCAAACTTCAATTCAATCAATTTGACATCATTGTATGAGATGAATGCGGTAAATTACACTCGTATAATCTCCATATTCTATCCATAGGGAAGGCCTGTACCCCAGCAGTGGGGACATAAATATGGTGATGATGGTATATTGATGATATTGTACTCAACAGCAACAGGTGAAGGCAGAGCGGGACGCGGTGGTGGCAGACTCCTAGCTACTGACCCTCGTGGCCAGCTCCGACCCCGAGCCCGACGCCACGTAACCATTGCCCACATTCTACACCACCTAACACTTAACACCAGACACCAACAACACTCACAGGACAAACACCCGTCACCGAGAGAGGATTTTATTTTTTATATGAAGACTAAGAATCAAGAACTGTGTGATAAACAGCCAGTGATGCAACGTATCGCTTAGTATGAAGTCACGAATGTGGAGTTAGGTTTATAGAGAATTGCTCGTTGTTTATGCTTTATCCAGTGTATTTGTTTATGTCACTTTTTCTCTTATTTCTTAATCTAATTTGCTTTTTACGGAACTATTCCTTAATAGGAAAACGAATCGTCCCAAGAAATGATTAAGTTTAAACCGTTCGAAAGAATTACATCGATAACTAATAACAGTCAGTTTGGCACTATATAACAGTACATTCACTGGTCATACATTGCACATGAAAATCGATACTGTATTATTCCGGTTGAATAATATTCAACTCGAATATATAAATGAAATTATATTGAATAATTTTGAAAATCAATACCTACTGTATTATCTCAAAATTATTATATTTTAAGTTAATCGAATATTTTTGTGATACCTAATACATGATTTAAATGTCCGACATGTGTTGAGTATGTTTTTATTTATTTTAAACGAGTCTTCAAGTTCGTTTAAGCTGTGCGATTTACTTAAGACAAGTCAATGGGAAGATACTTAATTGATCGGGACACTGAATAACAAATCGCTGTTAAGTAGGAGAGAGATTTGTGCAATATAAATAAATATTTTACAAATTTATTTACTTCTAACTTCTACCGCTCGCATTGTTGTCACCATAGAATGCAGTTTGACATGCCCTCTGTACAATGCGAGCGGTATTATACTTATAACGAAATACATTCCTTAATATTATTTTATTATACATGAGTTTGTTAAGATTGTTGTTTAATTTATTTCTATGAATTATGTTTGTTACACACCTGCTAATTTATTCTAGTCTTTTCGAGTCACGAGTGATTTCTAGTCAGTAATAGCATGTGACACTTGTTCTTATATTATCTAACTGGAATGTTATTCTTCGAATAACTTTTGTAATATACTTATCTATTATATGTAATAGATGAATTCTTTAATGTATAATGTATAGTCGGCATTATTGTAAAATATTTAACAGGAAAACAAAATATCTAAAATAATAATATACGCAGGGTTGACATGCAATCGAATGATGTCTGAACGGATAATAAAGGAAGTTACTTATCTGTTGAATGTGATTTCAATATTAGCTGTGTTGTACGATATTAATATCGGAAACTGGGTAGATTCACGTTAATGTCCAGTTTTATAGCCATCGACATTTTTAAATTGACAAATTATATTAATGTTAAGTGTAATAATAAATAACTAAATTATAGTCAGATATAGTCATTAAGTTAGAACTATAGAAGAGTACAAAAGCGAGTAACTAATATATTAAAATGTATTAAAGGTTTTTTTGTGTTTTAGTGAAAAAGACAATTATTTTTACTTTTGTTGTATTTTTTATTTATTTTGAATTTTACTTTTGTTTGATTCGCATTGCATAAGATTGTGTTTCGTCCTTATAATGATAATGAATGAAAAGCACAATTATGTTGTTAAGTAAATGATTTGTGATTGTATTGTAAATATTTTGAGTATGATGTGTGAATATTGCAATCAATAAAGTATTTACGTAAAATAAAAGGTTTTATTTATTAACTAGCGGCCCGCCTACGCTTCGCTTCGGTGTAGACTACAGTTTTTGTTAAGGCTTGTATTATACACAATGACATTCATCTTTGATTCTTCTTATACCTGCATGCAAAGTCTCAGCCCGACCGGTTTAAAATTGACAAAGTTTCATACAAACTTTCATTCCCTATTTTATCCCCTTGGGGGTAGAATTGATCAAAATCCTTTTTTAGCGGATGCCTACGTCATAACATCTACCTGCATGCCAAATTTCAGCCCGATCCGTCCAGTGGTTTGGGTTGTGCGTTGATAGATCACTATGTCAGTCGGTCAACTTTGAGTTTTATATATTATTTATTAATTGATCAACTGTATGTAATGTAGTCTATGGTATGTGCTTAAAAGACCAGCCTTGCTTGAAAAAGTAAATTGTATACTTCTTCATCTTCTGGAGGGCACTTGAAGCTCAGTGGCGCTCCTTTCATTTAAGCCGAAAGCCCAGCTTGCCCTAAGTAAATATTGCAAGTCCACTAATGGTCCATTGAAATTTATTGTATTTTTTTTTATGTTATAGGGGGCATACGAGCAGACGGCTCACCTGATGGTAAGTGATCACCGTCGCTCATGGACACTTGCAACACCAGGAGTAAGTATTACAAATGCGATGCCGGCCTTTAAGGAAGGAGTACGCTCTTTTTTTGAAGGTTTTTGGGTCGTATTGGTCCGGAAACACTGCTGGCGAAAACATAATCCACAGTTTTGTCGTACGTGGTAAAAAATTTCGACAAAAACGCACGGTTGTGGATAGCCACGCATCAAGATGATGGGGATGCAATTTTTGTCGCGATGTACGATGGCGAAATGCAGCAGCTGGAATTAATCTGAACAATTCCTCAGAACACTCCCCGTGATAAATGCGATAGAAGATGCAGAGCGAAGCTACATCCCTACGCAAAGCCAAAGAATCAAGCTGATCGGAAAGGTCCTGGTCGTCGACGATTCGAGCCGCTCGGCGCTGCATGCGATCCAAAGGGAGAAGCTGGTACTGGGGTGCCCCCGCCCAAAGATGAGAGCAGTACTCCATGTGAGGCCGAACCTGTACTTTATAAAGCTGCAGTCGGTGGGCCGGTGTGAAGTACATACTCGATCTATTGAGCACACCAAGCTTCTTAGAGGCCAATTCGGCCTTGCCCTCTAATTTGAATATAACAAAATAATTAAGTAATTGGAATATAACAAAACATAAAATAAAGTATCACTTTAATGTTAATTTTTATGTAGTAATTTTGAAATTTGCTTGCCCTAATCTGAAGCCTTGGGCACCCCACTGTTTATAAGCTATTTGTTCAGGCTACATCTACAGTCCAATTTGCAGTGGGTCAGCATGTTGAAATTTGGCTTGTATCTGAATGTGATCTTGTCCATTACAAAGATCCTACTGATATTATAAATGTGAAAGTTTGTATGTTTCTTACTCAATCAAACAAAAACTTCTGAACAAATTTGGATGAAATTGGTACACATATAGTTATGACCTGGACTGAGACAAGGAATACTTTTTATCCCCAAAAAATTCTGGTTCCATTGAGATTCTGAAAAACTACAGTTAACATGGACAAAGTCGCGGATAGCCGCTAGTAGGATATAAGGGTTATGATGACACACAATAAAATTGAATTTAAACCATGGTGCTGAACTGTGGTTTGCCTCTAGTTACTGCTTCTGCCAGGTGGCAACATACCAGTAACTATTAAATCTAGTAGAAGACTCGGTACACTATGACTTAATAATGAAGTTATGGCATTCAACTACTTAATCTTCCAACATCTATAGAAAAGTATAATATTTACCAAATTAAAAAACTTATCTTTTATTATCTCTTCTCCTTATTCCTTATTCTCTGGGGAAGGCTTATGTCCCAGGAATGGGGATATAACTTGGCTGGTGTTGGTTAACAAAATACCAAGCGAGGCATAATTATTTCTGCCTGCTTATGACAGAGTGAAGATTAAGTAACTTAAAACTTGTTTTATTTTTTTTACTTTAAGCCCAACCTTTAGAATTGAAAAGCAGTTGAAGAATTTGGCCTGTTATGAATCATGTGAAGACCTGCATGTACATACATATGTATTTTTTATTAGCTTACCCTCCATGAAGTAAGACGCGATAGTCAAAGCTCCCCAATATTTGACAAAATAGTGCAAACATTTCTATCTATTTTTCATAATAACGTCACTACAAGTTAATTACTGAACAGTGAAATAGCTAACAGTGTATTTAAAATATATAATTTGAGAATTTAAGTGATAGTTTTTTCCAAATTAAACTCAGTATAGTGTCGTCGTTGAATTTGTTCAGTGTACTTACCCACATCGAAAATATTGACGTCGCCGATTGAAATAACATTGAGAAATAATCTATTTTTCTTGAACCTACATTTTTTCCGTGTAAGAATATATCCTGTTAACAATGAAGAACTGTGCAGCTTGTAACAGCAAACTTAAAGATAATGATCATCTGGAATGCTCGCGTTGTGCGGAAATTTATCATTATTTATGCTTGAATATGTCATCAGAAGAAGTAAACAACATCAAACAGGACGCTAAATTAAAATGGATGTGCCCGAATTGCCGAAATAAGCAGCCTAAGGGAGACAATACTAACAACTATGTGCGGCCCTCCACACCTACTGGCTTAGCAGATATAACTTTTAATGTGGCTCGTCGTAAGGTCCAAACCAAACACGACCAAGTGATTACTTCCATGGGAACTTCCTCGGATTATGTTACGCGTACTGATATTCAATTGCTGATACGCGAGGAGATGAGGTCTGTTATGCGTGAGTTTACCTGCGAATTGACTGAAACAATAACTTCTCGTTTCAAGGATATTACTGATCAGTTGAGTGAATTCAAAGACTCCTTAAATTTCTTGAGTGAGCACTTCGACTCGCTGAAAGAGGATATAGAAAAGCATAGCTCCGATATAAATACACTAAATAAGGAGAATGAATTATTACGCTGTGAACTTAATGCCCTCTCTAGTCGCGTCCGCCAGATGGATCAACTGTCGAGGTCGGCTAACCTGGAACTGCAATGCGTCCCCGAGCATAGGTCTGAGAACGTTTTATCTATCGTTAAACAGCTCAGTGGTGTCGTCAAGTGTCCCGTAAATGACAGCGACATTAGCTATTGTTCCCGTATTGCCAAGTCTAACAATAACAGTGAGCGTCCTAGATCCATACTGGTGAAATTTAGTACTCCAAGATTGAGAGATACTGTGCTTGCTGCCTCCATACAGTACAACAAAAAAAACCCCGACGAAAAATTAAATTCCAGTACTCTTGGTATCGATGACAAGAAGACACCTATATTTGTTGTGGAAAATTTGACCCCAGAGAACAGGCATTTGCACGCTGCAGCACGCCTGCGCGCTAAACAATTGGATTATAAATATGTGTGGGTACGCGCCGGGCGTGTTTACATGCGAAAAACAGACGACTCAGAGCCTATTTTTATTCGTAATATTGATGTCATAAATAATCTTAAGTAATATTATGTGATATAAACGTATATTGTTTTTTATTTTTTTTTCTATGTTAAATTTTAACCTGCATTAATACTTTTAATTTGTCAAATTCTCAGATAAAATAAATATTTATTTCCAAAATGTAAGGGGACTGAGGACTAAAACTGCAGACTTTTATATTAACGGATTAACTTGTGATTATGACATTATTGTGTTATGCGAGACGTGGTTAGCGGGTGATATTTTGGATTCGGAGCTGTTTTCTGACCGATATTCTGTTTACAGGCGCGACCGTTGCAGTAGTGGTTTTCACAATAGCAAATCCGGTGGTGGAGTACTTATAGCAGTGTCTAAACGCCTAAAATCTGTGCGATGTATTCAATACGAAAGTAAATGTGAGGACGTTTGGGTTTGTATAGATACCTGTATCAACAACAAGGTCGAAAAACTATACATATGCAGTATTTATATTCCACCGCCTGCACAGATACATATATATGAACATTTTCTAGATAATGCAAATAAAGTTCTTATGAATGCAGGGAATATTTTGTTGATTGGCGATTTCAACTTGGGTGGCATCAGGTGGTTATGTTCCCCGGGGCCGTCGTACAGGGCTTCGGCTGGCGGGGGCAGTGTATGTGAGAATTTACTCATAGATTTTATTTCTTTAAATAGCTTAGAACAATATAATTATGTACTAAATAGTAAAAACAGAATTCTTGACTTAGTTCTATCGAACATATTAGTTAGTGACTTGCGGATGTGTACTTTTCCCTTATCAAAAGTTGATATTCACCACCCACCTTTTGAATTCAATATATCGGGCCATGTAACTGACAACCTGAGCTATAACCAAGAGCCTAAGTTTAAATACCATAAAGCTGACTACGGTAAAATAATAAAAGAACTTAAGACAATAAATTGGCATGAAAAATTCGCTTCTTGTCTTTGTGTTGATAGCATGGTGGGGGTATTTTACAGTACTGTTAATCAACTCATATCAAAATATGTGCCCATGTCTAAGCCGCATTCGAACAATTACCCTGCTTGGTTCAATAAAGACCTCATCCGCTTATTGCGTGAAAAAAACAAATACCGTAAGCGTTATATTCAGTTCAAAAACCCATTAGATGATATTTCCTTTCACATTCTCAAAACTAGATGTAACAAACTTGCACAAAGTAGCTATAACTCTTACATAGAATCAATCGAAACCTCCTTAACCTCTAATCCCAAACTGTTTTGGTCTTTTTTAAAGCAGAAGCGTAAGGGTTGCAGTTCATATCCATCTGCTATGACTTATAAAGATAAAATTGCACATACGGGGCCCGAGATCTGTAATGCCTTCGCCTCATGTTTCTCATCTGTTTATGACTGCGATTTTAATAGTGCGAATATGAACGCTACATGCTCACTTGTTTATGTCGCCTCTGGATCTCAGACCTTACATGACGTCACCATAACCACAGACATGGTCGATAAAGCACTGAAGGCACTTGACCCCCGTAAGGGTGCAGGTCCTGATGGACTCCCGTCTTCTTTTGTTGCCTCTTGCCATGAAGTCCTTGCCGAACCTCTTTCCCTGATTTATAACAAATCGCTTAGAACAGGTATCTTTCCCTCCATATGGAAAGAAGCCTTAATTGTACCTGTATATAAATCTGGAGACAAGACTTCAGTAAATAACTACCGTCCTATCTCATTGTTATCAATTTTCGGAAAGGTCTTTGAGGTGCTGGTACACCCGTTCTTGGCCTGGCATTTTAAGAATATTTTACTACCACAACAGCATGGCTTTATTAGGTCGCGTTCTACAGTAACAAATCTGGCGGGTTTCGTGTCTGATTTGGTGGCAGCTGTGGACCATGGTACGCCTGTTGACGTCATCTACACGGATTTCAGCCGAGCGTTCGACAAGGTTGACCACAAAACTCTCGTCTCTAAGTTATTCCGCTACGGTATCTTCGGTAACCTTCTCAACTGGTGTGAATCATACCTGACTCAACGATCCTCCAGAGTAGTATTGAATGGTTTCATATCTTCGTCATTTTTGATAGCCTCTGGAGTCCCACAAGGATCACACTTGGGACCTTTATTCTTTAACGCGTTCATTAATGACGTCGCTTCCTGCTTTCTGAATTCTAAAATACACTTATATGCAGATGACCTAAAAATCGTCAAGTTAATTAATAATGTTAATGATCCTATACTCCTTCAGGAAGATCTCAACCGTTTCTCTTCCTGGTGCAAAGTAAATTCCATGAAACTCAACGTTTCAAAATGTAGCTTTATACACTTCTCTCGTCGAAAATCTCCTTACTTTAATACCTATAAAATAAATAATGATATTATCGGAGAAGTGGACGTTATTCGTGATTTGGGTGTATTCATGGATCAAAAACTTCGTTTTCATATACATATAGACAAAATTACTAAAAAGAGCTTTAAGCTTTTAGGATTTGTATTACGACATTGCAAGGAATTTAGACAAGCCTCAAGCAAAATAGCAGTTTTCAACACCTTGGTTAGATCTGGCTTAGAATACTGCAGTGTGATTTGGACACCGTATTACGAGGTTCATAAACAACGTATTGAATCCGTATTAAAAAGGTTCTTGGGGCACTTAACTTATAAACACTACTTGTCCAAACAACTACCCACATACAGATCGCGTTTGATTCACTTTAAGCTTAACGGTCTCGAAAATCGACGTAAAATGCATGATCACATTTTCTTTTTCAAATTACTAAACGGTCACTTAGATTGCTCACACTTGTTAGCGCAGATTAACTTTAATATCCCATATAAATCTGCTCGACCTTCACGTTATGCACCTTTCCGAGCAGGGGCTTCCAGAACTAACCTTGGTCATTTTTGTACCATTAATAGACTTCAGTCACAATATAACACACTATTACGTACGCTGGCCGCTTCTTCTAAACACAGTGATATAGACATGTCTTCTTCTCTTCGCAAATTTAAGTCTGCTCTTTTAGACTCCTTTGTACCCACATAGATCAATCATATTATTGTTAAGCATACCGCCACGACGGCGTCGATTTTGGCAGCGTTCTCTAGGCCTAGACTTGGATTAGGTGGCAGTGTATCCTTGTCATTCTCAATACAGAGTGCAAGTGAGGGACTGGTGTTGGATCTGTTTTTGGGTCTGGAGAATGATGTCAGAATGGATATTAATATGTATCTAATATTTACTTTTATAGTTTTGAAGTGTTTGTACTAGATTCTTTCATTTTTGTTTCGTAAGTCTACTTCGTAAGCAAATTTTTTACGCATGCAGTGGCAGCCTTTAAGTAAGGCAGCACTAAGAATTGTTTTCTTTATTGCTTTCTCAGTTGTATTTTTATTTGGTGTTTGTTTTGTTGGCTGTCCTTAATTAATAAATAAATAAATAAATAAATAATAACTAGAGGGTAAGATAATTATAATAAAAACAGTGTATATTTCTCTAAGCTTTTATACTTTAGACAAAATCTTGTGGTTGCTGTGATAGACCAAGAATACTTGAGTTGAAGATGTAACTTCTCACAATTAAAAAATAAAAATTGACAACAAAACTGTTATATAAATTTTCTACAACTTAATTTGATAGTTAACATCGACAGCCTTACATTTCATAAACATTCTCTAAAGCTAATTCTGGTTTGTCATAGCCGAGCTCCTCAGGGGTATCGATGCCAAGTTCAGTAAGTGTTGGCTTGATCTCTTGAATAATGTATGGGTAAATTTCATTCACTTTAGGTCCACATTTATCTTTGCATGCTTCAATAAACCTGATTGCAAGAGCATAATCATTGACCCGCCTGCAAGCATGTAGAGCGGCTTTGATGATCCTTGGGTCAGGCACCAGGTCCATACCACAGATGTCATTCATTCCTTTGCGGATCTCCCACCCATCAATATCTTTTCTATTGAAGAAAGCTTCATATCTAAAACAACAGAAATCATTTCATATTTTATTTCTTTTATACCGACATTTCTTTCGCACAATCTAATAGGGTTAATTCGACTAACCTTATCTACCTATTTCTGACAAGAGATTATTGATCCATGAAGTAGTAGGTTTTTTGTAGCTACTGAAAATAATCTATCAAAGTAAAAGAAGATAGCAATTTTACGTTTCATGTGCGAATATTGCACATTCGTTATTTAGGTTTAAATTTGTAAATAAATGAGACCATAAAATACAATTTAAAGTAGGCAATCGAAATTACTCATACAGAAATTAAGAAAGCTTTTTAATATTCAGTAGACAAGAAAACCTTTTGTTTACTGTATTCAGAATATAAATATACAAATTCCGAAAGGATTTTATTATCATTTTTAGTTACATAACGTCAAAATCTAACCTGCTATCGAATTCTTCATCGGATTCCACTGGACCACCATGTGATCTTCTAGCTGGCACAACTGCACTGACTCTCACTGCAGGAACCAAAGACCTTTTTAGGACATTGGCTAGTGTACCTGTAGCCGATTTCAGCATTTTGAAGAGGAGTTTTCACGGAAACTTTGGCAGGTTAACAAATGGCTGCACAAAACCATAAACTAAAATTATCTGACAGTTTTATAGACTAGGCATGCGTCTGATATATCAAAACGAATCCAAAATCCGATTTCAAACACAAATCGATACCGAACGATTTCTCAACAAGAAAATCCGATTTCGGAAATCTAACCGAACCAAAACGCTAGCGATCTAATACCACCACAAGTATCCATATGTAAATCGGATTCGAAATTCGTGCTTTCGTTTTCGGAAGTCCGATTTCGGTTTGCTGTTTACGGAAATCTATTGCTGTTCTCTAAGGCGGGATTATTTATCACTGAAAAGAGATGTCGTCTAAAAACATCAAAAGTCGATTAACTTACATTTTTGAACGCTAACCTGAAGTAATTAGGTTTGATTTTGTAAATGGTTTGAAAAATAATAAATACAAACAGAAAAATAAAAAAAAAATACTAAAAAAATATGTATAAAGAAATCATTGTATATAAGCCGATTTTTAACCGTAAACATAACTTTTCTGCTACTCCTAAGCCTAGATTTAAAGCATGAAGGAAAATCGCGCAAATCTACGAGTATCCTTGTTTCCTACAATTAATTGTTTGTGATTGTCGTTAGCTAATAAAACCAAATCATAACACAAACTAGTGAATTGGCTAAGTTCGGCACATCTGAAATCGGATATCTAAAAACGGATTTTAAAATCGATTTTGAAATCTGAAATCCGATAAATATCCGTTTGCGTGCAAAACCAAAAACGCCCATGTCTATTATAGACAGACCCATAAAATGACACTTGTCTATTAACATTCTTTTGACAAATCAGTGTTGTACTAGGTATTTTGCAACATAGATATTATTCTAGCATGATTCTCTAAACCTAAACTTAAATTTGACAGCAGTATATCCTTGTCATTCTCTATACAGAATGAAAAGGAGAGACTGATGTTAAATTTAGTTTTAAGTTTAGAGAATCTCGCCAGAATTGGCACCACTCACAGACATATAATACTATAGCAGACGTAACATAAAACCTAGTTATATTTATGAATCAAAACATGATCTTTTATCCTTTTTACACTCAGCTACAACTCGATAGTGGCATCTCATTCTTCCATCTATTGCAACAATGACTCACACATCAACAAATGTCAACGCGTGTCATTTTTATTCCTCGCCGCCATTTTATTCATGACTTATCGGACATGCGGCTTTTCGGTGTTTATTAAGAATATTGCTTTGATGAAACTGTATTACAAAACGAGATTATTCAATTACTATGGTCAAGTACAGTGCGTATCGATGTGAAAGTGCTACCTACAATAGAACAGCAGGATTAACGTTTCATCAGTAAGTTTTTATGTGTCTTTGTTGTGTACTGAAATGTCTTTGAGTCTTTTCGAAGCTTATTTAAATATTATCGTAACATGTAACATTTTTTACGTAGGTTTATTTATCTAAGATACTATCGGTCAAAACTAATATCCTAAAAGTAAAGAAATGGAAGTAATCAGGATAAATCATGATAGGAAATTCCAATTCTGACAACTGAAGTACTATTGCCATAACAGAGGACGGACTCGGTATCAAAGACAAAAAGTTTCTCGGCGTTAATTTTGTTTGCATTGCATTGTATTTTGAATGTGAATGCAATCAAGAACGTAAATAGATAGGTACCTATTACTGACTAGCTATTCATATTTCTTGGAACATTGGCATCGGTAGGTATATAACCCAAATAACCACATAAACAATTTTGTTCTAGGTTTCCAAAGGATGAAAGTACTCGGAATGCATGGTTAAAATATATGAAACGTCAGGATTGGCAACCAAATACTTATAGTGTTTTAAGTGTTTTTTGTTTTAAAATAAACAAAAGTAATGATTTTAATAGTTTGATTAAATGTGATTATGTCGATTATTCACTATTTGACTCGAACAATCCAGATCATGACATAAACCATGTCCACTTGTTTATTAAAGTTGTTGTCAAATTTTATTTTGATCTTAGATGTAAACATCAATGTAAAGAAACAAATGTATCTCAAAGAAATTTTCTAAAAAAACTTGTATTATTTCAAAATAAATAGATAAAAACTATGCCTTTAACTTTTATTTCAATTTTCCTAATTGTACCTATGTCCTTTCCCTGTGTTAATTTTATCTCCGTGCTAAATTTCATCATTATCGGTTCAGCGATTTCGCCTGGCTAAATTCGCCATGAAGATATTAAACAGACAGATTTTTACATTTATAATATTATTAGCATGGACATCACATTAGGACTTATCTATTCGGATAGGTATTTCATGAAATAACTACAATACTAAATGTGGCCCATGCTTTGGTGAGTTTCAATGTGTGTGTATTTGCCACGCTGTTTAAAACTGAATATTCCGTCTGCTACTAGTTATATGTCTGTGGCACCACTAGACTATTAAATTTGAATTGTAGCGATTCTGATTCTAACAAAGCATCTTGGATTCCTTGGATTAGAATCATGACCGAAGAATTTCACTACGAAGGCCAGTATAAACGGAACAAAGGTCCTTTGTTTCGTTCTTACAAAATATGAGCCTGAAAAGAATTCTTAAATTGAAAATCAGTGCATAACTTATTTCACTAATTATGAATTATAATTTAATAAATTTTTACGAAATGCAGTCATCGCGCTACAATCTCTGAGTATCTATAACGGGAGATGCCATTACAGGTATTTCCCCTCTGTCGAAAGGTACAAGAACATTGATCTACTACGTTTCTAGAAACTAGTTCACGCGCGACTGCTATCATTTTGGCTCGTTACGTGTCTAGTCGGAGCTCTCATATAAAAGGAAAATGATGTTGATTTCTCATGCAAAAACCGATCTGCCACTTCAATCCTGCAGAGACATGGTGTTTTCTATTATATACAATTTTTAATTAATAAAAAGTTAGCATTCTGATATAAAATTCAATTAAAATAAAAGGCGTAGAATGACGAATGAATGACAAAAATAATAAGTAGAAATTCATAGTGAAGTGACGAAAATTAATGAAATGAATGAATGGAGTATTTTTACTGGAAATCTTTCAAGCAGACATAATTAAGTGCATCTTCTGACAAGAATAGCAAGTTCATAAAACAAATATAAATGAATAGATTTTATAAAAAAACGAACATTCAATCAATCACAATCTATAACATAGCCAAACAAAAGCTTTCTTTCGACGTTAAAATATGATAATAAACATAAAAAGTACTTTAAATCGATCCAGGTAAGTAGCCACATAAAAATTATGAACAGTACATAGCTGTCAATTCGGGCATGCATGATTCTCTCAACTTAATTTAACATCAGTCTCTCCTTTTCTCTCTGTATAGAGAAAGGCAAGGATACACTGTCATAAAAAAATTGTGTGTGTCAGCTCCGAAGCACGACTGGAGTTTACTCCTTAAGTTCTATAGTCTAACCAGACGCAAAAAGAGTTTATTTAATTTAAAAACGATTGATTTGAACGGTTTTTATTTGTTTTGTTACATTAAGTCATGGTGTACGCCATTTGAGCATTTAAAATTTTAGTTCATATGTATCAAAATAGATGGCGCTGTAGTTCGTTGCATCACGCTTGTAAATATGTTTGGAGCTACATATAGGCAAAACGTCACCTAACTAATAAAGAAATCTATGGTCTAACAAAATACACAGTAGTTTCAATTTAATTCTTTTGCACCTAAGCTCTTGGATTTAAATCATTTTGGCTCGAACAGGATGCGCACCAAAAACGTAACGAGGTCATTCATCGATAGATTTTACTCCTCACATTTTTCTCATACCGGGCCCCTTATATATGCGTTTAAGTAGAATAAAGTAAATGAAATTAGGTAGTCAGTTATCAGGTCAGCTGCCTACATCGAGCGGCTTTTATAACCTCGGTAATTGCTATAGTTGAATTACAACTATTTTTTAATAGCTTAAAACGGTCAAAGTAATACGTAAATAGCATCACACGAGGTCATAGATTTTATTTAGTTGCACCGTGATTATTCTCGTGTCGCAATATAAATAGAGATAGATCAATATTTATAAATGAAACTTTCTGGTTTCATTACAAATAAACATTATGTCCATTCATCAAGAACTGTTCATTCAAATTTCATTCATTCCTCTAATGTGTCCTCCCTAATTTTTGTGTTTGTGTACGGTCGAACAATTGCATGCTTGGTTAGCGGTCTTATTAAATATTACATAAAACTACAATAAAAAAGAAAAATTACAACTTTTTTTTTTTAACTTACACACGGAAAACGGCCTGAGGTCTAACATTGGTACCGTAGGAGAGGGGACGATGTTTGGTGTGGGCCGTGACGTGTGTCAGCACTTTCGGCGCTACCCACATTGGTCGCACGACACGCACGGCTGGGGCGGTAGCTGAACATCAGACGGTGGCGAAGCGCTTATAATATTCCTTGTTGGGGCAAGGATACATTTTTGTACCTCTGGCGGTGGAAACGGTGGGTTGTTGGATGCGCGTAAGCCAAGCAAAGCAATTTGTATAGGGCCTTGGCCGCCGACTCAGGCAAAAAACTGGTGACCCTCGCTCCGGGTCGTTTCTGGCACAAAGACTGTCTATTGCCATCCAGCGTAGCAATGCTGCAAGCGTAATGGGCAACTTTGCGCCAGAAACGACACTGTGATATTTATATTAATGGAATGGTAATTTATCATTTACAGTAGCTACATATTACGTTACATTTTACAAGTCATAGTTTTACAATTCAAAAAACTTATAAAATTTTCAACACGTGTTTCATTCCGTAGTGTACAAATTCTCACGATTTTAATAATTTCTCTGCCTTTCGATAAACTTAACTTTGCATGGAGAATGTTTGAAATAACACGTCTAAGTTCATTTTGTATTGTTTTGATTGGAGGATGATAACGGACCCAGTGCGGATTGGTCGATGATAACGTACTCAGTGCGGACTGGTGTTTTTTTTTTCTATCCACAAATCTTCGGGTAAAGTTTATGATTTTCAGATCATTGGAGCTAAAGAAGTTTCACTTCAGCCGTGTGGTCATAAGAACACTCGCTTTTTTATTTTATTTTCTACGTACTTATAATAAGTAGATCTTGTATTACTAAGTGAGCAGCTACTAGGCAGTAAATACTTTGAAATGTTAATGTTAGCTGTTGGAAGCACGGTAAAGTCAGATGAAATTCTCCGGAACAAAATTTTAATTCCATTATGTTTTTTTTTCTATTGAAATGCTAATAATTATTTAGAAAAAAAAATGGATGCGTGTAACTTATGTACGCGCGTGAGAAGTTATACTTCTTTAGCAATTTCATCAATTGCATGCAAATAATTAATAATTACAATGAAATAATAAAAGGATGGAAAAGGATAGTTAACACAGTCAATTAAGTTCAGTTTTAATTTGAAAAATTAAATAAATATTCAAAATATTCAATTAAAATCACTACTGAATTTAAGTTATTAGTCCATACGTAATTAGCACTTGTAAGTAACTAAAACACGTTGTGTCTATATAGAAACTAGAAACATGTGGATAAATATTATAAATATGAAAACAATGATCAGAGGCGACGAGCGTGCCAACATTGTTTTTGACAACGCGATCATCTTATGGAGCTCCGTGGATCGTTCAAAGTACCTTTCGAACAGATGTCTAATAATCCACCATTATTAGACACTAACATTCATAACGCGCCCGCGGCCAACTTCATGGTGTTACTATTGTGTTACAGTGATGCGTGCGCATCTCGAAACACTCACATGATTTTTCATAACGCGCCCGCGGCTAACTTCATTATGTTACTTTTGTGTTACAGTGATGCGCGCGCATCTTAAAATTTCACTCTCATAATTTTTTCATAACGCGGCTAAAGAAGTATAACTTCAAAAATTAATAAATAACCTTTTCGACGGTTATTATAAAATACGAGATGTGCACTTTTTCACAACTCAACTTCGACTTTGATTCCTGGTTATAGAAGGCCGATTTTTTACGTGTAACATAAAGATGTTTGTCCTCTCGCATTCCTGCAATTTGTGGGAGTGATTTCGTGAAATGGGACGGATGTGTGTAACAGGAAGTCACGAAAGCGCGCGCTATTTAATTTGATTTTAGAACATAATGGTCAAATGGCTTATTCCTTTTGTAGTAGGTTTTATTTCTTTTTTTACTAATATAAGGTGAGGTTACAAATGTTACACATCATACGCGACTACTGTAAGGTTCGCTCGTTTTTTATTACTTTCTGTATGCATAGTATCCAGGGCCAGATTAAGATTTTTTTTTTTTTTTTTTGTTTCCTCCCAGGCGGGGGAGCGGGTGTGAAATCCTCATGGATACCCTACAGCCGGCTGTAGGGTTATGTCAGACTCTTACTGACTAAAACACACCCGTGGGGGATGCCTATGGCCTTAGGGGCCTTTCAGGCTTCATCTGATGCGATCAACCCCTGAGAAGGGGATGATGCAGCGCTGCCTTAGTATATACTACTGCATAGTGCGCTTAGAGGACGGATGCACTCTGATGTGCATCCGTATCGGTTTGGGACTGAGCGACTGAAGGTCTCTCAGGATCGGGGGGGCGGGGGGTCTCAGGCGCGTTGCAATGCCCATTTGGCTCCTCTGAGGCTTCTGGCCTCGAGGTCGCGCGTGAGTTTGTTGGGGGGGTCCGTTAGGACGTTTCTTGGCCTGCGGGGTCTGTACGGGAGGGTCGGATTTAGAGGTGTGCGGGCCCTTATATAGGTAGACCGCAGAGTCCTCGCCCGCGGGGTACAGGGTGTGGGGAAGGACGAAAACGGGGGCCGTAAGAGGTGCGGGAGGAAGGCGCACAACCGCACATTCTTGTCAAGATTACAATAATTGCCCGCCGCCCGCACCTCTCTCGGACTTTTGACTAAGAATCAATCATAAATTGGTATAGGTAGCAAGTTCATCACGTTTTCACCAACATTTAACTACAGCAGTCTCCGTTTGACGACCTCCGTGGCCAAAGAGTAACGTATGTCCGTGGCTGAGTGGCTTGTACTCCGGGTTTCATGGTGTCGCGGGCTCGAGATGACTCGGGTTCAAATCCCGGTGGGGGCAGATGTTTGTGTGATGAATGCAAGCATTTGTACTCCAGTCATGGATGTTTAATATGTATTTCTATAAAAATATAATACAGCTTAAGATGTGTTCAATCCGTTACCCTAGTATCCCATAACACAAGCCTTATGGTGCTTATTTTGGGGCTAGGCTAATTGGTGTGAGTATCATTTGAGATTTGGTTAGAGAATAAGGTATAACAAAAAATAATCTTATATAAATAATACTTTATTCATAGAATTGTAGTTTATCAGATAACAATACAAAGGTATTGTGTCCACTCATGTTTTGTTACAGTAATAATGAACAGAAATGAATTTGATAATTACATTTAATAATACAAAAAGGGCAGGCTTACATAATATGATATCTCATTATATTTTACTAAGACACTATAACAATTTATTATATCTTTTAAAAATTTGATAGTCACATTTCTCTAGATATAATAGTGCTTTATTCTGTATCTACTTTCCTTCTTTTCTTTTTCTTGTGAGCAGAGATACTCTCTTGACCGCTATCTTCTTCACTTGAGCTCTCAGATGAGCTGCTCTCACTATCACTGCTAGAAGAACTACTGTTTGATGAGCTATCTGAAGCCACACCAGTACTTTGGTTAATGTCCAAGCTACTTGCTATCTTGTAAAGGTCTGGTTCTTTGGCTTCTAATACTTTAATCCACTTTTTGGAAAGCTTAGGCCTGCCTCGAACAGTCTTATGCCACACTATGGGGAAATTGGTACGGCTGCAGAAATTCTGAGTCACAGCTACAGTTTCATCCAAATTTAGCACCACATGCCACCAGCCACCTGGCACAAATACTGTTTCACCTGGTTTTTGGAGTATTTCCACCTGTATATAAAACAATTGTGATATTTAACAATAAATATGACTAATTAGTATTGTTACTAGTAAGCTTATAGGTAGACCGCTTAACTGAATCCTCGCCTGTGGCACCTGGGTACAGGGTGTGGGAGAAGAAAACGGGGACCATGTGGTGCAGGCAACACATTCTTGTCAAAATTACAAGTGCCCGCTGCCCGCACTTCTTACGGTCCCCGTTTCCGTCCACCCCCATGAGGGGGGTCTCATTTAAGCAGTTTACTTTATAGTATATAACAAAAAAATCATTTAAGTTTTTGGAAATGACAATTCTTTGGTAACATTCTGTTGCGCCATCCATCTCATCCTTTAATATTATATAGAACTGAAATGCCATGACTTTAATGGAAATATTACTAAACAAATAAATATATGTATATACATTTAATGACTGCATTTCATATAATATAGTTACAATATAACAAAAGCAATTTACCGGTTTATATTCCTCTGGCCAACTCTCTAATTGAGTCTTAGGATAAATAAGTTTGAACCAAGTAATGGCTTCATCTCTCTGTTTCCCTCCCATAGCTCCTGTTACTTTAATCAATTCTTTAGGTGTTTGAGTTGGAAACAAGCACCATCTTTTGTGACCAAACACTAGAGCATTCCAGGCCCCAGTGCCTAATGGGTCTATATGAATCCCAGTTCCAGATCGTTGTGGTCCCATCACAAACCAACGATATGGAGGCCTTCGCTCACTGCCACAATACTTAAACAGATCATCCCTAAAATACTTAGGTACCTCATAATCTTCCAGTAGCTTTTTCCTTCTTGGATGCTCACCAAAACTACTATCAAAAATATAAAGTGGACTGTCATCAGTCGTTGTCCTCATATAAGTTACATAATACTTCATTTTCATCTTAACACTATAACCCTCATTGTCTTCACCACATTTGAATTTTTGGTTTCGATATTTTTTGGCTAATCTATCTAAAGTCCATTTATGGTTAGCTTTCCAATGTGTCTGAACATTTGTAATAACAATAGGTCTAAATATCTTTTCATATTTTTCAATAAAATCTTCTTGTGATACTTTGTTACTATCAACTCTTTCAACATTGTCATTGCATTTCAAAAATTCTTCAAAGTTCTCAGCATACTTCAAAGCTGTCCATTGTTGTTTATTAGTTAATTCTGCAAGTTGACAAACATGTTTGTTAATAGAAAATATAATGGAATACACAACATAATAAAATTATTAGATAATGTCTTTAATTAGAAATACTGAAATATTTCCTTTTCTTATATAATAAGTACTCATACAAAGTTAAAATAATACACAAAAAAAACACATTGTCATCAAGTTATATATACCATAGTTATAATTTCTTTCTTTTAAAGTATGTAACTGCTAATTGATGTTTAAATTTACAGAAAATTTTACTGGAAAAAATTTCAAGCAGACCAGGCAGCAGACACCATATTAAAGAGGGACGAGATATACCATATTCTATGAAATAAATGTTTAATAGAAACAAAATATTTTTTTGTTGCTACCTCTGTGGAGAGACTTCTCAAGAGGTGCCGGGTTCAGGACCGATGGGGACAGTTGTTTGTGTGATGAATATGAGCATTTGTACTCCAGTATGTTTAATATGTATTTTTGTACAAATATACTAAATTATGTATCCTTGCCCTAACATCCCTCAAAACAAGTCTATAGCTTACTTTGGGGCTAGGCTAATTGGTGTGTGTTAGTGTAGTTGTGTATTTATTTTTTAAATATTCCTAGACAGATTCTGATGAAACAAAGACATTGCATTGGTGTGTCAGGAATAATTTAGTTTTTTTTTTGCAATTGTATCAAGAGTAGAGAGTTAGTTAAGTGCTTTCTTTAAAACACAATTAGTTACAAAAACTAAGATGGAAAACTGCCTCACACTAGAAAGTGAACTGTCATTGAGAGTGACATCAACAACACAATCTAACACTGACAAAATAACTTAGTTTTCGGCGGTAGCTACTAGCTAGTTTCATTGAATAGATTATAAATGTAACTTTAAGTACATTCTGTAAATGAAGTTGGAAAAGAGTTGCGAAAGATTCATTTACTACTTAGAAAACACACACAGTTGAATTTGGAAAATTATGTTAGAAGAATCAGTAATTTGGATTTAATTACATTTATACATTGAGACCTTGAACTATATTCATAGACTATATTATAGATGGCAAAACTACAGTACACAGTGCAAATAAAGTGTAGTTAACAGGTTATAAAGTTTACCCAAACCTTAAAGATAATACACTGCAATGTAATAAATGCTACATAAATTTAATAACATGCTTAGTATTTTAAATTCCTTTTGTAACTGAGCCGATAATTTTTTGCTACGCTTTTCTGCTATGAATATGTTCTAGAAGTTACCCAGCAATAATTGAAAAATAACTAACCGTGCCTGTATTGTGTGACACTTTATTGAAGTGAAACACATAAAATCATCACTAATATTCTAAACAAAAAGTTAAATTATCAGGAATAAGGAATATGACAAAAATCTAAAGCGGATCAGTGGCCTCAATATCGTTCTTACCCGGACGAGCTTTCCTTTTAACTTCTTTGATCCGCTTTTTAGCTTTATGTGATATTTTATATTCGCTTATCATTTCTATAAATTAGTGTATAAATAATTTCTGAAAAAGTGCAAAATAGTTGCAAAAGCTCAATTCGGTGATTTTTTTTATCTAATACCATAACCAATGTAAATGATGATAGTTTTGTATTTGGTTGTCTATGATTTCGTAGTGTTGTGCACTGTGCTAGATTAACTCAATTAAACTCGATTATAACTTGCATAATTCATGAATCATGACTGAATTTAATATTAATAATATTTGAAGACAGGTAATCGTAAAATTTGCGACGAAAATCTCGTTAGAATTATAGTATCTATCTTACAAATTCAGTTATACGATCATTTTATTTTTGTCATTCCATTTAGTAGCTTTTATTTAGAAATCATGGCAACTCTAAACATACATTTTTAGACGCAGTGGTACATACTGTTAATTTTAGAAAATTGGATTTGTAACAATTTCAATAAGAATTGTATTTTTTTAGTGAAGTTTTTGTTTCATTTGCCTTTTCCAATAGTCGAATCAATTACGTAGCTGAAGAAAATATAGTCGTGATTGATTTGACTGTTGTAGTGAAACAAATTTCAAACGTTCCAGTCTGAAGTGTGTAACTAGCTCGGAATAACTGTCAATCTGGGTGTAGAAATTTATTTTGTAATTTTCACCGGTTCTCTTTAGTAATTTCCTAATGTGTTAGACTTTTATTGAATAAACGTTGATTGCGAAATAATGTTCTATAGTGTATGTGGTGCATAAATTAGTGCAAAAATGGATGACGGTAGCGTGATGATCCAGTCCGGAATCAACATCAACATAAAAAGAACAGATGGTGAGTATGTTTGAGCTGGAATTCTTATTCCCCATGAGTTATATTTACTGCAGTGGAGATAAGATCAATAACGTTTCATTTATATTGATGAAGCTATCGACACGTATTTGGTTTTTGAATTCTTATGATTCACTTTCATATCAACGTGAATCAGCCTGTCTTCATCCAAGAACAGGCAGGAGCTATTGGGGTTTGTTAACGCCAGTGTTAGAAAAGAAAAACTATTATATTTTATTGTTATAACATTTGAATTATAACTAAAGTTATATTATCGAAAAATTCAAAAATCTGAAAAACCATATTTCATGTACAAACACACAAACCATTGTCTAGTACTTAATATTTTGAGTAAAATACTCATAAATTTTAGGAGATTTCAGCATTCCATTATCTTAGTTTTTATTGTTACCAACAACAATATTTCTATGTACCTAAATGTTATTAAGAAATACTACATCTTGATGTACAAGTTGTGAAACAAATAATTATATTATTAATGAGAAATTGCAATAGCATCATAACCATCCAGATCAGCGTTAATGTAAAACAGTAGACTGGAGATGACCCTTTACCACACTGATAATCTACACAGAATCAATCAGTGGTGATGCAAGCGTTGCCAGCCAGCTATACTGGTTTAGCCCCTTAGAGACTATATAACGGCCAGGGAATAGCATTCCCTGACCGTTTTGACAGAAGACATATTGAAATATTGATTGAATATACCATTTAAAGTTTCTTAAGCATGCCACTGGTGTTGTAAAGGTGATTCGCTCCTTTTTAAGTTTTAGCTTGGTTATTATGCAGATCCAACTTGTATTCTTCAGAAAGCATGATAGCAGTTTACTGCATGTGTTCATGATGATTTCTTTTAATTCATCACAAGAAATTCATAAATCATTTCTTAAATACAGACAATATCATATCTATGTAAATAAAAGCAACAAATGGTCTTGTTCTTATTAACAAAAAATATATAATGTGTAGTACCATATACCTTGAACTTGAGATTTTTAAAAGTTATTTATTCAAATAATTCAATGCATTCGCATGAACTCCAGGTTAGTCTGCAGTACAGCAATGTTGTACACCTGTGAGTTGCATATATTATTGGAATATAATACCTTTGCTCCGCTGGATGATTGATGATGTATGCTGGATTTAAACTAAACCTGAGTTGTTAAACTGAAATGGCTATTGTGGAGAATTAGTTTATAAAAGGCATGGTTAAAACACTAAGAATCTAACTAAATTCTTGCTGCTTACTTACTTACTATTGAATATTCTTTATTGCACTATTTAACAAAATATATACAACCTAAAACTCAAGTAACACAAACACAAAAGGTGGCCTTATTGCTAAGGTAGCAATCTCTACCAGGCAACCTTTGGCTAAATGATTTTTTATTACTTAGATTGGTGTTTCACAAATATTACACAATTCTATATTATCCTCTATATCAAAAGAAAATTAAAATGGATTCAATAGGGAAGATGCAATATTTTTATTTTTGTTTTCATTTTAAAGAATTCCATGTAGATTAAACCACAGATATATTAAAAAATTAAAACATTGCGATTTATCGGAAAAAATGCGGTTTTAAATTGACAATTTAAATTTTCGCGCGAAAACGAACCTATGGATGCGATGACGTCACTCCTGTCTGTCACTGGTCGTAATTGTTCGTTGCTGGCTTTAAATTTTCATACTTTTGCATATTTTTTCGACTTTCGAAATATTTTTTTGAAAAATTCAAAATGTACTATCCATCAACATCATGTGATCATAACAATACCACTAATATTCCGTAAAAAAGCCGTGTTGACTCATGTTTTGGGCCAATCTACTTCAACAAAGTTCCCAAATAAATTGTTTTTGACTGGAACTTCTGACCCAAAACTGAAAAAAAGTGGTTTCAAGCTGCGAAGAGAAATGAAAATTATTCTCCAAAGACCATTATTCGATGCTGAGAAGACGCAAAGTTGCCAGGCTTTCGGTGTTCTATCGGTTGCATTTCGGTGAGTGCGCATAGGAATTACATGAGCTAATTCCTCCCGCCCCATTCTACTACCGGACGAGCAGGGAAACGGCAAGGCGACATCGATTCACGGTGGCAGTTCCAAAGACTCGCACTAAGCGATTCGCGTCTAGCTTCATCGTGCGGACTGCCAAACTGTGGAATTCCTTGCCTGAGCCCTTGTTCCCCGAGCACTACAATCTAGCGGTCTTCAAAGCAAGAGTGAACCGGTTTTTATTAGGTAAGCGCGCTCCATCGTAGACCATAATATTGCTTTCCATCAGGCGAATTATGGTCAAGCGCTTACCTATTAACGAATAAAAAAAAATAAAAAAAACCACTTTGACGTAAGTCGGCGAATATGCTTGTTATATGCTTAATTAATCTGCTTGTACGTAAAAACGCATTAGTAACCTATCTAATACTTACAAAACCTGTCTATAACATTTTACAGTTGGAGAATGACGTCGAAAATTAGATATAGTGTGGCACAATCTTCACATTGGCAGGACTGAACCAAGCTTTGCGTTTCATTTAAAATAACTGTAACACGATAACCTTCTTTACGTACTTTATGCTCCGGAGAACTCGACCTTTTATTGTACATAATTTTCCATCTCTTTTAATTTGGACATAGCCGATTGCATTATCGCCGTAAGATTTGTAGAAGCCGCTAAATAAAGGACGAAGTTTAACAACTACGATTTTTACATACCGTAGTAATTTAGTCCCTTTCATTTCTACACTTAAAAACTCTGCACTTTGGACAAAAAAGTTATAACCATGTCAACGCTAACTCTTGGTAAATTCCTGGAGTCTGCTTTGATAAACGCAACTTTCATTTTTATTAAATGTAAAAAACGCAATAAATATTCCCATAAAATAATATTTACTATAACAACCGTAACCTCAAAGAAGTTGTCATAACAGGAGTGACGTCACTAAACGCTGATTGGTGTTTTAAAATACGTTCCGTTTCAAGTAGTTTTAATTGGTAATAATTGTTAAAAAACAACATTATGTAAAATAAAAACGTTGCAGTGGCATTTCTTTTATAGTTTTGTAACATTTTAATCATAAAATTTTCATATATATTATATATGCATCTTCCCTATTATTGTTTGGTAACTTTTAATCTTATTATGACATTATGGTAGTTATTCTACAATAAAATCACAGCATTAATGTAGTCATTTAAATATGTGTGAAGATACTTTATTTATTATTATTAAATGTTTCTTTATTATTAAAATTGGAAAATTATAATTTATTAACAAATTAAAATTCAGGCTTAAAAAATATAGTGTGAATTATGATAAATTTAAATCTAAACTTAGTGCAATTATAATTAAAACAATGGACCTGATAGTGATGAAGTACTGAAGGTTGGTTATTGGTTATTTGAAATATGCTTAGATTTAGAAACAAATTGATTTCTTTGAAATTTCTAATAATTATCACATACTACAAATCGAGCGTTATTGACATTTGTGGGAGTTTATTGTGGATTATACTTGAATAGTCTGCAGACTTCCAGCTAGGTTAGACCAATTTGTGTTTTATAAGATGTGGTCCAGTCTTGGCACCATCAATGAATGCCCTATAATGAGCACTATGTTGTTAATTTAATTCAGCAGATTTTAACATTTTTGTAGAAATATTATGGAGCATAAGTCCTACATATAATTTAATGTAAATAACACATCTTATGAGGAGCTCGATGGCGCAAGTGGTTAGCGCGTTCGGCTGCGATCGTTGAAGTTAAGCAACTTTCGCAGTGGTCGGTCATTGGATGGGTGACCAAAAATTTACTATCTCGAGTTCCTCCGTGCTTCGGAAGGCACGTTAAGCCGTTGGTCCCGGCTGCATCTGCAGTCGTTAGCACCCGCCAATCCGCACTGGGCCCGCGTGGTGGGTCGTGGCCCAATCTCCCTATTCCATCCATAGGGAAGGCCTGTGCCCCAACAGTGGGGACATTAATAGGCTGATGATGATGATGATGATTTATTTATTTACTAATTTAGTACACACACAATAAAATAGATAAGAACAGGAACAAGAAATTTGTACTAGGGCACTGCTTATTTCATATTGATGATGATGATGAACACATCTTATTTCATCTTGATATGTTTGTGGCATACATTTGTGAAGCTCACTATCTAGAACAGTAATTTTATTTATTAGTGTAGTCAGTTTCCTAGCTGAACGGCCATAATAATTCATTAGTTACAACTAGAGTTGGGCATTATTCAAATAAATTGTTATCTAGATAATTATTCAAATAAAAAAAATATTCACATAAGTTCTACCCATCTCTGGTTACAACAAATTGAAATCTCAACAATTTTTTTTGGCTTATATTCTCACCTAGCAAAAGCTCACTCTTTTAAGTTGTTTTTAGTTGTATTAGCAAATCCTACTTATACAATTTAGGTATGGCTATGCGTCGTAAAGAATGAGATGTAGAAAGGCAATCAGAATAGTTAATTTAAAAAATCTATAAATAGGTAGCCATATGAATTAGAATCAACTGAAATTAATGTATTTTCGCGGGCATATGAGGAAGGCAACCGACCTTGCGTGGCGCACTGCCATATACGGCGAGAAGCGAATCTGCGCTCGCGCACTGGCGCGCTCACCGATACGCTATTGATATAAAATAATCACCAAAATCATTATAATAATACTAGCTGACCCAGCGAACTTCGTACCGCCCTAAAAAATAGGGGTTGTCCAGCGGACAAAATTGTGAATATAAACCATTCTCAGATCCCCTTGAACACACACAAAAAATTTCATCAAAATAGGTCCAGTCGTTTAAGAGAAGTTCAGTGACATACACACTCACAGAAGAATTATATATATAAAGATATATATTTTAAATATATCAATACCTGATCCATGTTATCACCCATCACCAATATTGTTGCCCATTACATTAAAAGGGAAGCTTAATGCGCGTCTGGTTGGTAGGATCGT